ATATTCTTCCCAGAATGAAGGGTCTGAGACGGTGGCCTCGAAGAATGATGTCAGCTCGTATAGGAATCCCATGATAGATTCAGGGGCAAACCGGCCCCCATAGGAACCGTAGCCATCAAATGTGACCTGGGGGGCCCGCAGATTGCCATCTACCTGCAGGATAGGGGTATACGGTGTGATTGTGTTCAATCTCGATATGGAGGTAGGCTTGGCAGGTGACTCGGGGGGCGTGGAAGTGTTGCCAATGACGGTTGATACTGTCGTTGCTCTGGTTTCGCCATCTGAGGCATTTGTTGACTCGGTCTGTGTGCTGCTATCGCAGCTCGAGGGAGAAACTGAAGGAGCTCTGGCCTGCACACTGCCAAGCCCCTCCAGGTAGGGACTCGCAACTCGTGCTTGAGCAATCGTTCTACCATCAGGTCTCAAGAGAATGGGATCTTCCACATTTTCTGCGGCATGTGTTGTAGAATCGGTTGGTTTGGAAGAGGAAAAGCAAAGAAAACGGCGCAGAGAGCGAAGCATGATATGTTTTATCCTTCGGATGAAAGTAGAAGTTGGATTGATGTTTCGGTATAGTGATTTATTGACAAACAAATCATAAAGAGCCATAGAAAACAAAGAGAATGAATATGAGGATGGAATATTCAGACCATGCAATAGAACTTAGGGCATGGTACCAGTGGGCGAGAGGTGCATTAAGTACAATGTGGACGTTCCTGCCTTAGGTACGGATTATGTACCTTTCAGCTCATCAGGCCAATTGAAGGGAAAGTTCGATCTAGTCGGATTGTCTTTCTTGGCTAACTAGGTTATCTGACTGGCTATTCTAGCTTCTTTCACTAAGTGGAGTGAGTACATTTGGAGGAAGTATATGGCCGGTATTGTGATGTTACGAAGTGGAGCAGTAAACAAGTATGAACAAGTATATACAGAGTGTAAATTTCATTGAGTCTATTCTTACAGTGGAACTATATACTAGTGATGGGTAAGATTCACTTCATTTCTGTACATCATAGAAGTGTGTAAAAGACTCATACTCGCAGAACAGGCACCCAATGACCATTTAGATTCCCGAGGTCAATAGCGTCCTACTCTTCGAATTCTTTGTCTGGAATCTTGCTTCAAGAACTAGGCTGAAATACCCCGTGGCCCGTACTCTATACAACATACAACATACGGAGTATTTCAATCGTCATTCCGAATAACCGAGATCCATCTAGATGCAATAAACCGCAGCGGTGACAGCAGTGGAACTCAGGCCCCAATGCCAATGATGGACTTAGGCCCGATCTAGTATGATCAGATACCACATCGAAATTGAGGAGTGCAACTTTGCAGGGATCCAGCTCCTTTTGGCACCAAAGCCGATAATATTGATTATCAATGAAATTGGGGTCTCTCAAGGCAGAATCCCATCTATGCGGTGTTACACGATGTGCACTCTCAGAATAGTCTTGTTGGTGTTTCACGAAACGAGCCTTATCTCAGGCCAAAATCAAATCCACGATGTGATTCATTCCAGGTCCCGTTCCACGTGTTACCGTTGCTGGGTCTTTCAAACGACTCGCCTCATACGGGAGTACAATGATCATTACTCTATCCCAAAAATGAGATATACTAGACTCTATAGAGTAAAGGGGTATAATTCTGACATATCTGTTTTTTTTTTCCATTGATGGGATGCTTCTGGGCCCTCAATTGGCCTATGGGACGTAATCATTCAAGGATCTCTTTCAGCCACATCTTTCATTCAACTACAATTTATTCTCGATTCCTTTCAACGCCAAACTTTGCCTTTTCAACTAGTGCTTCGGAAATTATTGGGCAAATTACTAACTCTCAATGAAGAAAAAAAAATGCAATCTGCCGACTAGCAGCTTTATCGTTGGGACATTGCATCTTAATTCCGTGTCGCCTTCACCATCACAGCACGTTGGGCAAACGCTCATAACAAATTTTATGCATGATTTATCAAATGGAACTAGTTCTTCTAGATTTACTTGTACTCTATAGTGCTCATGTAAATAATCCATCTAAATCGACCTAGGGTGAAGCTGATCATGTGATAAACTTAATAGGATGACCTTCAACTAATGGGCACTCAGCCAAACAGTCAATGATAGTTTTTTTTTTTTTTTTTTGTCTTTCTTTAATGCATGGCTGCTTAGCAGTAAATTATTAGAGCTAGGAAAGCATATATTGGCCAAAATCGAGGTTGTGGAATTTCTGTGGTCGAAACAAGGACCGGGATGTGAATATATATTACTAGACTACCTTGCTACCTCAGGTGACAGCTTTTAATACAAACTTAGATTTTTCAGGTTTATTCATTGAACAACGCGATACATTAATGAAAGTCACATTACCAGACACCAGAATATACCGTCTTGGAACTATGTGCTCGGCATGGACAATATGATTGGTTAATATACACAAGTTAAGGTGCCTCTACATTTGCATTCTAGAGCGGGGAAACACGTAGAGACGGAGGAAAAACCTACATTGAGGCAAGCATTCAGTTGGCCAGCTCTAATGATATGTAGGTTGTTAAAGGGTAGCAAGTAAAACTCGTACCTAGGTGGGCTGTAATAAGTTTGTAGAGACTACTTTTTGAGGTGAATTTTCTCACATACCTGAGATCTCACAAGTGGCGATGTCTTTGGTAAGCTGAATTAGAGCAATAGATCATTCAATGTGAGCAGCGACTGTTTCCGCACGCACTTTTGGGTTTCCCATGTCGTCAAAAAACCAATCGTGGGGCTCATTGTTGAAAGGTTATTTCAAACGGAGTAGCAATTAGAACAAGCGACAGAGCTGACTCCCAAAGAATGCTTGTTAATTTGAGTATTTTGAATGAGAGGCCAGTGCTCTTTTCGTTCTACCCTAGTCCTTGAAAACTTGCTTTGGGGTTCTGCCATAAAGAAACAATATCTCACCGTCATATAAGGCACAAGATGATGTAATTTAGAGAATTCAACTACGTGTGTAGGCAGTAATTGAGAATAAGAACAAGTAAGTTGTTTTTTTCCTTGAAAAGAGATGGAAATAAACCTGAAAATGGCATAGAATTCAACATCCCATGAATAAGACTAGTCTTTGTGATGCTTAGAGTCGAAACTTGCCTCTAAGTATTGATGTTTTTGATCATGACGTTCTTGATGAAGTTAGATATCTCCAGCCCTATAAACTTACATTATAGACTTACATGAAAATCGAAGCTAATTAGCCATGGAGACATCATCCATGTCCGTTTTCAGCGCATGTAGACTTACCGAGCCCCTGACCCATTACCTGGATTTGGGCGGGGGTCGACACGTATAGGGCGACGAATAAGGAATTAAATGAACGTGTATTTGTTCCCTACATAACTATTAATTTGGACTTGCTTAGTCTCATTTTAATGCATAGGTACTATGCAGTATAAGTGCCCGTAGCCCAGATCAGCATCAAGCCAACACCAAAACATCCCCACTACAATGGTCTCCAACCCCCAACACGACAAGCGGCATCCCATTTGGTATTTCAACGATCACTAAACTGACTGAAAAGCCCATGGGTGATAAACTAGGTGATCATACGAATCATTACCGGAATGGAACGATGTGGGATCTTGGCGCGGGGGAAGAAAGCTTGGCTTTAGCGGGGGTTGGAGAGATTCTTCGAGAACAACTGGAACACTTGCGATCTAGAGCGATCTAGGCGATCTATATTGTTCCTGCGTTGTACCTTTTTGTGTTTAATTATTTTGAGGGAGTTTTACGGTATAGGCCAGACCCCAGAGGTTGATCGGAAGCAACGGTTTATTTTTCTCTAGACCATCTAAGAGAGACATTCGCAACGTGTATATCGTGATAAGAGCAATGGCTCACGGTGCCAGGGGGTGGATGGGTTAAAACCATCGAAGCAAAAATAGACCCCACAAAAATAAAATAAAAACAAACGGCAAAATCCTTAACGGGTATACGCTTAGATGCAAATGCATGACAAATATGAGGGAAAAGACCATCGCTGACCGAAAGGCCTCGGCATCTAGCGAGGAGCGAGTCGGTCCGCGATGAGAGTTCAGGGATGGCGGACATCAATACTCAAAACAGGACTGAGGAATTGATATCCGACCGTAGTAAGGGCAAAGAAAAAGGGTTGAATAAATAAAAGACATCAAGTCTTGAGGAACGGAAAGGATGATTTGAAAAAAGGAACAATCTCCTGGATGTGAAGAAAGTAGATTGGCGAAGAGGGATAGTTGACTCAAGCGCAGACTTGAACGGCGATCAAGGCGCGAGCGAGATCCTCGGGGGCGAAAGGGAGGTCCTTTCGGGCGGACATAACGCACGGGGTCATAGCGGGCGAGATGGCGCGGACGAGGGGTGATGAGTAGCGGATGGACTCCTTGAGGAAGAACTTGGGGTCCTTTGAATCCTCGGGGATCTCGTAGATAGAGCCCTCGTTTATAAGGGTCATCATTGAGCCATTGTAGCTGGAGGGGTCGACGATGGTAGAGGACTGAGAGCCAGAGTCGGGGCCGCGTGGCGATGATTCAGCAGGAACCTCTGGATTGGAGTTGGCTATCGAAAAAAATGACGTTAGAATTTTAATTTTTTTTTGGTAGGATGGTTTCGATTAGGGCTGGAAAAATGCGTACCTGGATCGACATCATCCGGGGACACCGAGTTGTCAGAATCGGATGGGCCGGAGTAGCCGTCGGACCCCTCATATGTAGTGCAGGGCGACATGGAGACTTCAAATGAACGCTCACGTTCAACCATCGCACCCTGGAAGGACCAAGCGGCTAGGCTCTTCTGGTGGGCACGATCGAATGGACCACGAAACTTCGAGGGGGGACACTCGTGTCGTCTGTAATATTCGACTTTGGGCTTTCCATCATTTTTGGAGGAGCGGAACACCCGCCTGACCTTCTCACGGAACGTCATATTGGAAGATAAAAAAGAATTGTGAACTATAGGATATTCAAGATTCAAATTCAAGAAGTTCGGAGATCAATGCGGGCGGTTCCTGGAGAAAATGCCTCAGTGCATACCACTCCCGGATTGGGAACGGACGCGGTGGGTGTGCAAGCACGAATAGCGGGGTTTTTGTATCAGGAACAATTTAATCATTCTATAAAAATATAAAAAGAGAGAGAGAGAGGTAAAGTACAGGAAAAAGGAAAAGAGAGAAAGTCGAAGAGGAGAGGGAAATGCGGGAATTATAGTCGACACCTTATGGATGCAACGGCAAGAGAGATAAGCCAAGGTGGGATGGAGGTCCGGGTTCCCCAGAAGCGTCTCCGGTCCATATCCGGTGAGGATATTGGGGGCAAACTAGTAATGGCCTCTAATATCCACGTCTGTGCGAGACATTACCATTTATCTTATTGGCTTTGCTACTTTGCCATAAAGTATATCACTTAAAATATTAAACATTCTCTACAACATATGTTGCACATTCATCGATTTTTGTATGCACATCGGCAACCCCGATAGATTTTATTTCCCGAGTACGTATCGACCCGAGAAACGGCCGTATCCGGGCCAAGGAATCGCAATGTCACTGTTACTAGTACATATGTAAAGTACACGTTCAAGGCTAATAGTACCTGCAGATAGTGATAGTGGTAGCGAACTGGATCTTTCATATTGGATGTATGTCATACACCAAGTATAATCAAGTATACAACATAATCACTAGAACACAAGTAGAACATGATCATCCGAAATGTCAGTGGCGTACTGCAGCGAAGGCTTCCAGAAACTCGGTGAGAGCCTCACGGTTACATCATTCCAAATTTTGTGTAAGAGAGATGTGTCACGAAATATCATGAAATTAGCCAACAGACCAGAACAGACGACGGGAATAAACCGGAATCGGAGTGGAACTGGGCTTGCCCGACTGCCCCACTTGCACCCACTCGGCACGTTTTTGCCGCTTTTGCCTGTCCGTGGGGGGGGGGTTGAACCGCTGGTTGATAATGCACATTTTGGTCAACGTTCCCAATAACAGCGGCCGGCTGGCCCAATGGCAAGGCGCTTGACTACGAATCAAGAGATTGCAGGTTCGATCCCTGCGTCGGTCACTTCTTTTTTTTCCTGTTCAATTTTTAATTCCACTCGATTTCGGTTTTATTCAAGTTTACATAATTGTTTTTGTTGTTGTTGTTCTATTTTGTTTTTGTGTTTACAATGTACGAATACATACGATGTATGATATTATATTGATGACCTCATAGATCATTGATCAAAGACCAAGTTGACATTATTATCCTATGTTGTACGGAGTACGGAGTACTTTGTCCGATATGCATGTAATAAATAGCGCCTCAATCCACTGCCGCGCAATAGATTGTACACAAAGTACCCCTAGTGGGGGTACCATTTCTGACTCTATTGGAGGTCCTTTCAAAGCCATGGATCTTGCATTTTATTCATTTTACTATTTTTATACAATTCTATGACTACTATCTTCGTTTATGTTTTTATTGTGATCTCCTACTGTTTCAGAGATGATGTAATCGCTATTTTGCCCTGGACCCTTTCTCCAAGAATGTCTAGTCCCTAAGTAAAGTCAGGAATAATGGGATACTTCCTTAGGTTTTACGCCTTTCCCCAGATCATCTTTGAGCCCCCTTTGCCCTGATTGCCCTGACTACCCTGCTTACCTTTGATAATTGCCCCTGGACGGCCCCTAGTTGTGTAGGCACAACCCTATTTACCCGATGCAGACATTAGGGCTGGCCCAAGCTCACACGACCAGGGAACTATGAAAGAGACATCGCATGCGGAGGAATGTACAGTAAAAATGGAAGAAACAGAGAAAGAGATATATAACGAATTCGAATCTTTGATTTTGAATAGGAATTTGAAAGCATTTGAATCTAATAATAGCCAACGTAAGTACAAAAAGTAGAAAGAAAAAAAAACCCAAAAAAGAAGATTAAATTTGTGATACTTTGTGTTCCAGAACTGTCCTCACCACGGATCCAAGAACCCTAGAGACGAGAACATACCGCGTCATCCCTTACTTGACTTCTTCCTTCCTACACTTCACCACTATAGTAAGTTCACTTATCTTTCTTCCATCTTCCATCTTCTGACCAGCACAGAATCAATTCAATCTCAACAATGGCCAAGAAAGGAGGAAAGAAGAACAAGAAGGGCAGCAAGCCCGCGGCCGTTGCCGCCGTAGACAACGTCAAGGACGTGGTGTAAGTTGAAAAATTCGACCTGATGCCACATCACCATCTAATTCTTCAGTGAACCCGATCACGAAACTGTCGACGAGACCAACCAAACCGAAGGCCAGACTGAGACCGTTGAGCAGACGGAGGCGCTCGAGACTGCGACACAACCTACCGAGGCCGTCGCTGAGCCCATCAAGGCGCCTGAGGCCACCCCCGCGACCGAGGCCCCCGCAACTGAGATTCCAGCTGTGGCGGAGACCAAGGAAGTGGAGACCAAGGAGGCTGTGAAGGCCGAGGAGGCTCTCGCGACAGAGAGCAAGGGTACAGTGGAGGAGGCTGTGGAGAAGGCGCAGGCCTCCAAGGCCGGTCAGTTGGGTGAATTGGAAGGTGGCGCTGCCGCAGGCACTGGTATGACCCGTGTTAATAAAAATGCGACGAAGAACCAAACTAACCTGGAAACCTGCAGCTATCCTCCCAGAGACGATCACCAAGGAGCCCGCTTCCTTGGCCGCGACCGGCATTCCCGAGACACTGGTCGAGCGCCCCAAGACTGCGGAGTCAACCGACGTCCCTGCTGTCGTTGCGCCCGCGCCCATTGCCGTTCCCGCCGAGACCGAATCAACCGACATCCCTACTGTCGTTGCGCCCGCGCCCATTGCCGTTCCCGCCGAGACTGAATCAACCGACATCCCTACTTTCGTTGCGCCCGCACCAATTGCCGCCCCCGCCGAGACCGAGTCAACCGAGGTCCCTACTGTCGTTGCGCCCGCACCAATTGCTGCCCCCGTCGAGACCGATGCCGCCCACCCCAAGCGCCCGTATGAGAAGCCCATCTTCAACAACGAGGAGAACTTGAAGCCCCACAAGATGCCCAAGACCAACGAGGAGGCACTCGCCCCTAGTGTGGCGGAGGACAAGAAGACCATCGAGACCTTGGCCGGTGCTGGACCCGCTTCCACTGCTGCATTCACAACCCCTGAGCCTGTGCCTGTCCAGGCTGAGGCACCCAAGCTTGCCGAGACCCCTCAGATCGCTGAGGAGAAGGTCGAGACTCCTGTGGTTGCCGAGACCCCCAAGGTTGCCGAGGAGAAGGTCGCTGAGACTCCTGTGGTCGCCGAGGCACCTAAGACTGTTGAGGAGAAGAAGGTCGAGGCACCCAAGGTTGCTGAGGACAAGATCCCCGTCGAGTCTGCCCTCAAGACCATCCCTGCTCAGACCAGCGCCGGCAAGTCTGCCTCCTCTCCCATCGCGGTCGCCGCCGCGAACGCTGCCATTCTCTCTTCCAAGGGTGACAAGGCTGCTGCCCCGGTTGTTGCCAAGGAGGCCGAGCTTAAGAAGCCCGAAGCTGCCCTTAAGCGTGGCGAGGAGCCAAGGCCTAAGGCTGAGGAACCTCAGCCTGAGACCAAGGCCGAGCCTGTCAAGGAGGAGGCTGGCAAGGCCCAGCAAGAGACTCAGAAGACATCTGAGCCCTTAGCAGAGCAGGCCGAGAAGAAGAAGGGCGGATTCATGTCCTGGTTGAAGCGCAAGTTCAAATGAGTAAATTAATCGCAGTGGGGAGTGAGAGAGCCGGTGTATGATATGCGCTGTACGCTAGTTGGGGATATGTTGGGGTGGGGGGCTTGCAGGCTACCTCAAGCTGCCTCAGGCTTTGTTTTTCTTTCTTTTGTCAGGCTTTGATGATACACCAGTTGAAATTATATATCAGAATCAGAATTATAGTGCTTATTATTTGTGTCTCGGGACCCTGTGATGTAAAAAATAATTGTTTTTAGTTGATGACTTCAGAGTTGTTGGGCTCCAGGGCTTGCACGTTGTCTGACGTACACCGCTACTCAGGCGTCAATGCGTAGCTCCATACAACCTATGGACATTGTATGCAGCAGTAACTCGGTCTTCTATCTATCTTCCCCCGGGGAATTAGTATTCCATTATCCTCGCCATGAAATTCAAGGTCATCATTAGTGACGGGTCCGGGTGGTCTTTCTGTCATAGCCGGATTTCAACATCCCCCATAACGTCAAAAGTGGGAAGAAGGTTGCAACCAATGAAAAAGAAGAAGCCAAGGCAAGACGACATCAAAGATACCAAGTCTACTCCAATGGAGATACAATACCACCAACATGACACCCGGTACGGAGTACTCCGTATTCGGATGAAGATGAACGGGTGTGTTGTACTTTGTAGTTCTCTCAGGTCCACAGGTGGCGAAGCTGACCCACCAGCTCTGATTTGGCTTTGTGCCACCATGTGGCCTTTCTTGCTTCGATACCACGGGTTTGACCATCTGTAGAGACATCTGTAGAGACTGGGATATGCATTGGCGTTGATGTTGAGTTGTTCGACCCCTTCCAACAATCTCTTTGGCAAAGGCTGTTGCAAAACATCTTTTGCTATAGAGATCATTGACTTTGTCGTGTGCTTCTGCCCATTTCCATATCGACTTTACCAGGTGGCCACGTTCACTTTGACTCTTGGGTCGGACTCTCGAACTTAGGCCATTCTACAGTTCGCGGGAGATGGAATTTGTATAAAAATGTGCGGGTACCTTAGAGGAAGGAAAGACCAGGGAAGGTGCGTAAATAAGAAGGCATAACCCAGTTCCATCACAACTATAACTCTTCCCGGAGTAACAGGGGGTTCAGTCTAAAGTTGGCTGTCCTACAAGATACATGCGTTATACAAAAATCCCTGCCTTCTTTTAATTCACCGCTCTTTCAGTTCCTACTTCTCTGTTCTTGATATTTACATTACCGTTTTGAACTGTATCTATCTTGCCTTTCCCAGTAAATATAGTCTCTGTGAAAGATATTAAAGAGGATGGATACGAACCAAGTTTCGGTTGGGCAGTCGACTGGATCTTCCTAATCCGGGCGCCGGCGAGGAGTCGCATTGGTGGAGGTCGGAGGTTCAAAAGTTACTAGAGAAACATGGATTTGAGGACCATTCGGCAGACTGGGCGTCATGGTGGTATTGAGACACTACTACACTAGTTAGTTTAACCAACTCTTGGGCGGTGCGCTACTATATGTTGTTGTGTTCCAAAATGCTGAGTAGCAGCCATAAATGCCTATCATTTGGACTACTTTCCCCTCCCTGGGTTTGTACATTTATACACTTAGCTGCTTCCTCCGTCGAATGATCGGGCATTGGAACAACTATCACTGTATTCGTGGACTGATCAAGGCGTTAGGGTATCCGCTGGCAAAATAGTCATGGTAGTGGTAGTGGTCGTAGTCACGGTGAAGGAAGCACAGCTAAGCTGCGCAGAAGGGACGGTTACAGTTGTGTGCATAGTCACCGTAACAGGAGGTCCACAAATGTCGCTGGAAGTGACCGATAATGCTTCACTGGTGATTGAGCTGGTAGCATCTGCGGACAGCGTGCTTCCAACCTCTGCACTCGGATTGGCGACGACATCAATTTTGGCGGAGCTGCTAGTAGATTGCTCACTTGTAACCGGCAATGGGGTACTCGATAAAGAGACAGAAGGAGTTCCGAAAGAACTCGTTTTGATTGGTGTGGCCGAGGTGGGCGGGGTGGCGTACAAATCAGAGACAGATGAAGGGTAGCGTGTCACAGCAGGCAAGGTCCAAGGCGTAACAGTGGGAGCAACACTAACACCCGAAGCCTTGACATTGGCGAATGCCTGATCAGGGAACGGCTTTGGTCCAGGCATCGTGTAGTTCACGATCCAAGGACGATACATATAGAAAAGAATGCCAGGCTCATTACCATCGTAGACGCCTGGGATTTGAACCACCGGACCTGGAGTAGCCGTGCTGTCACTCTCCACCTCAATCTGTGCACAATTGAAGAAAAACTCCGCATTACCCCACTCACCCGCCCCGTGGAGACCGATGTGCTCAATTCGAACCAGATATTGACCCGCAGGAACCTCTTTAGGCAGTGTGAAAGTGAAATTTGCTGTATCGGTTGCACCCCAGGTGATTCCATCGCTGGAGAATTTTTCAGGACCAAGCTCGTAGATCTTGAACCAGTCACCCGATCCATCGTAGTCGCGCACATCGCCGGTGGCCTTGGACATGTAGACCTGGAGAGGACCTGGGTGTTGGATGAGGGCGTTGAAGTCCGTCCCGAAACCGATTTCATCACCCGCTTTGACTTTATAGACACCCGTCTTGCTGGCGAAGTCTTGGGAACCAGTATTGCAGCGGAAGTCGTTGTTTGAGTACTGACCCTTCATGGGCATAAAGTTCTGCGTGTCTTCGCGGACATACTCGTAAAAACCGGTGTAGTTGCCATTGGCGATAAAATGGGGGAAGAAATAATGAGCGGACACATTGGGGATAGCCGCCAGGGCTGCCAGTGAGAACAATGAAAGGTTCTTCATCTTGCAGAGTATAAAAAAGAATGTGAATTGCAAGGAAGTCAACTACCGCCAGGGCATAGGAAAATGAAGGTAGGATGTAAAGGGAAGTAGCCCTCCAACACTACTACATTCACATCTCATATATATCATGATTTAGCACAGGAGTCGACGGGTCCTGTAGTTAGTTTCACAAAGCGATGGTATGGTACTTGGCAGTTTCAAGTGGGCGCTAATGCCTAAGTTATGTCGGGTTCTACTCCATAGGTAGTCCCTGGTTATATACTGCGTACTTGGAAAGCCCATTTCACAAATAAAACCTATGATCCACCTCCTTCTGCCATCTGTATGTGAAATTGAGAAGGTGGTGGGTCAAATAACTGTGAAAAGAAGACATATACGGCGCAATAAGTCTATTAAAAAGATAGAATAAGGTCGCAAACATGGCCGACTATTTTTAGTCGGGTAGATTTGTATAAAGTTCAATTAGCCCAAATTATGCTGGAAACCCACATAAGAGATGAAGTTTAGAGATCTTCGAAGAAAAAAGAGCATCGGTGATTTGATATTAATTTTATCAAGAGAGCAAAGAGAGGAGATAGTTATAACTCAGCTAACAAGGTGGAAGCCCGACAAATCAGGCATCAAGGCAGCCATGGAGATAATCTGCCTCAACAGCAACAGCGAAACATCCAAAGAGCTAAGATAATACCAATATTGCCCCTTTTGTATACTTACCCAGCTCAGTTGAATCAATTCGGCAAATTGAATGTTGATGAAGCTTCTAAGATCTGTAGATGTTCAATGTGTATAAAATACCTAGGTAGGTCTAGCCACATCTCCCAAGCGGGGTCCCCGCATATTACCCGCTTCCATCTGTTTCGGGCCTCGGTAAGCTTCCAAGCTTGGACATAAAACTGGGGGATTGGGGACCTTCTACATTCCATCACATATTGCTACTTTAGTTCTTCAAGATGACATCCCTTCCGCGTAAGATATGGCAGCATCCAGCCCCAGAGTCGACCCAGATGGGTCACTTCCAGCGAGACCTAGAGAAATCTACCGGACGCAAGTTCGATGTGAGTGAAGATGGCTCTGTGTGAAGATACTATCTATCTAACCCCTCTCAGTCCTTCCATGATATGTACCTGTATTCAATCAAGAACCGTTCGGTATTCTGGGACTTCTGTTGGAAATACTTCCAACTGATCCACGAGGGTTCCTACACAAAGGTGGTAGATGAATCCGCTCGAATGGACAGCGTGCCTGAATGGTTCGCCGGTGTGCGCTTGAACTTTGCCGAGAACCTGCTTTTCTCACGCGTTGCTGGCGACAAAACAGACAAGGAAGACGATAAGATTGCCGTTAGCGAAGTCCGAGAAGGCGCTGCGCATGAGGTTGTCCATCTTACTTGGGGTGAGCTCCGCCGACGGACCGGAGCGCTGGTCCAGGCTATGAAAGCTCATGGAGTTGTTCGGGGTGATCGTATTGCTCTCTGTGCGGCGAATAGCATTGAGACACTACTTGTGTTCCTGGCGTCAACGGCTCTGGGAGCTATCTTCTCGTCTAGTTCTACGGATATGGGTACGAAGGGTGTTCTTGATAGACTGCTTCAGATTAAGCCTCGCTGGCTGTTTATGGACGACTTGGCGGTTTACAGTGGCAAGACCATTGACTTGCGATCGAAGATTGGGGAAATTGTTCAAGGCATGGAGTCTGATCCTGGATTTGAGGGGGTTATCGCACTCCCTCGGTTCTCTTCCCGGCCGGCAGATATCAGCTCCATCCCTAAGACTAAGACTCTGGAGGAGTTTCTGGCAAAGTCGGGCGGCAACGAGAAACTGGAATTTGTAAGAGTTGGATTCCGTGATCCTTACTTGGTGGTTTACTCGTCTGGCACGACAGGGCAGCCGAAATGTATCGTCCATTCCGTGGGCGGCGTGCTTCTGAACTCGAGCAAGGAGGGGAGGTTGCATGGTGATCTCGGCCCTGATTGTGTCACATTGCAATACACGACCACTGGATGGATTATGTATATGGGTGCAGTGCAGACTTTGCTCTTTGGAGTACGGGTGGTGCTGTATGATGGAAGCCCTTTTATTCCAGGTGTCACTGCTTTGGTTGATCTTGCAGCGCAGGAGAAGTAAGTTGTCCTTCTTTTGACCTCCATCATGCAAAGCCCCCAGGCTAATCAACTGCAGGGTGACCCACCTTGGAATATCACCTCGATGGCTCCATGAGTTACAGCAGGCTAAGATCAAGCCCCGTGAGAAAGTAGACCTCGGCTCTTTACGGGTTGTCACAAGCACTGGCATGGTCCTGCGGGATGAATTATTTGAGTGGTTCTACGACGAAGGGTTCCCATCCCATGCTCGCTTGAATAATATTTCTGGCGGTACTGATATCGCAGGATGCTTTGGAACCGGCAACCCTCTTGTCCCGCTGTATGTTGGTGGATGCGCCGGATGCAGCCTGGGAATTCCCGTGGAGGTTTACGACTCTACGATTGAGGGTGGCGACGGAATCAAGGGGGTGCCCGTAGAGGAAGGTGTTCCGGGCGAATTGGTCGCCACGTCTGCTTTTCCCAACATGCCCACAATGTTGTGGGGTGACCAGGGGGGCAAGAAGTACCATGATGCGTATTTTGGGAGATTCGATAGTGGGCCCACTCCACCTCTTTATCTACCTATGACTATCGTGGCTAATCCTGCATAGATGTGTGGACACACGGCGACTTCGTCTCTATCCATCCAATCACAAAACAGATCGTGTTTCACGGGCGCGCCGATGGGGTACTCAACCCATCGGGAGTGCGGTTTGGATCGGCCGAGATTTATCGGGTACTCGAGGGTCAATTTTCGAAAGAGATTGTTGATTCCATATGCGTAGGCCAGCGACGACCAACGGATACGGACGAGCGAGTGATACTCTTTTTACTCATGAGACCAGGGGTAGCGTTCACACCGGAGCTAGTTTCACGGGTCAAGAGCGCGATTCGTACAGAGCTGAGCCCCCGCCATGTGCCGATGTTCACGTTTGAGACACCTGAAATTCCGGTATGTACTTTTGTAGGGAAAACAAGATCTGTAAAAGCGGGACTGACCCACGTATATCGTCACAGACTACGGTCAACCTGAAAAAGGTGGAGCTCCCTGTGAAGCAGATTGTATCGGGAAAAATCATCAAGCCCTCGGGGACACTTCTCAACCCGAAGAGCTTAGACTTCTACTATCAATTCGCTAAAGTGGAAACGTTGCGCGAGAGCAAGCTCTGAGTGGACTCTTGGACCTCTTCCAATTCCATGTGTCTCATATAAGAGGGGCAGGCCGGGTCCATCGGGATCGTCACTTCGCTCTGCCAAGCTTTGACCAAGCTTTAGCAAATGGGGATCGTCTTTTGGGGAGGATGGATGTGAATACATAGTAGAAAAGAGAAAGTAGATTGAATTAGGTAGAGATATTTAAGATTATTGAATTGGAAAGAATAAGGTCAATGTAGAAAAAAGTAGAAGAAGAGTAGTGGAAAAGAAATTGATGGGCTGATCGAGTGGCTCAGTGCATCCACTGCGTCATCAAAAGCCCCCGCACGGCCACCTCAAGTGTATTCCTCGCTTCTCTGTTTCTTTCCCTCTTCTATTCCTCAATTCCTCAACTGCTTTTTGTCGTTTGTCATTTGTCCTTTGTCCTTTGTTCCTTTGTGTTCTATCTCCTCATCATTTATTTGCAATCATGGTCCATCTCGCTAAAGTTAAGAAGGACAATGAGGTCCTCCCCTCTGTTCGGGAAATTGACTCCATTCCTTCCTTGGAGACAAATGACTACGACACCAATGTCTACGGCAGTCACTTTGCCGCTGATCATATGCCCCAGCATGAAATGCCAGAGGGAGAGATGCCCCGCCAAGTTGCTGCTCGGATGATCAAGGATGAGCTGAGTCTGGACGGTAATCCCAAGCTCAACCTCGCCAGTTTCGTCACCACCTACATGGAAGAGGAGATCGAGGAGATCATGACCGAAGCCTTCAGCAAGAACTTCATTGATTACGAGGAATATCCTCACTCCGCCGAGATCCAGAACCGATGCGTGAATATGATTGCTAGACTCTTCAACGTTCCCACTGATTCCGACAGTGAGAATGCTATGGGTACTTCAACCATTGGGTCTTCCGAGGCTATTATGCTGGGAACACTAGCTATGAAGAAGCGATGGCAGAACAAGCGCAAGGCGGAGGGCAAGGACTACTCGCGCCCTAACATTGTTATGAATAGTGCTGTCCAGGTCTGCTGGGAAAAGGCTGCTCGTTATTTCGATATCGAAGAGAAATACGTCTTCTGCACCGACACTCGCTTTGTGATCGACCCCAAAGAGGCAGTCAATTTGGTGGATGAGAACACAATCGGTATTTGCGCTATCTTGGGTACCACCTACACCGGTGAATACGAGGATATTAAAGCGATCAACGATCTACTAGTGGAGCGCAACATTGACTGCCCAATTCACGTTGATGCGGCTAGTGGTGGCTTTGTCGCTCCATTCATTACCCCTGACCTTGAGTGGGACTTCCGCCTGGAAAAGGTGGTTTCCATCAACGTCTCCGGTCACAAGTATGGTCTGGTCTACCCCGGTGTCGGATGGGTCATCTGGCGCTCTCCTGAGTTTTTGCCCCAGGAATTGGTGTTCAACATCAACTACCTAGGAGCCGATCAGGCCAGCTTTACTCTGAACTTCTCCAAGGGTGCTTCTCATGTTATTGGGCAGTACTACCAGCTGATCCGCCTGGGTAAGCACGGCTACCGTGCAATCATGACCAACTTGACTCGTATCAGCGACTACCTGTCTTCGGAGTTCGCAAAGATGGGCATGGTCATCCTGAGCGAGACGCATGGCCGGGGTCTGCCACTGGTGGCCTGGCGCCTTCCCACAAACAACGGTCGTGTCTACGATGAATTCGCTGTGGCCCACCAGCTACGTGAGCGGGGCTGGATTGTGCCTGCCTACACCATGGCGCCCCACAGCGAGAAGCTTCAGATGATGCGCATTGTCATCCGTGAAGACTTCAGCATGAACCGATGCGATAGCTTGATCCAGGACTTCAAGCTTGCTATTGAGACTTTGGATGCTATGGACAAGTCTATGATTGCCAAGTATAGGACGTAAGTTGTTTCTGTCCTAGATGTTCCTATTTTCATACTAACAGCTCCACAGACATATGCAAAACCACCGCAACCACCCTCGGCACCAGTCGCGTGCTCACCCTCACTACATGGGCGAGAAACACTCGCTGCAGGGCAAGGATGGCAAGACACATGGAGTGTGTTAATTTTGCCGTGTTCTTCAAGATGCATTTTCTTTATCTTCACGATATCTTGGGGTTTGGGCTGGATAGAGTAGTTTTGAGGATGAATCACGCGGGTGCCACACGCAGGATATCTTGTGTTCCTGTGACAGGATCCAACTCATTGAGTAGATATCTAGCTGTAACTAGCATATGGATCATGAAATTGAAATGACCAAATCAATGAAGTTAACCTTGGAAGGGACAACCTCCTACACTAATTTGCGTGAGATAGCTTTCCGTAATATGTATGTCTGGCTTCTTTTCTCTTCTAACAACTGCACCTGGAATTAGACCAGGGCATGATTTTTAGAATTAGACTTAGATAACCTCGGCTTAGAGATTAGCCCTGATATCTCGGCGAATTCCCCGAGGCCATGCATTTGGTTCGGACTGCTCGAGTGGGCATCACTACCCACCAAGACTATTACCCTGAAAAATGAAAGACAATCGATTTTTGCTACTGAGGCCATCTATCACTTGTGATGTCATGTGTACGTAGACTCATATAAGGAGCCGCTTCGAACCTCAGGTTGTATTTCCTACCACTCATACTATGAAGAGCATCTCAATTGACTCGAGCAGGAACCATTCTCCAACCAGGGACTTTCTACTGACTTCGACCCCGGCTCAACTTCCTCCAGCCAAGGTGACGAAGCTTCATCCGTCCAAATCAGGCGAGGAGAACGCAGCCCTGTTCTTTGTAGGAACGGCCACAACTATCATGTCTGTTCACATCTAGAGAGTTATGAGCGTGTACTAAGTAAAGCAGAGAATGGAGTGGAATACGGATTATGACTGATGTCAGCTTTTGATGGAAACTCCAATGCTCACACACTGACTGTGTTAGCCCAACTTCCTCCACGCAGGCGACCATGTCCACCTGGGCCCAGGCATGTCAAGTGAGCGCCTCACAGACCCAGCTATCAACCTGCATGACCTCCCTCAGATTGATTTGGTCCTTCTCTCCCATTACCACGAGTAGGTCTCGGAGGCCTGAGGTATTGAGCAGATAACTGACATTGATCCTGCCAGGGACCACTTTGATAAAAAGGTCGAGGCTTCATTGAGACGTGATCTACCCATTATAACTACACCACATGCAAAGAAGTATCTCACTTCTAAGAAGCAGGACTCGTTTACATCCGTATCCGCGCTCGATCCATTTGAGCAGATTGAGGTCAGCATTGAAGGTACAGATGGGCCAGGACCGCCCCAACTGCGTGTAACGGGGATGCCAGGGAAGCATGTGCCTCCTAAGCGAGTGGTCGAGAAACTCAACACGCTAGCCAATGTGGTGGGTGGAGTTGCTTTTTCTAGATGTTCCTCATTAGGCGGGCCGCAAGCTAACAGATCGACAGTTCCCGCCAACCAACGGCTGGATGCTCGAGTTAGGTCATGCCAGCACCAATACTACAGACTTCTACTGTGGTTATCGCATCTACATCTCAGGGGACACTTTGATGTTTGACGAGCTCCGGGAAATTCCAAAGCGATACGCCGGCCAACAAATTGACCTGATGCTCGCCCACCTCGGCGGCACGACCACTCCTTCTCCTTTAGTAGGAAGACTAATGGAACCGCTAGCGATGACGGTTACTATGGATGCGGAGAAGGGCCTGCAATTGACTCAGTTGATCCAGCCAGACGTTACAATTCCGACCCACTATGATGACTACGATGAATTTGCGAGTCCACTAGAGGATTTCAGGCGGACGATGGAGGTAGCGGGGTTATTGGACAAGGTTGTGTTTCTAAATCGCAGGGACCAGTATTGCTTTCGAGTTAGGAGATAGGAGAGCCTAATGGTAAGATATCGAATTTTTATCGACTCTGTACGCATGTTTGTGCTTGAGAGCTCAGCCCTGGACGCGTTGGTGGGCTGAAAAAATGGGCTCCATCACATATTTCGATTCCACCATTCCTGGTATGGGGAATGGTACTTCACATGTTGTATGAGAAATTATTATTTGCTTCGCCATCAAGAGCGGATCCATTTTCTTTTTCTTTTCTAGTTTTGGGGAATTTGGGGGCGGTTTATAACCGAAGTATGGTATGTAGTAGATGACGAGGCTCGTATATGGCTCGTGTTCCTTGCTCCATATTATCAAAAGTATTCGACTTTGAATGACCTGGATAGGAAATTGCAGGGCTGTTCTTTCAAATCTTTATCTCTTTGATGTCTGTTCAACTATACCGGTGGTTAAGATTGATATAGACCGGATAGATGATGTCCACATAGATCTATTACATAGTTAATTAGTTAATTGACATGATCACTATTGTATTAGATACTATACTATTTTTGTTTAAATCCTTTAATGCATATAAATACTCGGTATACTGCTGATACAAGCCAACCAGGGTCATCCATTGTTTACCCTATATATAGAACAACCTCTCCAATCATCGCTCGTCGACCCCAGGTCCACCAAATCAGCCTCCCCCTCTCTCTCCCCTCTCCCCTTTTTTTCTCCCTCATGATCAGAAGCAGTGATGCGCAACCTTTTTAAAAGCAAGTCGCCTTCGAATCGGACAAGTCATCATTCTATGCGCAGCGCCGAACAGTTGGCCCGCCCCGCGTTTGCTCCACCAGACCCCAACATACCCAACGCGGATTCAGATCGGCGCTTTTCACAATTCGAGTACTCTGCTCCTGGTCCTGTACAGAATCAGCCTCAGACTCTAAGTCGGTCACAAAGTCAACGTCAGAAACCTTTACGTGACCGACCGACTGTCAACGTTGTCGCTCCCGACGACTCGCATCGCAAAAAGGGCCGTGTCGAGCGCAGCGTCTCTGTCAAGGGCAAAACAATCTCCCTTCCCGTCTCACAACCCACCTCACCTGGAATTCTATATCCAGAGACTTTGAAGGAGTCCGACGAGTTTCCGCTGCATCCCCGGCATTCCTACGCGGAGAACCCCTCACCTGGGACACCGCAATCTCTCTCCCACCAACAGCAATACCAACAGGCCCACCGAGCTCCCCGACCTTCCCATCCTGCGCACGCCCAAGACAACCCCGAGTGGTCGCAGCAAACTGTGCAACCGCTTTATACCCAACCCCAGCGGTCCAACACCGACCCAACCCTGCTTGAACAGTACGTCCGACCGTCGCCTACCGAGATTGTCCCCGAATCACCACGATACGCGCCGGAACATCTTCATCGGGGACAGGCTTTCCCCCCTGCCCAGGATCCGGTATTGAATACCCGACCCCCATCTCAGCAGACTCACGAGCCGCTTTCCCCGTTACGGTCCGTTTATCCTGACGCCATGCAGTCTTCCGCGCTGGCATCACAGAACCAGGGTCAATTTCAGCAGCTGGACAGACAAAAATCTGCAGGTTCTCCGCAGCAGAATCGGAGTCGGCAGGGTAGTGTGTCAAACAACATGCCTGATCCCGGACGGAGCACACCTACCAATACACACCGCCGCGAGGATTCCGGGGAAGTGGACTTGCGGGCATTGATCCAAAAGCATGATGAACTCCGTAAGGGTTTTTGATTTGGGGTTTGATTTTTGATGACTAACGATAACTAGAGGCCAAATATTCCAAGGTGAAACGATATTACTTTGAGAAAGATGCGCAGGTTCAGCATCTCCAGAACACGGTAGCCCACCAACGGATGGCGGTGTCACGTACCGTGCTTGATGATAATGAATATACCAACCGATTCCAACGACTTGACGGAGCGATTAAAGACCTGGCATTCTCCGTGCGCAAATATTGGCGCAGTATTCCATCGTGGCTGAATGGAATGGTCACCGACGATGCTTTATCGGTCGGCACGAAAGAAATGACCGCGGTCGGTCGGGCGGTGATCAGCCGATGGCTAGTAGAAGAAGTATTCCAGCGTTATTTCCATCCATCCTTGGATCCAACATTCAGCATGCAGCTGAAGAATATCGAAATGAATCTGCGACGGCAGCGACCGTCATCCGAAGAAGATCGCGAGAATGCCTCCGCGAGAATCTCCTATTGGCGCCGCACCACCTTCGACGGACTAAATGATTCCTTAGTCGGACCTGATGCCCAAGAACATCGCGTGAAACTAGTCGAGAATCTCATCGTGGAACTCGCTGCCTTCATGGGATCCCAGCTGCACGAAAGCGGGTCGCTAGGGCTAGAAGCAAGCGTGCGCATGATCATTGAGAACTCAGTTAACATCATCGAGAAAATCCCCCTCGAAGCCCGCGATGTCTGTGTCGATTACTTCCCACCGGGTGTCTCCCTCGCCGAGCAATATATGAAGGTCGAAGGCCAACTACCCGCGCTGAGCCACCCGCCCCCACCACCCTCAGACCAAGAGCATCTTGAGGACCCTGTTGCGGCGGAGGGAGACGCCTCATCCGGTTCAACCGCTGGAATAATAGAGAGTCCCTCACCCGCGCAGCAAAAGCCCACGAAGAAGTCCATCTTTGGCGGGTTCATAAGCCGCAAGCAAGCCTCCAACGAGACCAGTCGTCCGGCGCCGGCGCCTGGACCAGCCGAAGATAAGAGCGAGCCTGCTGAGCTAGCTCCGAGCAACCTACGTATCCGGTTCGCAGCGTTCTTGGCGGTTGAAGTGCGCGGCAAGGGCCCTGCAACGGTGCTGATCAAGTCACCCGTGTGGCTCGTGGAATAAATGGTGCTACATCAGTGTAGCTGGATTAGATTGGCAACCGCTAACAGAGGTTCTCGATCTAAAATGGTGGAGTGTGTACATAGAGAATGGCCAGAGCTGTCACATGCTGGGATGGCGACGAAGATCATGACTTGTTAATATCCTTGATATCCCGAGGCGTTTCAGTCGTTCAGCGGTGCCAGTTTGCTTGCAGTTTGGGTTGAGGTTTATTGTTTTTTCTTTGCCGTGACGACTAGAATCTGTGATTCTGTGATGATTCTGTGATGATTGTGCTTTTTTGAGTAGAAAGTTTTTCAATTCGATGTTTCTTAGCGGCATTCTTCGTAGTTCATCCACGAACTCATATTCGTTCCATTACCTTCAGTCCATACCCGATACATCAATACTTCCAATCAACACCATATACCCTACTCACTGAAATCAACCTCCTACAAAGGCGGCGGCGCCAGATCCAACCCTTCAACCTCGAATTTAAACGCATCACTCCGTGAATAACTCCCAGCAACATCAAGATCGAGCCTTCCTCGCTCACAATCATCCATATCAATACGCGCGATCGCCAACCCATCACCCGCCGCAACAGCAGGACTAGACTCCGCAGCCGACGTGCCAGGCGCGGAATCAGTCACAGCAGCATCGCTACTATCCGGGACGTCATCCGTGCAGACTTCCCACAGCGGTCCGGCAAGAACCTCTCCAAGAGGCGAGACAATACAGCTCCCACCACGACAGACATAATCCAATACCGAGTCTGACGGAGCCAGGGACGGCTTAGTATTCGGTATGGAGGAATTCTCCGATTGACCCTGACCCTGAGCCTCACCGTGAGTCTGCGGCCAGACAATCTCATGCGGACCCTCAGCAGTGATGGACAGTTTCCTTCCAGGATGCTGCGATTTACTCGTAGGAGAATTTGCATTTGCTTTTCGATCTCCGCTTGGACCGGTATTACCACCGGTAATCCACCCAGGCAGCTCGGAGCCACGCACGCACTGGTTCGCCGAGAGCACGAAGCAGCGGCCTTCTATGCCGACGGTACGCATGAGCGGGAGCCAGGTAGAGCGGGCGTCAGCTGTGGGAGCGAGATATATATTGACATTCTGGGAGTAAAGACTCTGACGTAGAAGGGGCATGTAGTTCTCCCAGCAGATTGCGGATGCTATGGTTAGTGGGATACCATTTAGGGTTGTTGTGACGGCTCGTAGGGTTGAGGGTGAACCCTGAGCCCAGATCATACGTTCGGCGGCCGTCTACGAAGGTTAGCAAACAGCCAATGATAGAACGGGAGAGGAATAATAGAGAAATACATACCGGCATAACCTTCCTCCTCTTCCCTAGAACACCTCGAACAGGATCAACATAAACAACAGCACAATACAAACTACCTCCAGCTCTCTCCACCAACCCAGTAACGATAAAAACTCCAGTTTCCCTCGCAACACGCTCAAGGAACTCCCTTGTCCCATCCCCCCGGAACCTCTTGCCCTCCGCAATCTCCAACCTACGACCAATCCACTCATCGCCGGCCCCAGCCGGCGTATCGCCTAGATCAACGGCTGCCTTGAAGTACGCAAGGAATTGGTCCCGGCCGCGCGGGTGTCGACTTCCCACCGCAGAGCCGAAGGTGCATGTCCGCGGGTATCCGCCTAGATAGGCTTCCGGGAAGAGGAGGAGGTGGACACCACGGCGGGCGGCGACGGCTGTTGTTCGTTCGAGGCCGCGGAGGGTTTCGTTTAGGGATGCGTGTGTGCGGGATTGAGCGACTGCTACTGTGAGAGAGGGCATTTTGGGATTGATATTGACGTTGATTTAGGGTTATAGCTGGGATTGGGAAGAGGAGAAGTGAGAAATGAGAAGGGAATTTGGGTTGGACTATGACGAAATGGCTTTGAGGGGAACCTTGGACCCTTGGAAGCTTGGAAGCTTGGCTGTGGGGTACCCGTGGACTTTATATTGAAAAGTATAGGAATATAGGGATTCTTTGCCTGTTACTATCTAGAGTTGAGTTTCGACAAATGAAATAAGAAAGAACAATACGTAATATTGGACTAGTTACCACACAGATCCCATGTATCCCATGTATGTAGTCTTTAATGTAATAATTTCATGTTTGTCTAATAAAATACGATTGTTTGCTAATAGACAACTCATTAAAGCCTTCATCTTCTTCCTCTTCCTCTTCCTCTCTTCATACTTCCCCATATGATACTCTCATTTTCTCAACCACGCGAATGATGAACTATCGTTAGACGAAAGTCAATCTCTCACATAAAACGTGATTGTGATTTGTTGAGGGATTATCAACTCAACTCGATGGATAACACAGATATTCTTGGAACAGATATTCATTTATCCAAATCTCTATAATATGGTGGACATGGAAAAGAGGTAACCTTAACCTCATCATGGCATCCCTCTTCTTTGCTGACCCAGCTTGGTTTTATATCTGAAGGACCCGTCTATGACCCTCAACACTCGACTAGATTTCGATGAAGAAGTGATTTAGAAGCTCGCCGAGTAGCTATGCGACTACGTGCATCCAGCAACGAGCAGCTATTCAGCCTGACGGTCTTGTTTCTATAAACCATGAGAAAGATCATTTCAGAGTGAGCTCGCAAGGCAGCCTCGACCTCCCGAATCTGTCCCATCTTCAGAATACCTCGCGACCCTCGGCTGTTTTGCCCTGAGTCTAAACAGTGTCTTTGTTTTCCCGGTGCAAATTTCTACGGCACCAACGCAAATCCTCTTCGCTGGCTAAGCAGGCCAATCAGTCTTCCCGTGGGTCTGTTGATAATATCACCTTTATCAAAAGCAAACACCTCTATTCGTGTGGGAAGTGTCCCCAGGCAGACGAGACAGGGTGTGGAATGAAATCCACCAACCAAAGCAATGCCAAACCTCATGTGAGACAATACATGGTATTGATGATAAGCGAACTCAGAAATAGTTCCATTGTCCACGCGCGCTTGATGAAAACTGCGATAAACCTTGCTTTGACCGGGGCAATGCGAAGACACATTCTATGAAGGCACATGGCGAAGTTGAGCGTGACGAAACCTGCATTGCTTGCCACTGGACTTCGACACGAAGTTCAATCTCAGTGCACCGTTGTCCAGGCCGGTTCATTGCCACCGCTTTCCGCCAATCTATTAATAATCTCATTCACCCTCGGGGCGTTCTGTTCAATGCCTGGCCGCACATTCTGCCTATGGCTGGTAGTCACATCTTTCTATACCCTAAGCCTCCTCAGCTGTCACATCATATTCCCGCACACTTTCATATCCTTGGAGGTTCTCTTGGATAACCCATGACTTGAACTCAATCGAAAAGATGCAGAAACATAGCCAAATATTGATGCGGCAATCATCACTGCGGACGCGGTGTTCAGACCCCTCCAAAAGCCTCCTTCGGTGCACATGGAGTCCGAAACCCTCAACCTCCTGATCATATTGGTCTGCAGCTTCAGCATAGCCGGATGAAGGAGCTGCAGGGCACAACCCGCCATGTTAGAAACGGCGTGTTATTACCAGGAGTCACCCCGTCGCCGCCCTATGCTCTTTCTCTAACTCTTATCCAATTCTTTGAATGGAGGACTATTGGACTAGGGTCTGGAATGGGGTCATTATTCCAGGGGCCAGGCGGGAATATCAAATAGAGCAGATATCCCCCGCTAACAAAGAGCGTTACGGGTAATACCTATGCATGATTTTCCTTTGACTTAAACACTGATTGAGGCTGACTATTGTATCTTTAGTTGCGATATGGGCTAAGAAACGCGCGGACAAGCCGAAATATGGGTGCTGGAGCCATCCAGGCAAGCCAGTAGGCAATGGCTGAGTAAGTCGTCTTTATTTCTTCTTTCTCTAATGCCCGCGAGATGTGGAGAGCCGGCCCGCTTTTCTATATCAAGTTTGGGTTGGCATTTACCATTTAATACGACAATTGATTTTAGGCGTCCCTTCCTATTGATGAAAGATAGCTGATTTGATTATCTCTAGAAATTCAAGTGTTGCAAATAGTATGTATTTTCTCCTGGCTGTCATCGGGGTGCACGCTATAGCATTTCTAAGGACGAGGCGGCCTGGATGAAGAACTGGAAGATGTGCGAAGCTCCCCACAGTCCTATTGATTACTGCCTTGTAGTTTGAAGCAATGAATAGATGGATTACAGCCCCTTGGCGAGCAGGATTTGAGCGGATATGAAGTTGAATAATTGTTTAATACTATTGTTTTAGAAGAAACAGCTTGAGAAAAACGTAGAACAATAGTACAAAAACCCAATTGACAGCCTGATTGCATATTGTATCTACTTAATGTGAATCCAAAACCAGAAATGTACAGGGCAAGACACCCAACCCGGGGGACCAAAAGCACAACTATATACAAAATAATCCATGCAGCCACGACCAACCCGCATGAAAATATGCAAATTGGGGAAAAAAGTCCCGGGTATAGCGCGCCTTGCTATGAGAATGAGAGATATAGTAATACCAAAAAATATGAACATGACCGAAATGAAAAGAATGAAACCCGAAATGAAATAAATGCAAAGAATCACAGAAATGATGATGCTGAAATGCAAGAGAAATAAAGAGCATAAAAAAATGCGACCAATGACATATTTTCAACGAATGTTCGAGCGAATAGGTATATTCATGAAAACCTCATTAGGTGACCTATGCAGACATCCCATTGGCAGCAGCGGCTTGCTGGAACAAACGGGGCCAGCGCGAAATGAGTTCGACATCGTCAAGGGCACCCTTGCCCTGGTTGCGCACGTACTGGGTACTCGGGTCTGTGCGCGGCTCATAGTCCCAGACGGTCTGAGTACCCTTTATCAAAGCGGAGTAGACCAAACGGCGGCGGCGCTGGGAGCACAGTACATCCTGGTGGATCTTCTCCAAATCCCAGCGGGTATATGTTTCCTCGAGGAAAAATGCTAGGATTTTAGTTGGGTCGGTTGTGTTTGGCAATGCAGGTGGGAGCTTGGCGGGGCTCGGGGTGCGAGGGGGAGTATTCGAGGGGAAGGGGTAGTGTGCCGTGTTGGGGCGCTGAGGGATTGGCGATGCGTGCGGAGTGTCGTCTGGAGTTGGCAGGTTGACGGATGTCAAGTTGGTGGGCTTGGCTGCGATGGCTGCGCAGGTGGAAATGGACGGGATAGGTAGGCCAGCTGCAAGGTTGGTCCTCTCCTCTGGGTCGTTCACGAGATCGTACAGCATAGGTGGGTCGATGGTCGAGTAGATAAACTTCCAGCGGCCGCGACGGATCATCATCAGAGGGGCCTGGGTGCCCTCGCCCATGTACTCGCCGTACACAGTATCAGTGCGGAGGCCTTTGCCGCCGGTCAAATACGGCACAAGGGAAACACCGTCGAGGGGAAGCTCGGAGATCAGTTTGGCGCCTGCCAATTCAACGAATGTAGGGAGGAGATCCATGGTGGAAACGTTCTCTGAGACGCGCTTCGGGGCGAAGTGCTTGGGTGAGTGGACGAGGAAAGGAACACGAGCTGAATTCTCAAACCAGGTCATCTTGTACCACAGGCCGCGCTCGCCGAGCATGTCACCGTGATCACCGGTAAAAACAATAATGGTGTCGTCAGCCAGACCGGTGTTTTCAAGAACACGCAGCAGCTTGCCGACGTTGGTATCAACGTATGTGCAGGCGGCATAGTAGGCGCGACGGGCGGCACGGATGCGATCATCGGGCATTTCCTTGTTGAACAAGTCGATACACTTGAGCACGCGCTGCGAGTGGGCATCCTGCTGGTCGTGGGGAATAGCTCCATTCTTTGGCAGTGGGATCTCCACATCGTTGTACAGGTCCCAGAACTCTTTAGTCATGGCGTAAGGGTCATGAGGGTGAGTCATGGAGACTGTCAAGCAGAAAGGCTGCTCGTTGCGCTGCCGAACATGGTCGTACAGGTATTGAGTTGACCTGTAAATCACCTCTTCATCAAAATCCAATTGATTGGTGCGTACGACGGGGCCTGCCTCCATCACGGAAGACATGTTGTGATACCAGTCGGCACGGATGTCCTACATTCCAATTAGTATGGTGTTACAGCCGGTTATTCATAGAATGGACGTACAGGCTCATCCCAATTGACGGACCAGCCGTAATCACCGGGGTAGATATCACTAGTCAGACGCTGTTCATAGCCGTGAAGCTGGTCCGGGCCACAGAAGTGCATCTTTCCGGCCAAGGCTGTGTGGTATCCCTCCCGGCGCAGATAGTGGGCATATGTGGGGGTGTCTGCGGGCAGCTCGGCCGCGTTATCGTAGGCTCCAATCTTAGAGGGCAGCTGGCCGCTGACCATGACAAAGCGCGAGGGAGCACACAGTGGCGAGTTACAGTAAGCTGAGTCGAAGACTACACCGCCGTCGGCAAGGCGATCTAGATTAGGAGTCTTAATAGGGGAGTTCTTGTCATGCAAGGACAATAGGGGCGCAGCCATCTGGTCGGCCATGATGTAGAGAATATTGGGCTTCTTGGTCGCCATGGTGAATATCTGGTTCAATGGACGGCCAATGTGGATAAGAAGTTGAATCTAGATTATGTGAGAGAGAAAAGAGAAGGAAGAAAGTGTGGGAGAGCGGATGTTATATAAAGTTGAGGGAGAATGTGGGGAACAAAGGAGGAAAAAAAAGATAAAATGAAAAAAAAGACCAAAAGAGGAAAAATAGGAGATAATTCCAAAGAGCATGGGGGCTAAAAAGGCGAACACATGAAGGCCAAGACTAAAAAGGGTTGGTATTTAATGTAATATTTCCCCGATACACAGTGAAGATCCTATTTTGTATTCCTATTTGACCGTATACGCTGCAGAATGCTGTACATTGAAATTGTACTTCGTACTATGTAGTGTATCCCAAATCGATTAGTTCCAAGTAGTTCCCGCCTGCAACGGAGATCAGGGGAGATGATCCGGTACTGACGTACTCCCCCCGCAAGGACGATGGGATCATTCGAAGCATCGATGGTGTGATTTTCGGAAAAACCTGTATGGTAATATAATACCGAACTAGATAATCCCGAGTGCTTTACAGAGTACATAAGCAACATTTTTCTCCCTAGTTACTCAATTGGATATTAATATTTGTTATCTCTGGGAATAATTAATTGCAAATCAGAATATCCAGTCACAAGACCAGTGAGTTTTATCAATTGTAGGTAATTAATTCCCATCGGGCCAAGTGCCGAGTCGCCACTTTACAGGCACTATGGGGGTCGCCTGTGGTCCAGGTGTTGCATCTGTCACATTGGGAAAGTCACAATACCACCGCAATACCAAACGTGCATGTAAAACCACCACCTTTCTCACCCCCTTAAAACCAATAATTCCATTAAACGCATATCGTGCCAAAGTCGGGGGATTTAGTACGAAGTTTAGCTTCAGTGCAGTTCACACGCGCACTCGACCCCGGAGTGGATAACGGCATGGAAAGCCCACGTCCATGGCAGCGTTTCCAGTGTGACAGGACCCTGTAAACGCTAACTTGTTTTAGTCTAGTAGATCCCAAAGCCGACCACTAGTCAAACCTTGGGCTCCACAGGATCGTGTCGTTGCCTTTTCAACCAATCAATCAAGTCCTTTCTCTCCCGGGATAACCTAACAAAGTTAGAGGCGAGGCTTGAAGGCAGAGGTTCCACTTGCTTATCTTAACGCCCAATCAAACCGGAGCATTCGGCACTACCGGGGAGGAAAAAGAGACGTCGCGAGGATCGAAGATAGCGACGGAGTCCGGTGGGACTCTATCCTTTGGGTTTATCTCTTCTTCTTCTATCATTTCTGCTAACAGTTATCGCAAAGAAACAGTTATGAAACAAGGAGTCGGAATCTAAATGCATCATAGCTCCACAATGAGCAATCCCCCTTTCCGAGCACGCCATGCGGAGCGGTCTAAGATCACCCCCGGGTTTACGAAGTTTATGTACCTTGGAGGCGAAACACAGTCACCGCTGTTTCATGCCATAGGCAATTGCATTTGTGCTGTACGCACGGTGCTATATGTCCGATTTGCTCCACATGGCCACGTCTACATTGACGTATAACATATAAATTTCCAAGTCAGCACGGGATGGTTTCACCCGATGTAGACTTATGATATGCATAGTTATATTATTTAGTGTAGTGCGGTGTATACGCCTTGATCAGTATATTTTACCCGGCGCATGTGACAAATTGCCTTTTTCTTTTAAAAAAATGGGTTTAACCACGAGGCCTGGGTGGCCACCATGTCCTCAATGTCACTGTGCTGACACTTTTTTCCGTCAATTTTGTGGCTGAGTATATCGTCTGCCAAAGTATTGAGACTCCATGTTTTGCAAAGGGGGCCTTTAAAGAGGTCCGAAAATGGGGTTAGCAATGATGATTACTGTATCAATAATTATTGAGCGTACAGCCCACAGAACAATCAGGCCATTGTGGATAGCGTACCTAACCAGAATGGTGCCGCCATCCATTTTCTTGAATAGCATGGCAAGAGCTAACTCCTACTCTTCAATCAAAAGTGTCAGAAAGGATCTACGTCGAGGTGCATAGTACAACGAGAGATTAATTAAATAGTTGAACAAGCGAGGTTACGAGACTGAAATTTGACGACAAGTTTCTTCTGACTGCAGCCTTCATGTCGGCGATAACCAATTACCAGGTGCATGTATGCCTGAAGCTACTAGCTGAGGTCAGACCTCGCAGTGTGTTCATGAATGGAGTAAGCAGTTTTTCTTCTCTTCCTTCTCCTTTCCCTAGTTGCCTAAGAATATCTAATGCCAAAGAACGCATGTCATTACTTTACCTGCACCTAAACCCCAAACCTTCATCATCTCCTCCACTGTAGAGGGGGAGTGTAAACACTGAAAGCAGAGGGGAAGCTAAAGATGTTCCCATATTATCTAGCTACGCCGATGCTATAAGGGGCAACCGGTCAGGTGACATCACCTGACGGTGACAGGGAGGGAAAGAATCTTTATCGAGCCCTTGCCAATGCTTGTTGGTGCGAGATCAAAATCACTAAATTCTGTAACCCAACCATCCGAAGGCTCACAATCGCCCGGAGAAGGCAATGGTAGTCCCAGGAATTTCCAACCTTCGTCCTTCGTCTTCCTATTCTCGAGCTGCTGTCTCATATTCTGGCAGATCTTGAGTCAGCCATGTTTGATCAAAAAGTGAGAGATGCCTGGCCAATAAGTGAGAGCTGCCTCAGGTAAATTCTCGTATTCAACGGCAAATGCCAACCAAAAGCGGGCTGGCCCTCCACACCTTAAAGGTATCAGAGCGGGAAGAAACAAAGACGACTTACTTGTCCTTTGCCCACTGGTTTTCCTGGATGCCCCAGCACCCATCCTTTCCCCAGGACGGCCCTTTGATTGACTGGATACAACAGCAACATGGTCAAGGATAAAGCCGATCTTCGCCGATGTACTCCGAAAGAAAGGCACGAGAGCCGTGATGCTAGAATAGTTGACGTTGACTTGTTCGCATTGCATTGACGCTTTCAACTCCTTATAGAGATTATCGTCTGCTATCGCAGTCCGTAGGCAGTCGTCAAATTCAACCCGAAACCTTGGGTGGGGCGTTGATAGAAGCTTCTGATTCAGCTCACGTTTTGCTGCAGCTCGCCGTAGCCAAAAGCAGTTGACCCATAGGCTGATCTGCTCATCGGGAGCTTTTAGGGCCGGGGTGATATAGTTCGATCCTGGCCCTTGGAGTAATGCCCCGATCCCAGACCCTACTCCAGTAATTTTCCGTCCATATAATTGGAAGGAAGTTAGGGAAAGGGCCAAAGTTAGGGTCTTGGGGGACAGGGCGACTCGTAGTAATTAACCGCCCTTTCAAAAGCGGCTACTCGTAGCTATGCGGCCTCTTTATTCGGATATGCCGAAGATCTAAGGACATATTGAGGCGAGGTGGATTTGAAGATGAAAGTGAAATCTGCTGAATTGTGAATAAGTAAGCAGGCGAGCAAGAGATCAAAAGGGAATGGTGGCTGAACTCGATATATGAGATCAGGCAACGATAATGCTCGGCCTATTGAACGACACTTGGTATAAATATCGAGATCAGGCTTGTACGACTCCTGATAGATAACACGTTAGAGCGTTCTCCACTAGATGAAAATTGATGAAATCCGATAAAAAAGTAAAAGACCATGATGATGATATTCTCAAGCAAGCTAACTCCCATCCTTCCACCCATATTCGTATTGTCCGCTAGCAAACTTTTCTTCCCCTATCCACCGGAACATGTCTCCTTTCAAACACACTTACACAGTCATACCACATTCTTGCATAGGGAGCCCGAGTTGGAACTTCTTTGCGGGGTGCGGAAGTCTTCCGGGTATATATATCTCTCACGGTGATGATCTGCGAGCGACAGATTAGCTAGCGACTAAGAATCACGATGTGAATCCCTTGGATAGAACTTCTGCTTTTGGCTATGAAGGAATGAGTGGATGTTGAAGGAAACAATGAGTCTTTGCCTAACCAAATGAAAGGCAACAATACCCTCAAGTTGACTTCCTGTTGTCCAACCAATTTGATTCATGCCCAAAAGGACGTTTGAAATATAGAGGATGTTGTGGATGTTGAAGGAGAAATAATGAGAAAGAGATCAGGTACTGAGGGGAGTATTTGGGGAGGTAAGAAATGAAAGGAAAGTGAGGGAGGTCTCAAACGGCGATTAGAAGTGAGAAAGCGACATGACGGGGTTTTGTCTTCAATGCATTGTTTGACTCACTTCCTTCACATACTCCTATGATCTATTTGGACCAAGATGTTATTAGGGATATGATACGTAAGAACCTTCTGCTGTGTTTTTGTATGTTCTTTTTACTTGTCTTTTTATATGTCTTCTTAACGGACCTTTCTATACATAACTAGGGACATAAATAGCTTACTTCCTAGGGACATGCTCACAAAATGCAGGTACAGATGCTAGTAAGATAAAGAGTCGTACATTGGATTTACAGTGGATGTCGATATACCACAAAGAGGGAACTTTATCCTTGAATTTGGGTGACATGAGAACCTAATAGGAATGAGGACTGAAATTTAGGTGTGATGAAGTGATCTGCCTTGGGCAAATCTATGCGAATTATAAAAGTCCGGTGCAAGATGAAAGGGCCTCACCAAAGCGTGGATATAGATACTGGGTTACTGGACACGGCAAAAAAAAAATCGAAAGAGAAGGAGTGGCTTGTGTTCAACACAGAAGTGGGAAGGAAAGGCTCAAAAGTTCGGACGGGCCAAAAAATGCAGAAAATAGAACACTATACGCCGTGGTGGTAGATGAATTCACCCATGCTTATCGGATAGATCAGGTCATGAAGAGGTAGATGTTGAGGAGACGAAGAGTCTCTGGGTTGAATAAGTTAAAGAAGATAATGGTGTAGTCGCGTCAACGTTTAGTCGACCTTGATGGCACTGTGAAATTCTCATGATTAGCCCTCGCCCAGCAGATTCAATGATGCAGTCTTACCTATAAACACGCCGGACGAACGCATAAGCGGCCAAGAAACCAACGGTTCCGGTTAACAGGCCATACACAGCACAAGCAAGGAAGCTGTAACTGAAAAACAGCAGGCCTGACACGAACCCGGTAATGTGGAGCTTGAACAGGTAATACCAGATGCAATAGGCGAAAATCCAAAAAGCGCTGCTACCGCCGGCGAGGAAGCTCTGCCACCACCAATGATAATTCTAAGGAAGTCAGTATGCCAATCCAGATTTCAAGTCAAGAACAACCTTACCTCAGAGCAAAGCTGACTGTATGTTGCGATCACGGTCACCTCAACGACCGTCACAATCAGCACGGTTGAGACAACACTCAGGAAGCCGAAGACATAGTAATAGCCAGACTTATCCTGCCACAGGTTCTTGAAAAGGAATAACAGCTCAATGAAAAGAACGGCAAATGGAATGAGGCCAGTTACCACAGGCCCGAGAGGGGTGCGGAGATACCAGGGCTGGAGTGGGACTTGGCGGGCAATCGCATTCGTCTTCAGAGGGTGCTCCCATGGTGCGGCACGCACATAGCCGGCCCAACTACCAATGTATACCAGCGGAACTTGGATGAGGAGCCAAAGTGCAAGGAGGCCGATCAGAGTGCCGAAAGGAATTGCTGTACTGGATGCTTGAGCCCAGACAAACAAGTTCAAAATCAAAACAAGGCAGAATGCAAGACCAGGGAAGAGCAAAGCGGTCTAAAGTTATAGGTTAGCATAGCACATAAATAGCTAGAGAATAATACGCACGATTAGGGTGTTCTTGCGCCAAGCGGTTCCACCAAAGGTCTTGTAAAGTCTTCCTGAGAAGTAACCGGAGAAGAGGCCGGCAAAAACAAACAGGCCCATGCCGACGCTAACAAAGCCACCACGGAAGCTTGGGTTCAAGACTCCCAGGCAGCTGAGTAGGAGCAAGCCCGAAGCCATGAATAACAACTGCATTCCGGATCCAACCAAGGGAGCAAGAAGACCACTGTAAGCGGGGATGCGGAACACATCCCCATGGAGAAGCTTCCAACCACTTGTATCCTCGAGAGCCTCTTCGTCCGAGGAGTATTCCGCATCGCGTTCCACATCTGCGCTATTGTCTAGAAGTCCCTCGACTTTCTTCTCACCAGACCTGCCACTCCGGCGTCGAGATTGGCTTTTCATCTTCCGATCGTCTAAAGCACCATCGCCGCGACCCTTAAGGTCGCCTTGCACTGTGCGACTCCAGATGACGAACACGGTCACTCCCAGCACGGTGCAAATTGTCAACGAGTTGATGATCGCCAGCCAGTGGGTTATCGAACTTTCGCCTTGGTTGGTAAAGTATAAATCCCAGCGATTGGCCCACTCAACATTGGTGTCCTCTCGGAAGTAGACAGAGTAGGTGTAAGGGACCTTCAGTGTGGCTCCATCATCATCGTCGTCATCATCTGGGATATATGACAGTCCAGAGTACTTTTCTTGCATTCGCGAAAGGTTGGGTGCGATGTACAACCCCAGTCCTTCGTTGTTATTGTGGAGAGCTTTAGGGCACCCATTTTCCTGGCGGTTCTCGGCAGTAATACTTTTTGGGTACACCTCAAAACCCACAACCACCTTCCCTCCTTCCGGTGCGCTCCGCCAGCGGATAACGATCGTGAAATGGTTGTTGATAAAGTACCGATGCTGTCCGGTGATTGGAGAGATGTCTCGATAGCCAAGCTTGAATCCGGAAGCGTAATACTTGCGGCTTCGATCCACAGTCACAAAGCTCGTAGCTCCTGGCAGATTATCGGCAATCCACTCGATCACATATCCCTCCTTGACGAGCTGACGAGCCCATTTCACATTTGACCGACTAACGTCGCGGGTGCAGAGCGACTGACACTCCACGTCCTTCCCCATCGCAACTTCAAAATCGGAGGTCATGATCCGATCACCGCGCAGTACCTCCCCAATATTAAGCGAAATACTTTGGCCGGATCCAAACGGGGAGCCGCCATGTTTTTTGCCGCTCGGCGGGCAGACGAAAGGCAGGTCGAAATAGGCATACTGCAGCTGGGTGTGATCGGAGAAGATCTTATTCACGAGAAGAGGGATCGGATCATTGTCATTATATTGGGTGATCGAGTATCCTGGTGAGGGGAAAAGTAAGTATGATGTACTGTCCAACTAGAACACGCCCTTATCCTTACCAGGGATGTAGAATGCGCCGGCACAGGACACGAGCAGTAGCACCCACAGTGCCCACTGACGTGAACAAAATTGACTGAAGACCATGTTCAATAGATGTAAAGAGATCTGCTTTGTCTTTGATCCTTGGCCCGGAGTGAACGGGTAGCTATCGAACTAGCATGTACACAAAGTATGGAGGGTTGTACGTCGGTGGGTTACGGTGTGTCGACCAGCAAAGGTCAGACCGAAGTGAGTGAGGCAAAAATGACGATGTTGTAGGGAGTACCCTGTTGAAGCGAGTCTCTGCTGAGATGATCGATGGGCCGTCCGATAGTGGACTTATCTCGGAAGCGCGTGTTGGATAGTAGATTGCGAAGGGTTAGCGGATTGTTTCAGATCGCCCACAACCTGCTGAGTGGCAGGTAAAGTAACGAATGAAACTGGCACTGAATGCCACAGCAGTGATATAAGTGTGTCGAGAAAGGGGGTTGAATAACTGTGGGGAGCTTGCAATGGTGAGCTTCGCGCTTCCCTGGCCTCCTCCTGCCTAGGCGTCCGTGGACTGCCCCCGGATTACATAATCGGCATGCCGTGGACGCGCACCCTGGGCAGACCCCGAAGGTCCATATATGCGCCCGGTTATGGCGAGGGACAGGGGTCTGAGATCTGCAGTCGATCCCTGCAAGTAACAAGAGCCCTGAATAATTATGAACCCAAGAGTTGAAGGAACGAGCTTGCAGTAGGAGAAATCACAGCCAAAAATGCCACCCGTGGACCCCTGGACCAGACTTTGGAATTCAATATCTTCATCCATACCAGGGCGTTATGAACATTGTCTATCAAGTTATAATATCGTGACTCCAACAGCCCTAAAAAAGTAGTTCAATTTCCAAGTAAGACGATATAGATATCATTTATTCCTTGGCAATATAAGTCTTTTTTACTTCTCCTTTATGGTTCCTTCGAACGGACTTCTCCGCTCGTACCATGATAACCTGTTGTGTTTCAACTACCTGGGCTTTAGATATTCCCTCCTAAGCCTTCTTGACCGTAGCTTGACTATGAGATAGATCAAAGAATAGTTGACACTAAGCACGATTGTCGACTTTCTGGATGAGTGACTTTCGACGTGTTTTCCGATCTCAGATGGATCGAGAAGTAAGTCGTTTCGATTATATACTTCCAGTGATCTGGTTTAGTATGCCGTAGGGTACCTAGGTATGTTGTGCCCAGGTGCCCAGGTGTGTAAAGTGGATTAAATAAGCTAACTCCATCGCCCGGGCGGGAGTCCACCCGTTGACGAACTCCAATTTCTCAATCTCCAAATCTTTGGCTTTCTACTAAGCCAGTCATGGCCGACCGTCAAAAGGGAAAATATTCCAATGGCTCTGGCAAAACTTGTCAAAATTGTGCGAGGGCCAAAATTCGATGCATTCGTTCGGAGGCTGCAGGGAGTTGTGACCGGTGGGTTCATCGGAGAGATAGTTGATCTTAAACGTCTGACTGGCTGCTAGATGCGATCGCTTGGGAAAACCCTGTCACTTTCGGGAGGGTCGGAATGTAAAACCTACAAGTCAATGGAATACTAAAGACAGGTGAAACTTATCCCTTTTAATTCGTCTTACTATACTAACTACGCCACAGAAGAATAGAGGCGCTGGAAGCCAAAGTAAACCAGCTGCTAGCCCAATCAGGGACATCAATTCCGGTACAAAATTGTTTCCACGTGCTTCATTGAGCTTGGGCACTGACGATTAAGACAAAGGGTGGCATAGCTGAGGTGGCTCCGAGTACTTCTGCCCACGCGAAAGACGTCATCGACCAAGGGCTACTCACCATAGACGCCGCCAACATGCTACTAGATAAATTCCGAACGGCACTCATGCCACACTGCCCGTTCGTGATAATTTCACCGCAGACGACTGCCGAAACAATGCGAAGAGACAAACCATTTCTTCTTCTCACGATCCTCACGGCTGCTCTGCATGACAACATGCCTCTGCAGCGTACACTGGAGAAGCAGATAAAAAAGGTGATCAGTGACTGTATGATCTTTGATGGTTCGGTTTCATTCGAGATCTTTCGGGGGCTTTTAGTCCATCTTGCGTGGTAAGCCCCGGTTTCTATCTCCACTTCATCTTTGATTGACAAAGAAATCAGGTGCCAGTATCACTCCAAGCCGCGTCGATTCTCCCAATATCTACATCTTGCGATCAGTCTTATCACTGATCTACAACTCGACCGTCCCCCTGAACATCGATTCTGGAGAACTAGGGTAGATTTTGATAGTGAACTGGACAGAACATCCGTCTCCTGGGGACGCGAAGAAAAAAGGGCTGTTATTGGGTTTTTCTATCTCTCATCTTCGCAAGTATCTCCACATCTCCGAGCAACAGATGTTTGAGTTAACATTTTTAATACCTTCTAGGATCTCACAAATATTACAAAAGGGATCCTTCCTCCCATACTTACCATATTTCGAAAGTATTTGCAAGGTATTGGCCGCCGATGCAGAGTATCCGTCAGATAGATATCTGCTCTACATTGTGCAGCTCCAGCAACTTTCTGAGAAAATCACCCTGGTTTCATCGCAACATGTCCCAGAAATCCAGAACACCAGTGTTAGTCTCCAGCATTACTACCGCGAGTTTAAGCCCCAACTTGATTTATTCCGCGCCAATTTACCATTTCTCTTGACTGAAAGCCGTTCGTGAACTGAGCCGCCCTTCTTGAGGATCATTTTATTAACTTTCAAATACAGAGATTCTCTTCATGCAATTTTATACTGTCGAGTTGTATCTATGCCAGATTACACTCTTCGACCACAAGCCCGGCGCGCAACCGCCACCCCATGAGCTGTCCTTCCAGATTGAAGTGTTGCGCATGGGACTTGCCGCAGCCAAGACCTTACTCCATTTTTACATCTCTCTACCCTTGGGCTATGATGCTAAATTCCACAATGTGGGATGGGTTCAACTCGCATTCGCAGTCACGCTTGCATGCAAGTTAGTGGTAGCAGCATCTGATCCTTCTATTCATCCCCACACGGTTGATTTGTGTCGTGCTTTGGATATCTCTAGCACGATGAGACAATCTATCATTCGCATCCAGGCGCTCATCACGTCAGATATGGATGATTCGGGAGACAGGGATATATTCTTTCACTATGAAAAACGCCTGAAGCGTGTCCAATGGTGGTTTGAAAGTCGAACAATATCGGGGCCCAATAATGCTCATTCCCATGATGGTGTGCAACTTGCGGGAGCGATCGTTTCATCCACCGGAGACGCACGCCATTATGTTGATGCACTGCAGCCAACATCGAACGATTTAGACAACAATTTCCAGTGGCTAGACTTCTTCCCAGACACGGCAATTGACGAGATGTATATCGACTGGATGGCACAACCAACGACATCATTTGACCAGCAGCGCTTGGGATAGTCTGCCAATGGGCATAGATTGATGGTAGCCATATTGGCATCATTTCCAACGTCTACATTCACAGACTAAGGATTAAAGGTCTATTGAACAATATGTATTATGAACAAACCTTGCGCAACAGAGATTCATACAGATGTAGTTGGGGATAATCCATGGCAGGTAATCCTCTGTCTCGTCTAGACACAAAATATCCCTGTGGGCATCATAATGAGTGATATAACCGGACCACCTCATCATATTGTCACCCGACTTTTTCCCGAGATGGCAACCTCTTCACCAATCGCCACTAAACCTTAATAGGACATCAAGAATGAATGAATGCCCGATCTATGACACGAGTATCTCACAGCCGTTGGTCTTGCCTCTTTTAGTGTTACACGGGGATCTGGGAATTGATGTATGAGGAGTCTAGATTCACTCCAGCGCTGTGCCCTTTGACGACTAAATTAGTGTTTTAGGATCTGTTCTCGAATCGGGGCTTAGATGTGTAGTTCTGGGCATTGGTTTTAAGGTCTCCGTATCAGTTTCTGTGTCCGTGTCCGTGTCCAAGTCCCATTCACTTGTACAGTACTGCAGACCAGAAGTCCGTGTCCGTGTCCGTGCCCATGTCCGTATCTTGGCGCCACATCTCGATCAGCTTCATCCTCCACTCACAGCTCTCGATGGCAAAGCAAGCGCTATTCAGTTGCATAAGTAATGGCATAGAGGATATATCCGCATTATCTCTGGCACAGATCTATCTAAGTTAGGGACTATCAGTCAGCTTGAAATAGGCACCCGTGGATCGACATTTGCAATGGACATGGACCGCATAATCAAGACCAAGATATTATTTTTGGAGATGTTTGGTTCAAATTTTCAATATGGACTCAGAGTTAAATACCTTGGATTAGAAAGTTTCTTACTTCTTCAAATAAATTGAGTCTCTACACATCACCATGAGCAATTCAACTGATCCATCCGATTATTGCACGCTGGCCATTTGTCCATTAAGCGAAGCACACGTTGAATACGTGCCTTCACTAGCCGGAAATGCCTTCTACCTGGCCCTTTTTGCGGTCCTGTTGGTAGCCCAGCTGGTCCTGGGCATTCGATATCGCACCTGGGGCTACCTCGGTGGTTTATTTGGTGGCATAGTACTGGAAATAATTGGATATGCTGGACGAGTGCAGATGCATTATAATCCATTCCTCTTCAACCCTTTCCTTGAGTACGTCCTTTACATCCACAGATGTCTTGACCCCTCCAAACCTATACTAACGGCTATTGGATAGATATCTGATCTGCCTCACAATTGGCCCCGCATTTATCAGTGCCTCGATCTATATATGTCTCGGGCGGATTGTCGTCATATATGGAGAGAACATTTCGCGCCTCAGTCCTCGGGCTTACACTATAGTCTTCATCGTCTGTGATGTGGTTTCACTGCTGCTCCAGGCTTCAGGAGGCGCTGTTACCTCTATCGCCGATGCGGACCAGCCTGACATGGCTCAAGCTGGCATTAATACCATGATCGCCGGTCTATCGTTCCAGGTTGCCTCACTCGCTATCTTCATGGCGTTTTGTCTGGATTTTGCCTGGAAAGTGTATAGGAACCAGCACGAACTCAACCCGGACACACACCTGATCGATCTCCGCAATAGTATCAAGTGGAAAGCGTTCCTAGTTGGTGAGTCTTCTTTTTATCTTCGCACTTCCCCTCCCTTCCTATCTCACTGCATTTGTTAACCATAAATCCAGGTCTGGCCCTAGCAACGATTACCATTTTCACTCGTTCTGCCTTCCGAGTTGCAGAGCTCCAGGGTGGATTCCACAGCTCATTGGCAAACGATGAGGTTGTCTTCATGATCCTGGAGGGAGCTATGCTCTCAATTGCGCTTTTATCTATGACTATTCTCCACCCCGGTATATGCTTCGATGGTCAATGGAATAAGACGAAGTGGTCATTTCGCAAATCGCGTGACAGTGAGATGAGTTTGATAGGGATCGAGGATGGGCAGGCGAAGGCCAGGCAATTTGATTCTGCATCAAACTGAATGTTGAATGATGTGGTCGTGGGGGCTGTCTTTGTCTATTCCCTTCCCTTGTGCGATTGATGGGCTTTCTTTATCCCTTTCCATGCCTCGTGTTCGGTGTCGGCTTTGCTGCCTTTGGATTGATTGCCTTGTTCCACGCGTGTTTCTCATGTTCATCCCCTTGATATATTATAGAAGGATAGATAGAATGTTTATATTACCTGCGATTCAAGAACGCAGCTTGGTAATGATCAAATCAGCGGGTCCATCGAGTAGATTTGGGGAACAAATTGGCTTTCTCTTCGGATCTTATGCCAAAATTTATGGCCATAGAAACAACGTGCCGGGGAAGTAAGCTTGTACGTGACCCTTCATGTTTGTGAGACAAAGGCATCCCAAGGCTACAATGTTGAAGGCCTACTTTCAAAAATGTAACATTTATGTTTCTTTTACTTGTCCCCCGGGTGGTATAATACCAACTCCGTGGGATATGCGGCTGAAGCTGGATTCAAGTTTTGTAAACTTGTACGGGATTTGAAGTATGACAGAAACATAAAAAATGATCCCATGCCATTCTGAGCTCTGGAATGATGACGAGATATCCAGAAAACTAGCTAAGGATCACACAAAGATAAGCATGCTAAAGGGGAATGAGAACGTCATAGGTACCGAGGGAGCGTGTCCACCTCGCAAAATCAGTAGAAGTTGAATACATCAGAAAAGTTATCGTAAGGCTGTGCTAGAAAGAAGAAAAGCAGCCCAGAGAGTATCATGGGTGGCTGAGGAGGTACTCCACCGCTCCTTGAACACTGCCGCCTGCGCGACGCAAGGCTTCAATGTTTCGCTCGAACTCAAAGAATCCCATATCGTTCAACTGCCGCAACTGATCAGCGTATCTGTCCTCTGGGGGGCGAGTGTCTGCAGGCTGTGGGGTCCCGAAACCACCCCCGAAACCACCAAGACCACCACCAAGTAGAGCTGCCAAAGGGTTTGCACCAGCGGCTCCGCCTTCTGCGCCCTGTCCACCCATTCCCTGCATCATCTGGGAAAGTAGCGCCGGGTCACGCAGGAACGGATTCTGCTGAGGATTGAACGGGTTCGTGCCCTGACCAGCTTGACCAGCGTTTCCGAAAATAGCTGGGTTCAGGAGAGATGCGAAGGGATTCTGAGCAGCTTGAGGGGTTTGTCCCTCAGCAGATGTTGATCGGTCTGTGGAGTCGGCACCCTGTGTAGCGCCGGGCTGAGTGGCGGCCGGCGTGGTAGAAGGCTGGGCTGGGGTTCCGAACGGGTTAGCTCCGAAGAGGGCACCGAAAGGGTTTGCATTCCCAAGCGGATTCTGAGCCATCTGCCCAAATGGATTTATTTGCGCATTTTGTTGCTCGGAACCTTGGGTTCCCTCAGCCGTCGTGTTGGTCACCCCCGGTGCGGGGAATGCATTATCACCGCCACCAAGTCCGCCACCCATTCCCATAGCTCGTTGCATTTGCATCATCTGCCGGATGGAGCTTGGATCGGTCAACATGCGGCGGAACTCTGGGCTTTCCATCATTTGCCGGACTCCGGGTCCCATGTCGCGAAGCATAGGGTTTTGCTGGATCATCATGTCGATCATAGCGGGGTTTTGTAGGGCTTCGTTGATGCTTGATTGGAATTGAGGATTCTCGAGCATGTTGAGCATCGACTCGGTATCTGGCGGGGGACCCATCTAAATGGCCAACAGATGTTAGCTATATGTTGTAGGCATTCTTATTACTTCAAACCCCTATATGAGCTCACTTACCCCACCATCAGGGCCGAAAAGGCCTGCGCCGGGAAGTTGTGCGAATCCAGCATATCGTGCACCAGTCAGGCCAGCAAGTGGGTTGTTTCCAGTACCAGCAGCAAGATTGGTTGGGACACCGGCTGCCGCCGGGCTGGGGGTTGCTCCAGCGGCCGCAGTGGCTGAGCTAGGCTGAGCAGCTGTGTTCTGACGCGGCTGGTTGCTCGCAGCACTCTTCACTAGATGAATAGTATGGCCATCCTTGATCTTGTAGGTCTCCAGTGTCTCAGTGTCCTTCAAAACCCTACCCGAATAGATCAATCGCTGACGCTCTGCGGGGGTATCGGCATGTTCGGGGCTTGAGAGCTTCTGCTTGAGATCTGACACTAGAGTGGTGAGGGGAAGGGTCAGGGTGTATTTAGCATCTGTGGATGACTTGACAGTGAAGGTAATAGGAGCCTGCTCTGTGGTAGCCGTCTCGTCGGCCATGGCGAAACGATGTATGATGATTGGAGAGCAAGTGGAGTGATGATTGGAAGATGGACCAATGATGAAGGGTATATTATCCCGGAGAGTATTGACTGGCTTATCAAACGTGTGCTTGAATGAACACTTGGGATATAGATGAATACCACGAATGTGAGATGAAATATGAGAGAGGGGAGTCAGTGAGGCCGTTATGCGGAGGTGATCTGCCTCGCATCAATCGGCGCGGCGTGGAAGGCGGTCGAATCATAAATCACGTGCCGAACGCGCTAGTGGAAGCTCCCACACGGCAAGGAATATTTTCTCTTCCTCACCTCTTCGCGTCTGACCACACGGCTACACCTCTCTTCATCCGTGGCAAGTGGACTTGAGGAGTTTCTCTTTCTTAACTCCACCCAGCAGGGATGGGACTGATGTAATATTCATACCCCCTGACTTGCAATTGCATGTACAAAGCTTCCACCTCTTCTCTGTGGTACCGGGAAACCGATACCTAGTCGCCCACCATGGCCACCACATCGCACATGTTTATGTACTCCCTGACGATCCAGCCCCCAACTGCAGTCACACAGGCCATCTTAGGTCAATTTGCAGGCACCAGGGACCAGCAGATCGTCACCTCGTCAGGCTCGAAATTAACCATTCATCGGCCTGATCCGGCACAGGGCAAGATCACACCTCTCTTCTCTCAAGATGTTTTCGGCATCATTCGCTCCCTCGCAGCTTTCCGCGTAGCTGGAAGCAACAAAGGTATGTCGCTTGTTTTAATACCCCTTGTCTGCCCCTTTACGAGTACAACTTAGTGATTCTCCAAGCTTCCTGGGCAGCGCTGTCCTCTTGCGAACCGACCCCTTGAAGGAGGGTTGATATCTGCCCTGGACAGCGACGTTGATACTCGCAATGATTCATTATCAACGGACTGTGCTGAGTGATTATCATAGATTACATCATCATCGGCTCGGACTCGGGTCGGATCACAATCATTGAATATGTTCCCTCCCAGAACCGCTTCAATCGCATCCATATGGAGACATTTGGAAAGTCTGGAGTTCGCCGTGTCGTGCCGGGTCAATACCTCGCAGTAGACCCAAAGGGACGTGCGTGTCTGATTGCTTCTGTGGAAAAGAATAAGCTGGTCTACGTTCTCAACCGCAACTCGCAGGCAGAACTTACTATCTCCTCACCACTGGAAGCTCACAAGCCCCAGACCTTGGTGTTTGCCATGATCTGCTTGGACGTTGGTTACGACAACCCCGTTTTCGCTGCTCTTGAGGTGGACTACTCGGAATCGGATCAGGATCCCACTGGTCAAGCGTACGAAGAAATCGAGAAGGTTCTGGTGTATTACGAACTTGATCTCGGGTTGAATCACGTTGTCCGCAAGTGGTCTGACACCGTCGATCGCACAGCATCCATGCTCTTCCAGGTACCCGGAGGAGATGATGGTCCCAGCGGTGTCTTGGTGTGCGGAGAGGATAACATTACCTACCGCCACTCCAACCAAGGTGCGTTCCGCGTGCCTATCCCGCGACGCAGCGGAGCCACCGAAAACCCTGAGCGTAAGCGCTCGATCGTCTCAGGAGTGATGCACAAGATGAGAGGCGCTTTCTTCTTCCTTCTCCAAACCGAGGATGGTGATCTGTTCAAGTTGAACCTGGAAATGGTCGAAGACAAGCAGGGCAAACCCACCGGAGAAGTGAAGAGATTGACGATCAAATACTTTGATACTATTCCTGTATCAACGAATCTGCTGATTCTGAAGAGCGGTTTCCTCTATGCCGCCAGTGAATCGGGAAATCACAACTTCTACCAATTTGAAAAGCTTGGTGACGATCCCGACGAGCTGTTCTTTTCCAGTGATTCATTCTCGGCTGATCACTCTGTGCCCTCCACGCCAATTTACTTCCATCCCCGAGGCGCTGAAAATGTCAACCTCATGGAAAGCATGAACTCTTTGAGCCCTCTCATTGACAGTAAAATTCTCAATTTGAGTGAGGATGATGCACCTCAAATCTACACAATCTGTGGCGCTGGGGCCCGAAGCACATTCCGGACTCTGAAGCATGGACTTGAGGTCTCTGAGATCGTGGAGTCTGACCTTCAGCAGGTGCCTTCGGCTGTATGGACAACCAAGTTGACGCGAGCCGATGAGTTCCACACATACATCATTCTCTCTTTTGCGAATGGCACCCTCGTCCTGAGCATTGGCGAAATTGTCGAAGAAGTTTCAGACACCGGATTCCTTTCTTCGGCTCCGACTCTCGCGGTGCAACAACTTGGTGAGGATTCTTTAGTCCAAGTTCACCCTCGTGGCATTCGCCACATTCTTGCAGATCAGCGTGTCAATGAATGGCCTGCTCCACAGCATCGGTCTATAGTGGCAGCAGCCACGAATGAACGCCAGGTTGCAGTCGCACTCAGCTCCGGTGAAATTGTCTACTTCGAGATGGACGCAGACGGGACATTGGCAGAATATGATGAGCGACGACAGATGTCCGGCACTGTCACCTCTCTGAGTATGGGAGAGGTTCCCGAGGGTCGCATGCGAAGCTCGTTCCTTGCTGTTGGATGTGATGACTCTACCGTCCGCATTCTCAGCTTGGATCCAGACTCCACACTCGAGAACAAATCAGTTCAGGCATTGACGTCTGCACCATCTGCCCTGCAAATCATGGCCATGGCCGACTCGAGCTCCGGAGGAAATACTCTTTATCTCCACATCGGACTTTACTCTGGTGTCTACCTTCGTACTGTGTTGGACGAGGTGACTGGTGAGCTTTCGGACACTAGAACTCGCTTCATCGGTGCCAAGCCCGTGAAGCTATCCCAAGTGTCGGTTAAGGGCCAGACAGCTGTTCTGGCGCTCAGCACCCGTCCCTGGCTGGGATACTCTGATGTCCAAACCAAGAGCTTTATGCTCACACCCTTGGACTACGTCGGACTAGAGTGGGGATGGAATTTCTCCAGTGAGCAGTGTGTGGAGGGCATGATCGGCATTCAAGGCCGCAGTCTACGGTATGTGATCCTTCCCATCTCCTAAATTGCCCCGAATTCCCCCAATCCCCTTTGATCTGTGATGAGAAAATCAATCCGAACTTCTATGTGGATGAAACTTTAAAAGAAAAATTCCAATTGTTCCTTCTGAGATCAACTCTTTCTTATACCACGTTGAGACTGCAAATCATTCTGGGCTGGTACTAACTGAAAATAGGATTTTCACCGTTGAAAAGTTGGACAACAACATGCTCCAAGAGTCTATCCCTCTCTCTTACACTCCTCGACGTTTTGTGAAGCATCCCGACCAACCCCTCTTCTATGTCATTGAATCTGACAACAATGTCCTCTCTCCTGCCACCCGCCAGAGACTGATCGATGATTCTCAAGCTCAGAATGGCGAGGTTGCAGACCTCCCTGCCGTAGACTTTGGATATCCCCGAGCCACTGGTCACTGGGCTTCATGTGTCCAAATTGTGGACCCGATCACCACCAAATCTGTGATTTCCACACTTGACCTCGAGGACAATGAGGCAGCAGTCAGCGTTGCTGCGGTGTCATTTTCCAGCCAAGATGATGAAACCTTCTTGGTTGTGGGAACCGCCAAGGACATGACAGTCAGCCCTCCCTCGTCCTCTTGTGGTTTCATCCATATCTATCGGTTCCAGGAGGATGGTCGGGAGTTGGAGTTCATTCACAAGACCCAAGTTGATGAGCCTCCTCTCGCTCTTCTTGGCTTCCAAGGACGCCTTCTGGCCGGCATCGGTCCCATTCTTCGTGTCTACGACCTTGGCATGAAGCAACTCCTACGGAAATGTCAAGCCCCCGTGGTTCCCAAGACCATCGTGGGCCTTCAGACCCAAGGCAGTCGAATCATTGTCAGCGACGTCCGCGAGAGTGTCACCTACGTTGTCTACAAGTACCAGGACAATGTCTTGATTCCCTTCGCGGATGATTCCATTGCACGCTGGACATCGAGTACAACCATGGTCGATTACGAAACCACTGCTGGTGGTGATAAGTTTGGAAACCTGTGGTTGGTGCGTTGCCCTAGCAAGATCTCTGAACAGGCCGACGAGGATGGATCTGGGGCGCACCTCATTCATGAAAAGGGTTACCTCCATGGAACTCCCCACCGTCTCGAGTTGATGGTACATTTCTTCGCTCAGGATATTCCCACTAGTCTACACAAGACCCAATTAGTCGCCGGAGGCCGTGACATTGTTGTCTGGACTGGCCTCCAAGGCACAATTGGAATGTTTGTTCCTTTTGCCAGCCGTGAGGACGTCGACTTTTTCCAGCTTTTGGAGACACAGCTGGCTTCCCAGCAACCTCCTCTGGCTGGACGAGACCATTTGATGTACCGCGGCTACTATGCCCCTGTAAAGGGAGTCATTGATGGAGATCTTTGCGAAATGTATCTCCTGCTGCCTAATGATACCAAGTTGATGATCGCGGGCGAACTCGATCGATCTGTCCGCGAGATCGAGCGCAAGATTTCGGTAAGTTTGCTGATGTTTATTGGTGCCTGTTTTGTCCTTTCACTAACATCTCCCAGGATATGCGAACACGGGTGGCTTATTGATTTAGGATTGGTTGCGGCGTCTGTTGGCGTTTCTTGCTGCCCTGTATACGGGCTTCAGATACCTACGTCTTTATTAATGGATGATGACTGTGGCTTTGACCCACGACTAATTTTCGACTGAGGCTGATTGCCTCAGCATTACACTACATAGACCTCCCCTTTCCCCTGGCTGTCTTTAGCCGTGTAGACTCCTTTATGATGTCTCTTGCCTCGCTCGGTCTGCCGTTTCCCCTCGGCTAATCTTGAGCTGGATGCAGCCGGTCACTTTTAGTGCTGGCTTGTACGAGACAAGAAGAAGCGTGAAAACGCGTCGACGCTTTTTGAGTACGATTTGATCCGCAATGCACCACGGGTCTACGTCGTAATTTATCAGTTGGGACAAACTTGTAAATCTTTTTTATATATATATTCTAACCAAATGAAAACAAGATTATTCCAAATATTATGTTAAGGTGACTCTTGGTGTCTCCCGAATGTTCTTTTTAGATGTCTTTTTGTATTTCCCCACTGATTGTTGTTGTCGCTAGAAGGCGTGAGGTGTGAACTTTTCTCTGCATGACATGTGACAAGAATATATAATCGACAACATATATGGCCTTGGCTCATGACGAGGTATGTAGTTTAATGATCTGATCTATTTGGCTCAAAATAATATTAGGAATGTTATTCATTTTTATCTTAAGCTAACTCTACTCCGTACAATACCTTTGAATGTCTTTTAATTGAGTAATGAAGTAATCAGCGTGCAAAGCATAGGATGCGGTGAGAAGCGAAGCACAACTTTTGTGTGTATAAAGGCATAAGATCACCCGATGAAAGATCGACAACTTCTACTTTGGACACCGAGATCGAATTGCGCCATTCAAGCTCCTCTCTCTCCGATCGTTTACTCCGACACTCCGGGAGAGAAGAGAGAAAAAAGAAAGCTCGGCATAGCCAAAATCTCGGTTATGGCCGGAAATCTCTGGGGCCGAAGCTAGGTCCGGGTCCCATCGTTTCTTCTCCGCGGGAAAAACTTCATTGTATCTATACCTCATGTGTTATGAACAGCTGAAGATCCTCAAATATGACCAAAGAGTGCTACAAACGCAGAAAAGCAAACGGGGTATTGGTTTGAAATCGACCCCAGTCATTCTGACGAACAGAGTTCTACAATATAGAACGATGATTGGCTACTTTACGAGCACAGTAGAAGCTCGGGCGCCTTTGGGGGGAATGTGGACGGGTCTGTGGAGTCCAAAGGGCGTGCATGTCGTAGTAAGGCGCGCTCCACTTTTTCCCCCTTGACCCATGGAGTTTGTACTTTGGAAGTTGACTGTCTCGTTTGAGTTCAAGCTGAATGATCTGAATGGTCTGAATGGTCTGAAATATCTAAAAAGTCAGGAAAAGTGGAAAAGTGGAAAATAGAAGAATAAGAAAAAGCACTTCTCTAGAGATACTGCCTTCCATCCCTTTTGAGAATACCAATTGAATATCATGAGTCACCTTGAACTGAACTAGTGGTCTCTCCGTTCTATGCCCTTTTGACGAAGCGGAATGTCAATCCAAGGGCGTGCATGAGCAAGAACGGATCCTCGCATCTAACCAATCACCCTCTCGACTTCAATGACTCTCAGGCTAGGCTTTCCTTATACTGAAGTGTATACGATGGCTCTGGCTCGGCCTTCCGTATACTGAATCGTATACTATCGGCTTTTTAGAATTTAGGCGTTACTGGGTTATGATCCAAAGTATAATATACAACATAGATGCGCCTTCTGGATGACTTGTGACTCACTGCAAGTCGATTTATAAGAACTTTGGGGGAATATCCGATGAGGCAATCTGAAACCGTGCTCACATTGTCATTCCTCCACACTTGTTTTTTGCTTGACTCCATTGCGGTTGTCAACGGCTCCACCATTTACTATTTTTTTTTTTCCCTCCCTTGATTTTTCTTTAAGAACAACCGGGTCTGGTCCTGATTCAACCTTCTTTTCTTTTGAATATTCCATCTTCTCTTTGTTTTGACCTCTCAGTTACTATATCGTTCCTGCGTTTCCCTGTGGGACAGGTCTTTATATTCTCTTTGCTTTCCCCGTGAAACAATGTCGACCGCCACTTCAATCATCAGCTCTGGCTCGGACAGGCTAGATGCCTGGACTCGACGATCACAGCCTAAAATCGAAATAAATCTTGAAGGACAAAAGCCAGGACATGTCAACTCTTATACCACCGGAGAGAGTATTGATGGCAGCATAACCGTCACTGTTGACCACGAGACTCGATTTGATGAGATTGAGATTGTCTTTGAAGGTACTTAAGCATTGACACCTGGGCTATATACAATGCTAATACGATAAAAGGTGTATCTGCCACTACGGTAGAACGGGCATCATGTCCCGGCCGCACAGGATCGCAACAGATGTTTCTCAAGTTGCGCCAGCCTATTGACGAAATGGAATATCCGACCCCTCGAGTTCTAGAGAGTGGCCGATCATATGAATACCCCTTCACATTCGTCGTTCCAGACCGCCTACTTCCCCAGGTCTGCACCCACGCCAAGAGCAATGCTCACATTCAACGATCCCACACTATGCTTCCGCCAACATTGGGTGATCCCATCCTTGCCAGCAATGGCAAGACACTACTAGATGATATGGCACCCAGCATGTCCCAGATTGGCTACACAGTTCGAGCATCCGTTCTTCAGAAACAACTCGCTGGCTCTGGAGTCGTGGCCATTGCCGGCATTGCCAAGAAAGTCCGTATCATCCCAGTTGTTGAAGAAGAACCACCCATGGAAACTTCCGCCAGTTCAGCTTTTTGCACACGTAAAGAGAAGAGTGTAAAGCGCGGAACTTTGCGAGGCAAATTGGGACGGATCGTCGCTTCATCGTCCCAACCCAAACCGATTCAATTGCTTCCTCCGGACGGCGAGCCAACCGATACCGTCAGCACGGTGGCTACGGTAAACCTACGATTCGATCCAGTCGGCGACGAGCAACCTCCCCCACTGGGAACAATGACCAGTAAACTCCGCGTCAACACATTTTTCAGTGCAGCCCCATGGGACGACTTCCCTTCCACAACAGGCATGCCCTTCGCCCATATCGGATGCGGCCTCTACACAGAAAGCGTCGCTCTATTGACCATGTGTGTCGCATCCGCTCAGTGGACAAAGCAATCGACAGCCGCCGACTGTATGCGCCGCGACTCTACTGACTCATCCTCATCCGATTCATCAACCGGTCCATCCTCCGCATTCACCGGAGACACCTACTACACCGCCTCAATCGTCGTCCCCGTCACACTGCCCAAGTCAAAGGCCTTCGTCCCGACTTTCCACTCCTGTCTGATGTCTCGTACCTACGCCCTCGATCTCTCCTTGACATACCACACCCCGGCAGCCAACATCATGACACCGACAATCTCTCTCCGTCTGCCGGTCCAGTTCACGAGCCAGGCAAAGAGCACTGAATCCATCAAGACTGCGCTTGGTGTTACTGTCACACAGCAAGAACTGGACGAGTTCTTCCACCCACGAAATGTGACTTCTCCCACCGACTTTTCCAACCACGCTCGGAGTGATGTGGTTGACGTGGGCTTTGCCCCACCGGAGTACTCGGAACGATTGAGTACGTCGAGAGCCAGTCGCTAAATTTTACGAGATGTGGAGTGTTTATTCCCCCGTTCGATTGTTAATCGCCAGCCAACCAATACCCCTAATTATGTTGGCCAATGAAAAAGTCCTCTTTTTGTACAGCGTTCACATGTTTATGACTGTTTTTGTGTTGCTTTTGTTCCGATTATACCCTATTGTTCACATAAAATCCTTTTTTTCTTATGTTGTCTCTATATATAAGTTAGTTTGTTCATTTAATTTGCTTTAATTTATTTATTTTACACATACACAGAGTCCTAACTAGTCCTGGTCTTTTAACCGGATATGCTTTAAAAGCTTCAGAAAACACGAACAATGAACTTTAAGAGAAGATTCAGTAATGCTGCATAGGAGATATGAGGTAGGGCTACGGAGTATAATCGAGCGACATGATAGATCTCGAAGTTACAGCCCTGGTTCAGTCCTATTGCCCTCGTTACTCCCGCGCTTTCAGATGTCAGAATCTTCCTCGTTGATTCTGCTCAACCCCTGGATCATCAGTTGCCAATATATGAATTACATTGAAACTGAAGAGTGACCTGTTATCTCGCACCACACAAGTCTGTGGATTTTAGACAATACTACTCCATATGCCCCCGCATATTCCGCGTTGCACTGCTTGTAAGGTACAAAGTAAGGACCGAGAGTAAAAACCCCCCGAGAAATAACCGGTTTATTTGAGTATTTTGAATCTTCAATCCTTTAAGATTCGAACTAATCCAGCATATCCAAGCCAAATCTCAATTAAGTTTACTTACTACTTGGAATTTCACCATGCCGGTCAAGATGTTAGTCTTTCTTTACCGCAGCCCTCACCTGACACCGGAAGAATTCAAGAAACGCTACGAAGCGCACGTCAAACTCATCAAGAAGCTGGCAGGCGGGGATTTTCCTCTTTCTCATCATCGAAATTACATCTCCCGCAGTTCAATCGAAATTCCCCCGGATGGCTCCACTGCACGCAATGCCTTCACCCCGGCCACTATACTGCGCGGGCGGCAGTCAGATTTCGACTTTGACGCCTACGCTGAACTTACCTTTGCGGACCAGGCTGCCTACCAGGCCTTTGCGGCCAAGATTTATACCGCCGAAGCCGCTGCCCAGATAACTGCTGACGAGGATAAATTTCTGGATCGGTTGAAGATGGGAATTGCCTTGGTTGGGGAGGTGAGGGTTACTGTGAAATGAGGTACTTTGACTGGAGGCTGTTGGAGCTTCATCAGACTTGTTGCCATGCATCTTATTGGAGGTCTAGTGTGGTCGCGAGGTATACATTTGAATGTAGTATCTTTCAACTAGGGGATATTCCTTAAAAATCTAGTAATATGCTCAATGAAACTCTGCACTCAAATCTAACTAATTTAATGATCTTGATTAATCGACAATCTACACTTGGTCACATTTGAATCCCAAAATTGCAAATGGATCAGATGTATGAAGTCAAGCCACGTGAGGAACTTATTATCCCTTCGTCCGATCATGGGATCACACATTCCTGACTTGAATCTTCAACTTATGCTATGGCCTATGGCACATGTCCCGGTCGCATGGTCTGTATGTTACATTGGAATTTATCCTTCTCACAGGGACCGTTCCTGCAGGACCCAACCAGGCACATTAATATTTGTCAGACTGCATATCCCTAGACCCTAAATCGGAAACTGAACTAGTGCATGGAGGTTGATCCCGAAATCTTCAGCCACCATGATTTAACACTAGTATTAGTTTAGTCCTAATATAGGAAGTTGTAAATGGGGGTTTCAATGCCGTATACTCCGTACTAACTACTACTCTACTATACTACTCCCCTTTACCCTCTTTATACTCATTTCCACCATTTAAACCGATGACACTGGGGTCCTGACACCATATCACGCCTTTCGGTCTAATTCTAGTGTTTAAGATATTAAACCACTCTAGCTTTGCGTATAGTATTCGTTAGACTAGACTTCCGGGTAGGCTTCATCTTTCTTTATCCGGCTTTCTTTAAGATAGGCTAGATCGTAGTAGAGTAGAAAGGTGAAACCCTTCCCGGTTAATTTCTCTCCAATGTACCGATCAAGGTGTACTTCCGAAAGCACCTAATTTCACGGTGTACATTTGGAGCGATTGCTTTTTCGGGCGCCTAGAGCGAGGGGCGTAAGCAAGCATAACGTTAGAGATTCTAGGGCTGAGAATCAGGATCAAAACGTGGTCTATACTCCGTAGTGGCGGGTAGGTACAACATAGGTTGGTTGGTGGTAGTCGTAATGGGGGAATATAGAATAGGGCGTTTTAAACTTTTAAAGAAGGGTAGTATTAACAAAAGTACAACATATGCACAACCATTATAAACTAGTGTTTTATTGAAAAAAGCAAATAAAAGGAGGGCCGAAACTTCTGGCATCGACCTCCGTAAACCCCTTCATTTTGCTTGATACTACCACTCAGTCCACTCAGTTACGCTCATTACCCCGGGTATGTATAGAGGAATGATGCTGTGACGTCCAAAGAAGGAGCTCCTAGTGAACAATTTAATTTGTTCCGGGCCATATTCCTCCATACTGACTGTGCATGAGTAGTGGATCGCATATGACAATGTCACCCATCCTTACGAGTCTTCTTGATTGATTGGCCAATGAATCTTTGGCCCCCACGAGGTCAGATAGTCGAGTTGTAGCAAAGGAATCTCCAATATCAGAATGTTACACACTTGGGTAGTGTGCCATAGGGTTGGCGTCTGCGTCCACTACCAATGACACTGCTAGTACATAGAATACATCATAATAGGGCCTTGATAGTATGGAGAGCATGAACTGTGGCGCTGCTTAATTCGCCGCGAACCTCGATAGAAAACATACAATCCTCCTATTGACCGTGTCAAATCACCGGTTGCCTAAATTTCTGACTGATAGCGGCGTAGAATTCCACTGATTCCTCCGACATGAATGCTCAAACGATGAATGCCCCTTGGTATCTACACCCTTTAGGTAACTGGTACCCAGTTACCTATACCCAGTTACCTATTTGAGTTATAGACAAACGGACTGAATGGACTGGACAATTACTATTGTCCATATTGTCCATCTCAATACTCCGAGGAAACTATTTGTTTGTCGACTTCGACTACAAATAGTGAGGTCATTTCCCTCATTCTCGAACTCAACAATCTTCATCATCCAACCTCACTGGCCCGAGACATCCGCAAATTATCTCGATACACTCCTTCATCATGCGATTTTTCATTCCTTTCCTTTTAGGCCTGAGCTGGCTCGCCAACGCTGCCTACATTCCTGCCCTGAGCACCAACAGCACTGGGATTGTATCTCGTGATGTTGGCGGGTACCGCTCAGTGGCATACTATGTGAACTGGGTAAGTTTAGACCATATCACTGATTATCACTGATTATCACTGGATGAAACTGGAAATATAAAAAGCATCATCATCCAAACACACAAAATAGGAAGGCATAAGCTAATCTCGGATTATTCAGGCCATTTACGGTCGTAACTTCCAACCCCAGAATCTCCCCGCTGAGCGACTGACTCATGTGCTTTATGCCTTTGCCAACATTCGCCCCGGTACAGGCGAGGTCTACCTGTCGGACTCCTGGGCGGATACTGATAAGCACTACCCCACTGATTCTTGGAATGATCCCGGAAACAATGTCTATGGCTGTGTCAAGCAGCTGTTCCTCCTCAAGAAAAACAACAGCAAGCTTAAGGTTCTTCTGTCTATTGGAGGCTGGACTTATTCCACTAGCTTTGCTTCTGCCTTTGATACCGAGGCTGGACGACAGAAGTTTGCTGATTCTGCCACGGAGCTACTGAAGAACCTTGGCTTCGATGGTATTGATGTTGATTATGAGGTAAGTTTTCAGCAGATGTAATCTGGAACTTGTTGATGCTTATAAAAACTATAGTACCCTGCGAATGATGACCAGGCGGAAAAGTTTGTCGATGCACTCCGACGGCTGCGTGGGGTATGTGATGATCATTTTATAAATATTCCATAAGCTTTGGCTAATTAAACTCAGGCTTTGGATTCCTACAGCTCGGCCAACGCTCAGGGTTATCATTTCTTGCTTACTGCCGCATCTCCCGCTGGTAAGTTTTATCTTCATCCTTAAAATGTTCTAAAACAGCTGACACAATCTTGATTCTTAGGCCCGGAACATTACCGCCAAGAACGCTTGAAGGAAATGGACCAGTACCTGGACTTCTGGAATCTCATGGCCTATGACTACTCTGGTAGCTGGGACACAGTTGCTGCCCACAGTGCCAACCTCCACGCGTCGACCGACAACCCCTCCAGTACCCCATTTAATACGGACCAAGCAATCGACTACTACACCGCGCAAGGTGTGGCCGCTAACAAGATCGTAATGGGTATGCCACTTTACGGGCGAGCGTTTACCAACACCGACGGTCCGGGAAAGCCTTACAATGGCGTTGGAGCAGGCACATGGGAGAACGGTGTGTGGGACTACAAGGGTCTGCCACTGAATGGCTGTGCCGTGACAGTCTTGGATCAACCGGGTGCAAGCTACTGCTATAACAAAGATAGCCGACTGTTTGTCAGCTACGACACACCCGAGATTGCGCGTAAGAAGGCGCAGTACATCCAGTCCCGTGGGCTTGGCGGTGGAATGTGGTGGGAGAGTAGCTCTGACAAGACTGGCGCGGACAGTTTGATTACAACTGTATGTCTTTTTTTTTGGTTTTTATATTTGGTTTACACTTTACTAACATAAACACAGGTTGTTAATACACTTGGAGGTGTTGGTGCTTTGGAGCAGAGTGCCAACCAACTCCACTACCCTCAGTCCAAGTACGTTAATTTGAAGAACGGCTTCCCCTAGATTAGCTTATTCTTTTGACTGTCGATATTGCAAGATTGGAAATATCTCGCTGACATATGGATTGGGACATTTATGGCTGTTATGTGGATCAGCCCTGATGGGTGATGGGATGTGCGCCACTTGCTTTTGCATTTAACTTGAACAGGATTTATCAATTGAAAAATGAAAAAACACGATTAAGGTCGAAATTTGATTGGATTTATGTGTAGATCAGATGTAGGACATATTAAGTAAAAGCCTCAAATATTGTGTTATAGAAACCCAATCAGTAAACCGATTCAAGACTTGATCTCTTGAGAATCTCCTGTATGCGTGACATCACTGATAGACCCAACAGAGGGAGAGCTGCTTTCTCCTTTGCTATCTCTACTCCGAGCACCCTCGACAATGTTTTGACCTCTCAGCCCGCGATAAACATCACGAATCTGCTGAATACCACCATCAAAGATGGGGTAGAAGATAGCAACCAGCATACTGAGCCAGAGCCAGATGATAGCGACGACGACCCAGGCAATATAGAACTAAACCAACAGTCAGTCAAGAACGGCCAAAGCTTCAAGCTCAAGTGGTAACACATACCTTCTTCCCAAAGATATAACCAGATCCATACATAGGCAACGGCCAAATAACCCAATGACCCAAAAAGGTCGCCACAGCCCAAAACGCCGCAATACGACCCCAGCGCTTCAGCTCTTTCTGATCATCGGCACTCCTGCCCCCGTCCTCACCACTGCCATCTCCACCAGAAGGAGTCGTCGAATCACTATCCAATTTCTCAAGTGACAACTTGACCTTCTTGAAATCATCCCAGTTATAATTCTGCGGCCGGACAAGTGTAATCACAACTGAGTATACAATGGGCGACATGCAAGAAGCGACTGTTCCATAGAGACAGGGAAGAACTTGTCCCGTCGACGCGACGGAAACTTCATTGCTAAAGTGCGATGCAGTCCCAAGCCAGACGGCCATACCAGTGGCAAGACCTAGGACCGGGGAGAGGATTGCGGCTGCTTTACTTTGGCGACGCCAGAGGATTGTAAAGATCATTGGGAAGATTCCGGGACATGTAACCACACCTATTGGAGAGAAAGGAAGTGTTAGTTAGAGATAGAAAGACAAGATGTAGGAATTAGGAATGACATACCAAGCATATACAATGTCCAGCCTAGATTAATACCCACGTAGTGAAGCATAGTACTAAAAGCAGCAGAGAAAACAGCGAAGAAAATCACACCAAAGTGACTTGCGCGGATCAGATCGTAATCTGTAGCCTTCTTATTGAAGTACTCGCGGTAGACATCGAAACTGAGAATTGAGCTGACGGCGATGACCTGTGCGGAGAGAGTTGATGTGCATGCCATGAAGGTTATAATGAGGACTGCTGCTGCGCCGCCTTTACCAGCGATAGTGATTGCCGCGTATGGAAGGACGAGACCATTTCCGACTTCTGTAGATGTCATTCTCTGATTTGTGGTGTTAGTGGTATTTGGGAGATTGAAAGAGGTAGATAGGGGACTTACCCTTGGGAATGTGGGGAAGGTTGGACTATTCTCGAGTCCTAGGGCAACGGAGCTCATTACTGTTCCTAGACCCCATGGTATGGCGAAGTAGGCGATGCCACCGATTGTATAGCCGGGTACTACTGCTGCTGGGGAGGCGGAAAAGGCTTTGATAAAGTAGCTTGTGTCCATCTAGAGGGTTTTAGAATGGGGTGGTATTGGGATATATGGTGCTTTGCTTACAATAACCAAACCGAAGTTTCCAAGAGTGTGAAGGATTCCGAAAAGGATTGCCTAGATTCATGTCAGTGAATCAGCCGGTAAGGCTGTTCCATTTCTTTTGAACTTACACCCTTTGATGTCATTGTCAGATATGTCCCATCTTGGTTGCCAGAGACTGGGTGCTGTTGCGCTGCTGCTTGGACGAGTTCGAATAGATCACCCACAGAGCCAATCTGATCAGTTGAGAAAGCTTTGACAGTGAAGTAGCATGCAATAATCATAATAATAGCCGTGTGGAAGTAATCTGTAAGGAATCTGCATGATATCATTAGATGTTCAGACTCTTTAAAGTCGAGGGAAGAAGACTAACGTTGCTTTGATGCCACCAACAAATGTGTAGAGCGTCACTCCAACTGGCAATAGGAAGGTTGCGGCAATAATATGCATTCCAGTGCTGAGTTCGTTAGCTAGAGTATCTCAATAGACCAAAGGAAGCTTACACAGCAGTGATAACTGCAGCGGCACCGAGAAGCATATTGGCACACGCGAAGATATTGTTCACCAGACAGAGAATCATGAAGACAACATGTGCCACATGTCCTATAACCCGAAATAGAGTCAGCAATGCTCAGACAAGAAATCAAAGTCAACTTACCGTATCGAATCCGAACAACTTCCAGTGAAGTATGTGCTTCCGGGATCTTTCGCTTGCATGATATTCCCAACAACGCAAAGAACACAATCATCGGACTGCAGCCAGCTGCAAACCAGAATGGACCTGCCACGCCGTAGTCATAGCCGACAAACGATGAGCCGAGTAAAGCTGTTGACCAAAGCCAAGACTAGAAAGGCATTTATCTGTTAGAATTCAAGCGGCTAGGGGGGAATAAAAGAAGAACCGACTGATATCACGGCTGATGCCGTTAGACCTGTGCGGACAGTACGGTTTGCTGTCATGAACCTGTGTTCCTAATTAGTATGGAATGGAGATTTGCGGAGAAAGTTGCATACATTTCTGTCTTTTCATTGTCCTCTCCGGTGGTTTTCTTCAAAACCTTTGTGATGAGCATCATCACTGTTCAATGTTAGTTGGGATATTAGAAGGATGTATTGAGGTTCTCACCTAGAGCAATAATCACGCCAATAACAACGACAACGACATAGCCAACTGCCTGTGAAAGAGGTGGTTGGACAGTCGAAACGCCATCCCGGGCATGTAGATTCGACATTGTGCAAGGCAAATAGCCTACTTAAGGGGGATAACTGTGATTGGATTTGCCGTTTCGAATTGTTAGTAGGAGGTGGTGTTGTATAGGCAAAGGCAGAAGAATATTAGCCCCAGAAATGCTACCGAGGACATGGAACAGGGACTATATGTATGCTTAAATGATATCCATCTAATGTATACAGTCCCTGGGCAGAGATATGATCCAAGGCACATGTTGGAAGAATTGATATAGGGTCCACAATGGCTTGATTTGTGCTCACGATGAGGTGCTTTTTCACGAGATTGGCACGGCTGAAGGATGGTTTAAGTTTATGAAGGGATAATCTGGCCAGGATAAAGCATCTCGTTCATATGATTTATTCAATTATGAATTATACGAATCAAAATAAGAGGGTACTGCCTTGTTGTACATGTACCTATATTTTATAGTTATAGGGGAAACGAGGATATTCAGGTATAACATCGTAGAAGCCAGATATTCAGACCAACTATTGACAATCCAAGAGATTTAATTCCCCAAAATTGAGTGAATCCAACCTCTGGGCAAACTTTGATGTTCGAATGTCCAATAGCGAGGAGGCGAATTCGGAAGAACATGGGACGGAGGAAATTCCGCGGAATCACATCACTTCGCCAATATTGTATAATATAGTATATCCAATGTATAATTATATCTCTCGGGCGAGAGAAGATTATACTAGGAATTAATCTGCATGGCTCCGCGAGTATAATTGCTTTTTAACCAATTAAAGTGGTCATTGGCGAGTATATTCGGCACGCCATCACGGCCCACTGTGATGCTATAACATTCGAGTCCAAGGTGACGCACGCGGGGTTGTTTTTTTTTTAAATCGGATGATTTGGAGAATTAAATAGGAATAAATATAAAGAAAATATAACCCCTCATTTCTGGTAGAATGATAGTTATTGTTTCTTGAATTGCTTCTAGTCAACAATCTCACAATGTCTACAACTCAACCATCAGATGCGACTAAACCTCGCAAGTCGCTCATTCTCAATGCCTTTGTGGAAATGTGTACGACAAACCCCATTTCACATGTGAAAATATCAAGTTTTAACAATCTGAACAGGCAGCGGCCATCAATCGCCAGGACTGTGGCGCCACCCTGAAGATGAGTCGCATCGCTTCAACGATGTCGACCACTGGGTCGAGTTAGCACAATTACTCGAGTCGGCCAAGTTCCATGGAATTTTCATTGCAGATGTTCTTGGTAAGTGAATTAAGTGTGTCTTTATTTTAGGAGGAAACTCTGACAAGAAATCTTTCTCTAGGAGGATACGATGTCTATAAAGGACCCCAAAACCTCGACCCTGCAATCATCTCCGGTGCTCAGTGGCCAGTGAACGAACCATTAGCAGTTGTCCCCGCAATGGCCGCGGCTACGAAGAATATTGGATTTGGAGTGACGGTCACAACAAGCTACGAGCAGCCATATCATCTTGCGAGACGACTATCTACAGTCGATCACCTTACCAAAGGACGGTATGTGAATCTAGTAATCGATGGGAGAACAAGTCGCTAATTAAACTCGTCTGATAGTCTGGGGTGGAACGTGAGTAGCACGCTCAAATTGAATAACAGCACTTCCGAAGAAATACATACTAACAATATCCCTAGGTGGTAACAGGATACCTCGACTCCGCTGCCCGCAATATGGGCCAAGCCGAGCAGTTACATGTAAGACCTCACATTCTACACTCACATGCCTATAACATACTAACAAACAATTCAGCACGACGACCGCTACCTCCTCGCCGAAGAATACATCAAAGTAACCTACAAACTATGGGAATCCTCCTGGCGCCAAGACGCCGTAACCCTCGACCGCGAGCGCGGCATCTACACTGACCCAGCAGGCGTGCGTCAAATCAACCACGTCGGCAAATACTTCAACGTACCCGGGCCCCACCTCTGCCAGCCCAGCCCACAACGCACACCAGTCATCCTCCAAGCTGGCACCTCAAAAGCAGGCAAAACCTTCGCCGCGCAACACGCAGAGGCTATCTTCGTGGCGGGCCACAGCCCGGCCGTAGTAGCGAAGAACGTTAGAGAGATTCGGGAGCTTGCACAGAGCGAGTATGGACGTGATCCGCAAAGTATTAAGTTCCTTGCACTTCTGTGCCCTATCCTCGGCAAGACCGAGGAGGAGGCTGTGGAGAAGTTCAAGTATTTCCGCAGTTTGGGATCTATTGATGGTGCGCTTGCGCTGTTTGGTGGGTGGACTGGTATTGATTTGGATAAGTATGGAGAGGATGAGGAGCTGAGACATGTTGAGAGTAATGCTATCCGGTATGTGATAATGCTTCCCCTCTTTAGCATGGCAAACACTAACTCGAGTTTCTGTATAGCTCTGCTGTTGAGGGCTGGTCCAAGGCGACACCCGAAGTGGCCAAGTGGACAAAATCCACTGTCGGTCAACACATCACCGTCGGAGGGCTGGGTGCCACTCCTGTCGGTACAGCTGCTCAAGTTGCTGATAGCATGGAGCGATGGGTACAAGAAGCCGATGTGGATGGATTTAACCTGGTAAGTTATATTTACCGAAACAGTCCGTTGTATCTTGAATCATTGCTGACATTCTTCGCAGGCATACGCAATCAAGCCCGGCTCCTTCAAGGATATCATTGATCTCCTTATTCCCGAGCTCCGCAAGCGAGGCCTGTTCTGGGATGACTATGCCGTGCCCAAGGGAACATACCGTGAGAACCTATATGGGCAGCCCGGCCAGTCCGGACCCCGTGCAGACCACCCTGCGTCCAAGTACCGATGGAATGCTGGTGTGGATGCTTCGGAGGCTATCATTCCGGATAACTAAATGCTATATAATTGACATCATATACAGAATCTGAATTGAAATGACATCCAAACAAATAATTAGAACAATCAATTTTTAGGACAGACTATCCGTATAGACTACCTGCAAGGCCCGCACAGGACCTGTTCTATGGACGCCAAGAAAATGCAAATTTTGTACACAATCATAAACCGAAGCTCTAAGTCAACATATCATCGAGACGCTCGCCAAGCACCTTCTCAATCTGCTTAACCCATCTGCGGACTTCTCTCTCAACACTCTCATCCTCGTCTTCCATGAGCTCACTGATGTAAGGTAGCATCTCTGGCAGAAGCGCCAACCACTCCTCACCAAGCTGCTCCGTAAGAGCCTGTTCGGCCTTGAGGGCTGCGAGACGGGTGTGGGGGCTGTCACCACCGGCGAAGCGGGCATTAGGCGCGGAGGAGGGACGGAGGTATTTCATAAGAGCGGAGTTCAGCTCCTTGTGGTTATCTGTGGAGTCGGCGGCGATGGCCAGTTCTGTGATTGTGGGCACAACGTCGGCAATGACCATGTTCGAGGTGGTCGTGCTGTTTGCATGGGCGAGCTGGGCAATGAGGGGACCGGAAATGCTGGCGAGGTGGGAGGGGCTTTGCCAGAATTCTGCAGTAGATGTTAGTGGCTGTAATCAGGGATATTGGATGGAGAGAGGAAACGTACCATCTTGGTCATGCTCGAAGGACTTGCGAAGCATACGAAGGGCAGCCAACCAGAGGGACTTTTGGGCCTTGGAGGGACCCGACGTGCTCAGGACACTGACAACGTTCTCCAACACATAGCTGGAGTACCCAGTGACAATTGACTGAAGAAGGTATTAGCGATAAAAGTTAATGTATGATGAATTGGAGGAAAACATACCTGGAGAGTACCGAAGAAGACCTCGAGGAACTTGTAGAAAGTCGTGAGGCGCGAAATTTGAGCCTGCTCATCCTTGGGGGCACCGGTAGTAGCCCACTCAACGAACTTCAGGAAGATGGGGCGGAACGTGCTGTCGTTCAGCTTGTAGATCATCTTGATCGTAACGTCGTTGAGCGCCACCTCGGCCTCATCAATGGCAGTCGATTCGAAGATAGCCTTATCGCCAAGAGCAATCTGCTCACGGCGCAGATCGAACGCCTTGAAAAGAATCTTCGTAAGGACACCGATGTTCTTAGCGATGGTCGACTTGGGGTGCTTGTCAACAGCGATTGTGACAACTTCCAAGAGTTCGTTCACAGCAATTGGGCCAGCCTCGACGGCGCTCTGCCAATTGCGATCGACGGCGCCGAGTGTTGCGCCCACATCCACCTTGCGGGCCATCAAGCGTAGGGACTCCTGGCGGCTCTCATCACTGCTTTCCTCGATATCCGCATTAGCAGACTTGAAGGACAGGAGGAGAATCTTGTCCAGATGGCCAGCTGAGATCATGAATGGCAAGTGAACGAAGAGGGCAGAGAAGAGGGTGAAGACGGCGTCGTGGAGTCGCGAGTTCTCCTTGCCAGAAACCAGACTCAACTCGAGCAATTCCAACGAACGCTTGAGTGTGTCGGGAAGGGCAGGAATCATGGCTTGACCCAGCACCTCGGCCATAGAGGCTAGACAGAGGATACCCATGTAGCGAATGCGGTCATCAGATTGGCCGAGGCAAGATTCGCTGGCAACAACTCTAGCGGCAGCAATGACCTTGGACGGGTCCTTGCGGCCGTATTTGTCGGTGATGCGATCGATGCACGAAACGGCAGCATGCTTGAGCAGAATATCCGGAGAAGACTCGACAATGCCAACCAGGGTAGGCAGGAAGTCGAGAACACGAATCTGCGATAGGTTGTCGCGCTCAGGGTTCTGGCGGAGGCGGGTTTCGAGCAGACGAAGAACCTTGCGTCGAAGTTCGTCATTGGGACCCTGGAGGAGAACCTCAATGGTATCCAGGAAGTCGACCAGAGACAGAGTGCTGAACAGAGCACCGAGGACCTCACCGCAAGCCTGGCTGACGGGCTTCATGCTCTGCACGGCCTCGCCGATACTCAGAACCTGTGTTAGGACTCGGGAGAAGCAACCACGGGACTGATCAGCAACCTCATCATCCGACTCAAAGGCTGCCTCGAGTTTAGACTTGAGAGAAGAGTGCTTGAACAAGTGAGCAAGATCACGCAGAAGATCAACGCAGATGCTCTGGGCGTCGCGTCCATCATCGCTACCAATTCCAAGAAGGACCTGTGAGATACCTGGCTTGGGCTTGAGAGAATCGCTAACCAAGTTCAAGTACTTGCTGTAGGTGGTAAGCTCCACGACAGGTGTAGTATCTGAGACCAAACCAGTCATCAGAGTGAGGACATCCTTGTCGGTGGAGTATCGGTTAGCGAGCATTGCCAGGACAGCAAACAAGAAGTCTTGGGTTCCAAGCTTGCTGATCAAGGCATGGAAGAGTCTCAGACGGCGATGCGAGGGGATGTGTTCGAAGGCTGCAGTGAAACTGAGTAGCAACTCGGAAGTTCCAGAGACAACATCCCGCTTCTGATTACGCAGAGATTGGATGAGCGCAGGGACAACTTGGTCGATAGTTTGGTCAATGACCGAAACAGAGTAGTCATCATCCTTGCGCAGAACGGTAGTGCCCATGAAGGTGAAGATCGGCATGACGCTGTGGAGAACCAACTCGGGCGCAATGACAGACAGACTTCCCACGAGAAGAAGAGCACCGTTCTGAACCTGCGGGCTATCGGTTGTTCGTACACAGTCAACCACCAGGTCAGCCCTGATGACAGATGTATCGAACTGCGGCTTAGCAGATCCCTTGGATGTGTTCACGATAGCTAAGAGACTTCCCAAGGTTAGGCTGAGGAGATAGCTCATGCCAGAGTGGATCTGAGACTTGAAGTGATGAAGAGCAGCGAGTGTCTGGAACAATCCATCTACGAGCTCGGGGTGAGTTTCTGGGGAGGAGCTATCCACGATCTCCAAGATGAAAGTCATCTTGTCCATCAACTTGCTAAGCTCTGCCTCGTCCTTGACAGTCATGGCAATCATGTTGCTCTGGCTAGTACGTCTCCGCTTTGGTGCAGGACCAACAGACTCAACGTCGGTAATAGACACAGGAATCTTTTGGACAAATTGCTGAAGAACAGCACCTGAAAGTTCGACGGTGCGAAGGACATCTCGGCAGTTGTTTGCCAGAGAAGCGGTACCGGTTGAACCCGCAAGGGAGATATCGAGCAACTTCTCGGCGGCGGCCAACTGACGGTCTTCGGAGATTTTAGACCAGATGCGTTTGATTTGGCCAAAGCAAGCCGCAACGAAGGACTGGCGCAAGTTATCACCAGAACTGACATTGGAGAGAAGGACATTGACAGCGTCCTTGTCTTTGGATGTGACAATAGCAGCAATCAAATTCTCTGTCTCGGATGCCACAATGCGCTCCTTGCCACAAATTTCCTCGACTTCCTTCTCGCTCAAGCGACGCCAATCCTCGAGGATTGGGAGAAGCTCACTGGTGAGGGTTGCAGTAGAGACCTTCTCCACGCCATTGATCAACTTCAGCAAGCTAATCTTGGGTGCGAAAACTGGCATCTTGACAACGTGAGAGCAGATGAAGGTGAAGAGACTAAGACGGAGAGACTTCTTGAGTTCGGTTGCACCCGAAGCTTCGGACAGGACGTTGCCCCGTAGAGTAGCTTCCACTGTTCTACCAACGTGGTTAGAGTCAAGGATGGACTCCTCCAACCCTGGAAGCAATGCCCGCTCCAGGACCTTCTGCGAATCCTTGGTGGTGAGCCATGCGAGACCCGTGGATTGCTTGCCCTTGCCGTAGATCGTGTCATGTGCCCATGGCTTCGAGCTGTCACCGGCATTGGTATTGTTTTTGTACAGTGATCCGATGATAGCCAAGACGCCAGCGGTCTCACGGCGAATCCGTTCGGAAGGATCAGAGAGGGCGACAAACAGGAATGGTAGTAGTGCCTGAGGATCAAAGTTTGCAGGTGCCGATGAAAGAACTGATGACAAGACGTTCAAAGCAGCAATCTTTGTTCCGATGGGGTAGTGGCCAGCAACAACTCTGATGAAGAAGGACAAATATTGAGGAGACTTGGTCGCCTGGGGCTTGCCCAAGATTGACAAATTGGTGAAAAGATCGAGATTCTCCTCGGAATCCACCGCCAAGGCGAAAACGCGTACCAGGTTATCAAATTCAATGATAGACTGTTTGGAAAGGAACGAGTATGGGAACAAGGGCTCTTTAACCAAAGACTCCAAAGCTGGAGTAAAGGCGTCCACCTGGGGCTGATCGTCCGCATCAACCATATCCACATCTTCAATGGCCTGCGCCACAACGGGGGCCTCGACAACGGTCTGGAGGTTGTGTTCGAGCGCCGAGATGTTGAACGAAGATCCAGTCAAAGTCTTCTGGAAAATGGGTTGGAGGGTTTCCGAACGGTTGAATCCTTGAACCAGCTCAGCGAGCTGGGTCTGGGCATCCAAAGACATGCCACGGGTCTCGTCTGCATTAGAAGCTGCTTCGAGAACCAGGCTCATAGCCTTGGCAATCTCGTTCTCGCCAAGCATCTTGCGTTCAAAGATGGAGGCAAGAAGTGCAAGGCGAGCGTTGTCCTGCTTGTCAAGATCAGTCAAGCAGCCGGCAATAATCCCAAGCAACAGGTTCGATGTTTGATATTGCGGCGCAATTTCAGAAAGTTGGCCGATAGGGTTTTCGAGGCGCAAGATGCCCTTGAAGACCTTTTTCGGAATTGTAACAGTAGGCTTCTGCTGTGCAAGAACTGAAAGGCAAATCAGACCAGATATCTTTGTATCTTCAGTCCATGAACCCACAACACTCTCCATTAGACCATCAATAACCTCGTTCGAGAGGAAAGCCTTCTGTGCCAGTACAACACAGATCATATAGCAACCAACGATCAATTCCGAGACTTTTTTCATAGCGAAAGCGTTGCTGAGGACCGGCAAAACGCGTAAAAGGATATCTTCATGCTTTTGCTTCTCGGCCTCTCTTCTCCCTGCGCGAGCACCATCCAACATAGTTGCAACAGCCTCTGTAACAATTCCGGCCCAGAATGCAAGTAGTGCATGGCTTTGGGCCTGCTGCCTACAAACTTTCAGTACGTATTCGTTTAATTCGGAAAAGAAAGCCTTATTCGTGGCTGCGCTGTGAACAAGCGGGTGCCTTGGCGGATTAATGAGACCGTTCTTGTATGGAGTGAGGACTTTGAATGTTGGTGAAAGAGTTTCCGGAAGAATGGATAGAAGGTTCAAAAAGAGTGGTGTCGTGTGATACGGCAAGAACGTCAATAATACGGCTGTCGTGTTGAACTCGTGGATCCTGCCATAAAAGTTAGCCACCACGTCTCACGATCTCACGATCTCCACCACCCCTCGCGAGCTTTTCTCACCTGAACCTTCTCACGAGCCAATCCACAGCTTTGACCGCAGGACTCAACTGCAGCCTGCCGCCAACCAGAGACAGGAAAGCTTCAACCACAGTATCCAACTCCTTATTCTGAAGTACGTTCATCTGACTGCGGTCCTCTGCTTTGCTCTGCTCACTGAAGATCGTACGATCAAACTCCGCAAACCTGGGGTCCAATGAGCATAACTCCCGGAACCCGTCATAACAAATATCATAGATTGCATCAAAGTCTTGAGTGCCGGCGATCTTTGGGTCGAAAATAAGTGACTGTGAGTGTGAAACCCTTTGCGCCTTCAGGTCAAGCTCGTGTGTCGACTTGGCCGCAATCTGCGACAGCTGCGCGGCGAGAGACGAAGCCATGGTGAAGTCTCTTTTAGCGGGCTGTTCCGCGGTCTTTTCTTGTTGTTTTGTCTTGATTCTCACACAATTGCGCAGTGACCCATATCCCCAAGACTCTTGAAAGTAGTCTTTCTTTTTCTTTGCAAACCGAGGGCAGGCGGTTGAAATACTTTTGAGGTAAGTCTTAAGCTTTTTGTTTGACCAAGAGCAAACGGTTGACTTTTTTTTTTGCCAACCAGCCCGACCGCCCATCGGAGAATCGTTCTTCCGGGTTATCAGCCCGCGGCTCGACTCGATAAGGAAGATCGAGCCACCACGATGGACTCACCTGGGTCTCAGGTTAGTTAGTCCTCTGTTAAAACTTAGTAGATATTCGACTGACCAGAAATAAAGGGTGTCCCACAATTCTCCAGCTTCCGACCTCCCCCTACCTCTCCTCCGGCCGCCGCTACCGGCTCGGAACATGAACATCGTCGGCGCCGCCAGCGCGCAGACCGGAAAGAGTCTCCGCGCTCTCGTCGCCATGAAAGACGCTCGGTTGGTGATCGCGAAAAGGCGAAAGGCAAAGAAAGTAAGGAACGCCTGAGTGGGAAAGGGATTCTCGATGTAAACGCTGCAAATGATGAATCAAACGCTGCAAACGATGAATCAAACAAAGGATTTGTCGTCGACAGCCGCGGCGATCACGACAATACACGCTATGGCGTGGATCGCTACGAGGTCCCTGCATACCATCGTAATGGTAATGGCTTTGTACTCGGGCTCCCCAAACAGCGCATTGATTACCAAACACGATATGACCAAGGTCCCCTTCTCCTTCTTCGCCCCGACTCAGGCTCCTCTGCAGCCACTGCAGCCAAGCCTCTCTCAGCCGCAACCCTGTCTGCTTTGTCCATGAATCTTCCCATTCGTCTCCGGTCTGAACTTGAGGCTAAACTTGCTGTTGAGACCCAACATTCACAAAATTTCATCTCAACAACAGTCCCATCTCAAGCTGGCGTTGCGGCAACTGCCAACTTAGATGACGAACCACCGTCTTATCGATCTATCCTGGAAGTCCCGGCTAAGTCTGAAGAAAAGACCGATGAGGCGCTTGATGCAAACACCTTCACTCGACTTGCTCTCGAAGCTGAGATCTTGAATCGCAATGCCAAATTGAACAGCGCAGTGGTACAACAACCTAATGATATTCAAGCGTGGATCCGTCTTGCTGAGCATCAGGAACTTACTATCACTGGCGCTAGATCTGGTGACCAGACCTCCTACCACGACAATATACAAATTGTGGCAAGAGCCAAGCTGTATGTGTATGAGAGAGCGATCAAGGCTAACGCACAAAATCCTGAACGCGATCACCTCTTGCTGGGCCGTATGGAAGAGGGTGCGAAAATTTGGGATTCCACAAAACTCGCATTGGAATGGGACGAAGTCCTTCGCCACCACTCTGAGTTCATCACTCTATGGATTGAGTATCTTGACTACTGTCAGACCGACAGTCAGGATTTTAACTTTGACGGTTGCTTCAAGACTTATGCCTACTGCTTGAAGATCCATTCACGTGTTGGCTTCGGACCGCAGAAAACTTTCATCAGATCATACTTGCTGCTTCGTTTGACCCTATTTCTTCGGGAATCGGGGCACGTAGAGCTAGCTGTCGGCCTCTGGCAAGCAGTGCTCGAATTTACATGCTTCCGGCCAGCCCATTTAACGGGGAAGAAAGAAGAGGCCCTGGTAGAATTCAAAAAATTCTGGGCACCTGGGCACATCCGGATCGGGGAGCCCGGTTGGAAACCCTGGAACAGTGGACAAATTCATCGCGCCCCTGTCAACGAACGTTTATACAATTCTGAGGCGGATATCCGAGACTTATTCCCAACCTGGGCATCCGCAGAAAGAGAGCGGATGTTTAAAAATCGCATGCCGTCACATGCCTTTGAATCCAAAGAGAGCGACGCCTTCCGAATCGTCCTTCTTGAAGATTGCACGCAGATACTGCCATACTTCTGGGACTTGGAGAAAAGTCTTGGTTCCCTGGTTGATGGCTTCTTGTATTTCTGCCATTTGCCTCACTTGACATTGCCTGCGAATATGCACACCAGCCGACTGTGGACTGGTGATAAATTCTTGCGAAACGAATACATGGATGATCCTCGAAACACAATCGCGGACTGGATCACTTTTCAGAAATATGCCGCAACCACAACCCTTGAACCTTTCGCATTCCCTCACCATACCTTCGTTCACAACACCGATACTCTCTTTGCCGATCCAAAGATGTGGTTCTCGGCTCTGACGAAGTGGGCTGCAACCACCTCCCATTCTTCTTGTGTCATCGATCCTAACTTTGTTCTCCTGACTCTCCAATCCCTTGCCGATGTCTTCAGAGACAGCCAATTGGCCGAATACGCTATTGCAGTAACTTTCGCTTGTGACAACGCTTGTGGCAAGAAATACGGAAAGCGACTCTTGAAGGAGCGTTCATCCAACCTAAGACTTTACAATGCCGTTGCGCTCATGTATTGGAGGACTGGCGACCTTGACGTTGCTCACAATGTGTGGTCCACCGCTTTGTCTATGAGCCAGAATTTCGACGCTTCCGAGCTCACTGACTCTGCACTCCTATGGAACTCATGGATCTGGGAAATGCTTCACGCTGGGCAAAAGAATCGAGCATCATACTTGTTGCAGGCTATGCCGTACAACCGAGCTCACTTGCTGTCATATGACACAGCTGACGAGATTGAAATCAACGAAACCAATTTTCTCAGGGTCAAGAAGGCAAGTTTTCATCCGTTAATCTCAGTGAGCGCCATGCTAACCATTCGCAGTGCTTGTTTGCCGCTCAGAAGAATGCCTTGAGGTTCAAGAAAATGCAAGCATACGCAGCGTACGCTGACTGCTATGCCATTGCCCTTTATCTCAAGGGCGAGCAACTCGAAGAGGTCCTCGAGGTCTACAATAACGCTGTCACTTCCCTTAGAGTCCTGCCCAGGACCGATGATGATTTCAGGGTGTTCGGCGGAGAATTGCTGCACCAATCCCGAGCCCGAATCCTGTACCACTACGTGGAGAAGCAAAGTGGCCAATTCAGACCTGCCGATGTTCGCGCACTGCTCCTGGATAGCCTAGAATGGTGGCCTCACAACACCATGTTCTTGTCTCTGTTCAAATGGAACGAGTCTCGGCTGCACATGAGCGACCGAACCCGCGATATCTTGGAAGTGACCATCGGGGCGAAGGCCAGGGCCGCCCGGGATCTGCAAGGGCCTGCCCCCATCTACCGTGTGCCCGTCACAACTCACCTTTTCAGCATCTACGCTGAGATGGGCCGCCCTCTCATGCTCGGCTCGACCCCCCACTCAATTCGGGCGACCTTCGAGCGGGCGATCGGTGACGATGGCATCGTCCCGGTCGGGCGGACCCCGGTCCGGAAGAGTCCCTTCGAGCTGGCAAGCTCGACCTCCGCGCAGAGTAGCCTCACTATCTGGAGGCTGTACATCCTCTACGAACTGTACGCGGAGTACAACGTCGGCCGCGCCCGCGAGATCTACTTCCGGGCCCTGCGCTCCTGCCCCTGGTCGAAGGAGCTATACCTGCTCGCCTTTGAGCACCTGCGGGCGGACTTGACCAACCGCCTGCCCCCTTGCCGCCTCAACCGGCTGGGGGAGGTCAACCCTTCGGGGTTCGACCCTGCAGAGCTTCAGGCTCTGTATTCAGAGATGCTGCGCCGTGGACTCCGGGTCCACTACCACGTGGAGGGCTTCTGGGCCAGGTAGGCCCAGGAGGAGGCTAATGGTGGGGGGAGGGGGTAAGGGAGGGGGAAGGGGAGGGGAGGAAGAGGAGGAAGGGGAGAGAACAGTGGGGAATCCAGATTATGAACAGGTGAGGGGGGTGCTTCTCAGATCCCCTTCACCTGGATGTGAGAGTAATGTCAAATTCAACTGAGAAGTCAAAATTTTCCGCTTCAACTCTGTAGTTGTAGTGAGGTAAAAGTGAGGCTTCCCTCGAGATCCAACGAGGGTTTGGCAGTCTAGCAGCATTGGTAAACTAGCGTCGCTATAGAATCTATCTGGACAGAGGTTATCAAAACTATGAAGACCAGAGTCCGGGTGCATTCCATATTAGCCAGACGCGATGGGTTGCCAGGGCGGGACTTCGTTTCAAACCTCCAACACTTTGTACACTAGAGTCTTGGATGAAATAAGAAGTGCAAATATCTCTTCAATGCGACGACGAACAAACACATTGCACCACAGAGCAGAGGACCCGAGGTAGGAACTGGATATTCAGGTTTCCCACAATCTCCTGGACCGCACCAAAATCAATGGCCCTTAGTTTAGCCTAGATATACCGCTATTCTTAGCGCTTCGAGCACTAAATTGAACGAAACTATTTTTGGTTGAACTGGTAAATTGGAGAAAAGTATAGTTACAATGGATGTACTATAAAAATAGAATGAACTTCGTTACTGCCGTAATACAATTTATCTTAGTTAGATACAATTACGATGCCTCACTAAAGAACCGATTCTCGGGTCTTGCTAGGCCAAAGTGTTCACGCAGTGTCGAGCCGGTATAATCGTTGCGGAAAAGGCCTCTCCGCTGCAGTTCTGGGATCAATTTCTCCGTCACATCATTTAGACCCTGTGGCAAGAACGGGAACGTGATCGTGAAGCCATCAGAAGCCTCTTCACGCAACCACGTCTCTAACTCCTCAGCGATATCGCTTGGCGAACCGAGGAACGTCAGCCCTGAGTATCCACCATATCGTTGGGCAAGTTGGCGGATCGTGAGTCCCTCTTTCTTGGCCAGCTTTTCAACAGCCTCTCTGGCCGTCTTGCTGGCGTTCGTTTCGGGCAGGTTTTCTGGCAAGAAACTATCCGGATCAAGGCCACTGACATCCGACCCGAGTGAGATTGACAAAGAAGCGATAGCACTATCGTAATGCACCAGACTATCCAACTTGAGTCTCTTCTCCTGTGCATCTTGCTTGTTCTCCCCAACAATGATCATTGCGGCGGGTAAGATCTTCAACTGATCTCTCTTCCGTCCCGCCTTCTCCACTCGGCCCTTGATATCTGCGTAGAGTGCCTTCGCACTCTCAATATCCTTCGGACTGCAAAATACAACCTCGGCAGTCTCAGCCGCGAGCTGTCGTCCTGGCTCGCTCTGTCCTGCCTGAACAATAACCGGCCATCCCTGCGGGGGCCTGGCAATATTCAACGGTCCCCGAACTTTCAAGTCATCGCCAGAATGGTTCAGCACGTGCATTTTCTCAGGATTAAAGTATTCCCCCGTCTCAACGTTGCGAGTAAAAGCATCATCGGCAAAACTATCCCACAGTCCGGTGACGACATCATAGAATTCACGGGCACGCTTATACCGATCACCATGAGCTAAATGCTCATCGAAGCCGAAATTATGACTCGACTCTGGGTTTCCGGTAGTCACAATATTCCACGCTGCTCGCCCGTTACTCAAGTGGTCGAGACTGGCGAATCGGCGGGCAACATGATACGGCGCGTCGTAGGTCGTACTAGCAGTGGCAGCAAGACCAATCTTGTCCGTCACGGAAGAGAGGGCAGAGAGCAGAGTAAAAGGTTCAAATGAAGTAACGGTATGACTGCGCTTGAGAGCCTCGACTGGCATATTCAGCACGGCCAGGTGATCAGCCATGAAGAAAGCATCGAATTTAGCGGCCTCTAGCTTTTGGGCGAATTGGGCGATGTGTTTGAAATTGAAGTTGGCATCGGGATACGAGCCTGGATAACGCCATGCACCTGTGTGCAGCGAGACTGGCCGCATGAAGGCTGTGAGGTGCAGCTGGCGGTTGGGTTGTGGGTCGGTCATCTTGAGATTGATTTGAGTATCCTCCAGATTAGACTTTTTGAATATTGCCAAGTTGGATTCATTCAAACAGTTTGAAATGAGGATGTCTATCATTATATACCCCGCTTGGCTCGGGTCCACAGCTCTGATGGTATTTCCAAGCAGATTTATAAGCCTCGCTCACTTGGCCTTAATATGGCGTGCTTAGAGTTATATATATCGCTGTGTAGAGCGCGAGGCACAAAATCACCGCTTCCCCAGTACAACTATTCTAAGGTGATAGTATGTTCGACGATGTTTCTCAGGTTAGGTAAATTATATTTTCAAAACATATCGAACAGGATCAGTTGCCACACATCATCCCTCAGCCATGCTACTGCCCTGGAGGTTTACCCTTTTGTTAGCATTATATCCTCTTCTATTAAATGTGCTCAACAAGAATGGTATACACAGATTTATCAGTTATTTTCGCTCTTCTGGTTATGACACCACAGAAGCAAAAAGGTCATCAATGAAGATATCGAAATACATCGAAATATACACAATACAACAGAAATAGATAAAGGGATAGCGAAGATATAGTATAGATATAATGAAGATAAATGAAGCAAACATCGTACCTTCCTCAGTTAAGACCAACTGAGTGGAAGTTGCCTATAAATCACTTTCTACTTTCTACTTTCTACTTTCTACCTTCTCCTTCTCACCTTCTCCTCACCTTCTCGCTACATCACAGTCTGACCCTAATCTCTTCCTACCTATATTTATTCACTTTTTATATTTCCCATCTTCTTAGTTGTGGCTGTTCCTTGTGAGTCCAGTTGCCTTCTCATGGGGGCCTATGAGCGTCATCTCTTACCTTGAATACCTTTCAAGCACGTTGAGTCTCTTCTCATTATTCGAGAAACCTGGCTTTTTAACCCTATTGATTATCAATGTCGGAACTTATTCCATCTTTTTTTGCTATACTAAAAGACGGAGGGTTCCCGTTGGCCCCATGCCCCGACACGACAAAGCTGCATCCCATGTTCTCACAGAGAACCAAGGGAACGTCATACTTTTTGAAGAGTGTGAAGCTGCAGTCCTATCAATAGAAATATCCGATGATTGATAAGCGGGATGGCCTAAGACATAAAAATGTCTGACTCTTGTCGCATAAGTCTCTGTGAGTTTGGATACCGAAAATCTCACGACGATTAATCTAAATGTTCATTAGACTCCTGAGGGACATATTCTTAGGCAGTCCTCATTGCCTGACACTTTGGACAACTTAACAATATGCATCTCGGGCCAAAATTCCAGCTACTCTGAAGGGGAGTATTACTCCCTTCGGTCGGACCGTATTCACTACGAGGTTATTAATGGGGAAAAGTTCATTATACCGAGTGCATAACTGGTATGGTGCTGTCCAGAATTTCCGCCGCTCTGTGTCTCGGCTCGCTGAGGAAGGTCCTCTTGATAGCGATGTCGTCAAGCAAGAGTGTGCCAGTCTGATTGAGCGGTTCCCCCGAGAAATCCTCCCAGCAACCCACCAGTACAAACACCATAATAGCCAAGGGAAATGATACTCCATTATCGGCTAAGCCTGGGGATTCCGTGTCCTTGGTATTAACTATGAAGGACCATGTGGTAGTCGGCTTACCTTTCCAGGTGCACCGGATCCGCTAGAGACTGCCAACCACAACTCAGGTGCTTCGTCTATTTCTCCTTGACACATCTGATTTTCATCCTCATGAGAATCTTGCTGTTCAGCTTCCATGGTCACTCAAAGTTTGTAACTTCACACAGTCCAACATACTGCTTTGGACCTACAATTTTGGCAAGCTTTTGCCTATGGCTGATGTATTGTACCTCTCTCATCGATAGCAGTCATACCAGATACCCCAACATAATTCTAGTATCCCCAAATATCATGAATGACTTATGATTGGGCGTTGATTGAGGCTCCCCGTGAACCCGTGAGGAGAAATGCCGTGAGTTGAGCTACTGAGAGATTTACCACTGTGCTAGATATCTGACAACTGATTAGACTCCCAAGGGCCATATTTTGAAAGAGTCCCGATTGCCAAAGATATTGGATACTTCGACTCTTTGCATTTCGGGGCAGAGGCCAGGTTATTCAGAGGGTGGCTACAACGCCCTCAAAGGGGGCAATATCGATCATGAAATGATCGATGGGAAGACAGTGTCCGTACCAACGATTGAGCATTCCGTTATCCCAAGGGGGGAAGGCACATTTTCCGTCAGACATGGGGACTAACGCTGTGGTGTATACCAAAGATAGCCCTACCTACATATATGGTAGCTAGCCTAAATATCTTTATCATAACCCACAATAGTGATCTATCAAGCATATTATAAGACTGACTAAAATTTTCTTATTAGAGGTCTCATCGCGGAGTCTAAGTATACCACGGAGGCAATTAGGTAGAGTATGCTTGAAACAGGGTTGGTTGGTCCTGAATTGATCATACCGCTGGATAGGTAAGACAGTCTATCACCATTGTTATGTGATGCGATGGCATGGAGATGTATCTGAGGGGAAATACCCGAGGTAGACAGACGGGGTTGAGACTCGGAGTCAAAGAAATGTAGAGCATGCTTTATATCGAGAGCTATGTTACAATTATATAACTGGGAACCGAGTATTTAACACCTCGGAAAATAAATAGACCGCTTGAAATACGGGTCTTAGATAAAGTGCATATCAATCTTTGTCATTTTAGTTAGAGTTATACATATCTATTATCTATACTGTACCTTACTACATACGAGATTTCTATTAGTTATAAGCCTAGAATTATTCTATTAAGGATCTATCTATATATACAGATTACTATGTAAAAACGGTATAAGCGAGTAAAAATAATAAAAGTAGATAATACTAGTACTTAATATCTAATACTATTTCTATTATAATGTCTGGCCTTGAAGCCATTGGCGGCATCTCTGCTGTTATTGGTATCATCGATGCCTCAATTAAGATATAAAACAGCGCCCGGAACGACTCGAATACAAGGGAAGGGCATTCTGCAGTTCTCCAGGATCGTGACCAGCAAGCTCATCTGAAACGCCCACCTCGCCGTTGCATCAACGCATGAATATGTATAGTGACCCGCCAATCCCAAATTCTTAACCTTATATCTCGCCAGATACTCCGTATGAATTCAGGAACCAGAAATAAGCAATGCACTTTTTGCCGACACACCTCATAACGGGGGATAACAGGATAGTTAATAGATATCAAGGCCTATTTGACTCCACAGTCTTTTTAGCTTCTTGGTTATGCATTAATCTCAGCTCCTCCTCACTGCCACACTCTGCAAACGCCATGGTCTGCTGATCGACACCCGGAAGAGTCCTGCCGTCTACAATTGGGATGTATGTATCTTCATCGCGCCACGATCGGACGCCAGCTCCGCGGTACGCCAGGCGCTGCAGCTGGAATACCCCGTCCAGAGTCCAATGCACCCACCCTTCCGAAGCCCCAGGGAAACGCCGTTGAACGTAACCGACAATGCTGTCTATGGTTAACCCAAGCACGATTGTTATGCTGCCCAGCAACAAGACGATAACGATAGCCAGCATGTTGAAGTTCTGAAGGCCGGCAGCATTCCGGACGATCTGGTGCTTGCAACTAGCCGCGGCGCCGGACAACTGAGGGAAATACAAGGCATTATTGTCCGGCATAGTTGCAGAATCCACAAAGCCCTGCTGGATCATGGCCAGCCCCTCGGAGAACCACCTGGAAAGCTCCAGGCGCCACTGTGTGCTCGAGAGCTCGGCCCACTGAATCCCGTTAAGTATGGTCTGAGACGCCAGGAACAAGCTGGAAGAAGCAACGCTCGCTAGGTCGGTCCCGATATGGATGGTGTCTAACCGTATGAATGTTGCCAATTGCTTCTCAGACAGGCGTAGAGGCTTGACAACGGTGGAGAGATTGTAGCCGGCGTCTGTGGAGTACTTGTACACCATGCAGATGGGGTCTCCGGGGTTAGCAGGATTGCAGATTTCGTATTGCTCAAGGCATCCGAGAATGGATAGGGCGGTAGACGCGTTATACAACGCTCCAAATTGCGAAGTGTTAATGCTCGCTCCCGTGCGAAAAATGGGGTCATAATTTGGCTCCGTGTATGCATTAGGGTTCGTAATGAACATTATAACGGGTTTGACATCCTGTCGGTCGGTGAACGTTGCGTTGTATTGCCACAGCCTAGAAAATGCGCTGCTCATGTTTAGTCTAAGGCGCATATTTCATTTTGAAGGGTGTTACTCACACCAAATTGTAGGTCGAGAAAATAAAATCTTCTACAGTTTTAACCCGGTCACGATATGTGAACGTGAGCCCGACTTGCTTGCCGTTAGATGGGTCTGGGGTGCCATTTGGCCCATAGTAGTTGTTAATTACATCCTTTTCGGGCGAATCTTGATACGCGGTGGTGACTGGAGAGCAGTTGGCCACCCTGCGGTACAGGATACTGTCTTCTTGTCTCGTATGGATGCCAAAATGAACGCTTGAACTGAGATAGCCCGTATCAAGCATCACCGGCGTTGAGTTTGTGCTGATACAGAGGCTGGGGTCGGCAAAGGGACAGGGGACATCGCTCATTGTCCAGTTGACGGCCGCACGGGGCAGGCTCTGGCAGAAGGCGTTCTGGATAGTCTGGCCCGAAGCTGCTTTATAGCAGAGATCAACATAGACCGAGGCTGACTCGATCCTTTGTTTATAATAAATCGAAAAAGTTTGAAAGTTAGGCATACTATGTCTATCCGTAATGTTGACCCAGTGGCAGATCTCGCTATTGACCAAGAACTCATCGCCCGCACCAGTCCAAATTCTTGACAACAAGATCTGCGCCGCCGCCCACGAGGCAATAAGAACAAGCGAGACGATAAGTATAGGGGAGGACCTCGCTAGGCCATGGATCAACCCCCGCTGTCGTCTCCAACCAAGGGGAATCCGAATAGAAAACCAGGCTGCTTCAGCATGTGTACTGCTGTTGCGAAGCATGGCCTGCAGTTGCTGGTCAAGTCCATCTAGCCTGAAACGCAAGAGTACCTGGTGGAGGATCAATTTGACAATGTTCCATGCCTGCGTTGCTGCAAAGCCGACAAAGAGAACAAGGGCGGCGGAGAGAATACCGCCGTCGCGTTGTTTAAGGGTGAGCGTCCATGTTGGCCATGTTTCGTTTTTGTGGTTTTGCCAGATGCCAATGAAGATATTCGCAGCCGTAGTCGACATGGTCGGCCTTAACTCTGTCCAAAAGGGGACGAGAAAACGTTTGGCGAAGGGAGGAAGAAACAACTCTGTTGGGAGTTTTTTTTTTGGCCTAGGCCCCCCCCCCCTCAAACCCTTTTTCTAGACTCAATCCCGCCAACAACAGTTCAAGTTGCCTTGGTTCCTATTTGTTGGTATTGAACGCTAGGCGCTACTAGTGGCTTTGTATACGAGCTCATGTATGGGCCCGCGCCTTGTTGACAGCCTCACCTGTAAACGTGCGCAAGGGAGCTAAATAATGACTAGCGCTGTTTCTTACCATATGTTGTAGAGACGACAAGGCTAGAGCAGACCTCCATTAATCCTACCTCCAGGAATTAGACTGTCGTCGAGCTGGAGGCGTTAACCCTAACTCTATGGCCCGGGCACGGTACATTTGTGGTCTATTTCGGAAGTCTGCGCAGGTAACTGTGATTCAGGCAAATAAGAGGTATACAGTTAACTCGCCTGGTTTACTGCTGCAGGCCACTTGGGGGGAGGTTAGAGCCTCAGTATCCGTCTCATTTAATACATCGGAAGTGGTTAGCCTTGCGGTGACCAATGCACCGGAATGTTTCAGTTCCTACTGAGCCTTGTTGGCCCGTAAGATTATAGCCTGTATGCCCAGAGGCTTAGGGATCGACTGTAGCACTATGATTTGATAGCTGTCTGATGCACTGCCGCCAAGCCAGGTCAGACCGGACGAGGTCGAAATAGCCCGTCCCGAGAAACCTCACCTAACTACTATCATTCCTTGGGCCGATGAATGCTATGAGAGATCGATCACATTTGAAAATACGCACCATAGCGAAGCTGCTTTATGAGTCCACGGGAAAGGGAAAGAACTGGAAATGGACCAACCGGTAAAATGCCAATGCTTGGCGCTCAGCGTGCCGCTCAGCTACGGGCGACCAAAGATGCCTCTTATTGGATACTGTCTCACCGAAATTTCATCGTGATCAGCGTTATCAGATTCTGCCTGCGTATACGTAAGACGGAATTGTTTTGTCTCGAGTATTTAAGGGTTCAACTGAGTCAGTTGAACTGACGCATTCGTCTTTTAGAAATTTATCGAGGGGCTTCTCTAGCACTGTAGGAAATGGCCTGAGCCAAAGTCTGTGCTGGTGATAGATAACGCATCCTTTCATCACTTGGGCATTATTGCGAACCATATTATATTTTGTCCAAAGCTATGTTACAATACATGACTAGGAACAGAGTATTTAACACCTCGGAAAATACATGGACTGCTTTAAATACCGGTCCTATAAGAAAGTTCATATTAAGCTTGGTCATAAATATCCGTATAAAATTATCAAATAGTGGATTTCGTCATTTTAGTTAGAGTCACACACATCTGTCATCTATACCATACCTTGCTATATACGAGATTTCTGTCACTTTATATATAAATTGAAGCACTTCAATCTAAAGCATATCAACATTAAAGTATATTGAATTGAAGTATATTGAATTAGAAGATATACCTGGTTAGAAAAGAGTGATGATCTTATCTTTATAGGGTTTAAGATCTGTCGTTGGTCGTACTATTGTAAAATTGACGATTACATATAGAAAAGTTGCCTGCATAAAGTATACTTTTTTACCGCATATATCTAGAAAGACCAGCTAAAAGACATCATAAGGCCGCAAATCTGGCCGACTATTCTTATAGAAAATAAAAGAGAATTTAAGAAGTATACAAATTGAAATTAATTACAATTAGGTAGTATATGCTTTAAGAACGCGGTGATGAAAGAGGCAGTGAGGTGGTATTCGATAGGAGAGTTAAGAACCGGTGGCATACTTAGTCGCCTATAGGTTAGTTAGTACTCTTCCTCTTTGTTTAAGAAAAAAAGATGAAAGTTTACATATACGGGAACTTTAGAGCAGCCGGCCGCGTATACGGCCCCTGCAATTAACGATGCAGGTCTTGAAGAATCTGAATCTTTACTCGATTTAAGATGATATTACGAAGGTTACATTTTAAGCCGCTACTACGGTGCATTTTGAAATGTCTTTTTAAATATCTTTTAGGTCTCTTTCGAGCATCTAACAATAGACTACGAGTGCCGAAATGCAAAATTCAGATAGAAAGAATTTTCTACGCATAGGAAGTCACTATCAGTGATATCCATAGATGTGAAAATTGAACCTGTCATTTACCTAACAGATAAAAAGAAGAGATTCGTATTTCTGGCTTACTGCGGTTTGGAATTTAGCCTCAAAACAAGCGTACTTCCATCGCCCCAGTGGTGCTCTTGATATCAGCGATTAAATCACTGATGTGGGTGAATGAAGAAGTGAAAGGCGGATGCACGCGACCTGAAAAGAATAGGCCAACGACGACATGAGTGTCTTTGGTGTAAACCAAAGCGCCGGAGTCCCCATGTCGACCAAAAGATGTGCTATCCCCCCTTGGGATAACGGAATGCTCAATTGTTGGCATGGATACTGTCTTTCCATCGACCATCTCATGATCGATATTGGTCTCTTTGAGGGCGTTATAGTCACCCTCTGAATAGCCTGATCTCTGTCCTGAGATACAAAGAGTCAAATTGTCTAAAGACTTCGGCAACGGGGACTGTTTCAGAATGTGCCCCCCAGGGGTCTAATTAATAGTTAGCTATTTAGTATAGCAGTAAGTCTTTCGGTAGGTCAACTCACCGTATTACGTCCCACCCGTTCATGCGGAACTTCGATCAAGGCCCAGTCATAATTGGTAGGAAGAGTATGGTTGCCACTGTTGATACTTGGGGCCTGGCCAGTTCTAAAGCCGGACGCCGCCCAGACCTTTCCAAAACCAGGATTGAACATTTGGATGTCGTGGAGTAACCTTTCACAATCCGAAAGACGTTGCTTTGCTTCCAAATACATCATCTCGTCACCCTTTCGAAGTTTCTGATTCTCACTCACGAGTTCATCCATGAGCTTGTAATGCGGGGTTTAGATGTTTTTGATTACCTTCCCCAGTGATCGGGTCTTCTCTTGAACCACACGAGGGCTAGGGTGGTCGACTGTCAGATCACTTGCGCCTGTGTCGTTGGGCTTGATCCCTTTCTTGCGCCATTGTCGTATTCTGTCTCTGACAATATCCATCTTATTCTTCTCCGTTGGGTTGATGACGTGAAAGCAAGTGATTCCTACCACTTTTGGTTTCGCAATGCCAGGAAGTATAATTTCGAAAAAGCCTCCAAACGTGCCCGAACAGCTTATATTCTCCTTGAGAGCCAGGCTTTGCCCTGGCAGTGATCGAAGCCGAACGACGTCCGGGCGAAACGCTCCCCCGCTTTCCTCGATGTCACGCTTAGGCTTAGGCCCGTCTTCTTCTGACTCGGTGTCGGATGAATGCCTGCGCTGTCGACCTTCTAGAAATTCAACCTCGATCTCCGCCACGTTGTGCTTTTTGAGAACATCATTGATGATATTGCGGGCTGGCTGGACTGACTTGGGGTGTTTGTGATGATTGCCGAAAATGAAAATGGTTGGGCGAGCTTTACGGGAGCTGCCTTTGGTGCCCACACGGTAACACCCTATCATAGATACATGGGTGAGATCGATCCGTCTCAAGATATCTTCTCTGACCCGATCCCACTTGCTAAATATCGCATCTTCGCGTTGACAGGAGCGTATGGTTACATTTGCCCAAGAGTAACGGCCGTCACTTGGCCTCTTGCTGTGGCCCTCATTGTTGGCCTTTGACTTGGGCGCTTCTTGACGACTGGAACGTGCCATCATATGGTGTTATGAAAAGCGTAAAAACGCTGAAAGCTGTAGAACGATGAGAAAGATGATATCGGTTGAAAGGTTGGTACATATGCGAGAAGGTTGAGAAGAAGAAACAAGTAAGATACCCGACTGAGGAGAGACTTGAAAGATTGAGACAATAGCAGGCAGAAAGGTATGTTTGCTATTGTCAATTTCGTCAATGGCTGTACTTGACGAAAACAATGTCCAGGTAGTAACGGAGGCTCATGTTGAGATGAAATGGAACTCATCCTTGACCACATTCTACATTTTGTGTACAAGATTGGGGTCTATTTTGGGGTCTTTCTTGGTCTCTTTTTTAGTGTCTTTTTGATATTCTTATTCGTGTCCTTTTTGCTGTTGTTTCTTCTTCGTTCGTGTCATAGCCAAAAGGATGGAAATAATTGACGAATTACAGAGTATCCGTGAAATAAATTAGTCCGAATGTTATTTTCTTCAATAATAATTTGATATTACTACATAATAAGACCCCATGAATGCGATGAACAAAAGCAAAGGAAAGAAAGAATAAATCCCAGTAAAATCTGGCCCGCAAAGGAACAGGGCTGGGTCTCAATAGGATTTGTCGGTCATAATTTCTAGTTACCATGCCATTCGAGTCATAAACTCGGGGAGGATTGGAGACTCGGGCTTTCCCCATCACTTCGCCGATTCACACCCCCAGCGTGATCCCCATTTCTTGCCCTTTTGGATCATGACTCCCACCATTGGAAGTTTGAACTCGTCCAAAATCGAAACGATAAGGTCTCGGGGACCGCGCCAGTCTCGATCGCTCTTGAAATCCACAGTCAAGTGCATAAACACCTCGCTGTCCTTCACATTCGAGGTTGTTCCTACGCGGAACGCTGCAAGTTCAACAAAATCTGAAACGTTAAGCTTGAGCTCAGTTCGAACTTTTTCCATCACCTCCATGTGCTTCGAATAATAAGGGTGCTTTGAGTCCACAGCCCAGAAGTAAAATGGCTTGTGAAGAGCTGGGTCCGAGATTTCGACATTGATGTGGCCAAGCCCGTTTTCGGATAGACGCCTCCAGATTTCACGACAAGCCTGCACCCAATCGTCGCTAAATGTCTCACGAGTTGCGGTAATGATCAAAGTTGCCAGGGGTTGAATTATAGGATAAAGTTCGTACTGACATCTTTTGATCTTGATTGAGGATGCATTAACTTTGTACTCCTCAAGAACTGAAACGATCATCTTGTAAAGGCTAATGGTTTCGAGAACTGTCATCAAAGGGGAATTGCCTTTCAGATCTAGGATCGTCTCTGGTAGGGAACAGAGAAATGGCCCTCCAGCACGATCTTTCTCATTGATGAATCCATCTGGATCGACATGCCACCCGCCTGGGTCGTGGATACTATCACAGCTAGTCCGAATACGTTGGCCATTCCAAAGAGGAGAGGCATATGCTGCCAGGCTTTGGGAACCTTTTGGGGGTTCTTCATCCTCTGATTCAGAATCATGCTGAGACGACGTATCAAAGCTGTCGATAGAGGACGATTCGGATTTGGCACTGGAAGAGGTATCCGAGGCCTCAGAAGAGGAGCCAACAGAGGAATCGTCAGAGAAATCATCAGAGGAACTATCAGAGGACGTATTGGATGCGATATTAGGCTCTTCCTGGCTAGTCTTAGAAGTATGAAGCTCGTTGGGGTCATGCTCAGAGGGGCTATCAGAAAGGATAACAGTTTGAATGTCACTATTACTGTCATATTGGGTCAACATATCCGGTGTAATGCTGATTTTGAATTCGCAATCCTCTTGAGTAGATGGGTCGAACAAGGCCATGGGTGGAGATTCTGGTCTTGTATCAAAGCTGTCGATGGAGGACGTTTCGGATTTTCCACTGGAAGAGCTATTTGAGCCCCCCGAAGAGGAGTCATCGGAGGAATCATCAGAGAACGTATTGGATGCAGTGATAGTGGTTTCATGGCTAAAACCGGAGGTTTGAAGCGTGCTAGTGTCATTCTCATCCTCAGAAGGACTGTCCCACAGGATGACGGTTTGAACGTCACTGTCACTGTCATATTGAGTGGATGTGCCCGATGTACTGCCGGATTTGCATTTGCGACCCTCTTGAGCAGATGGATCGAACAAGGCCATGGGTGGAGATTCTGGTCTTGCATCAAAGCTGTCGATGGAGGACGTTTCAGATTTTCCACTGGAAGAGCTCTCTGAGCCCCCCGAAGAAGAAACATCAGAGGAATCACTATGAATTGCGCTGGAGGTATTAGTTATGTTGGGGTCATTCTCAAAGGGACTATCACACAGGATGACGGTTTGGCTGTCTTTGGATTCGCAGTTCTCTTGGGTAGACGGATCGAACAAGGGGACGGGTAAAAACTTTGGTCTATTCTTGTTGGAAGTGCCATACTGAGTGGGAATATCCGAGGCAGCACTGGTTTTGACTTCGAGATCTTCTTGGGCAGGCGTGCAAAACAAATCGATGGATGGAGATTTCGATCGGGTCGCGGTCGAAGCCTCTGACATGATGACGCTTTTAATGGCAGTGATACATTGCGTGGTCGTGCTGGTTGTGAACTCGCGATCTTTTTCGGCAGATGGGCTGATCAAGGTGACGTTTGATGGTTTGGTCTTAGTAGAAGTAGCAGACATGGTGACGGTTTCAGAGCCATTATGAAACTGAATAGGTGTGTCCGATGTGGCGCTGGATTCGAGCTTGCAATCTTTTTGGCTAGGCAGTTCAAGCAAAGTTATGAGTAGAGGCTTGAGCCTCATCCCATTGGAGATTCCAAGCATGATGATTTGACGGTAGAAATGATAAAAGTGGAGTGAGGTGAAAGAGAAAGAGAGTGGAGAAGAGATGCGGCTCAACGGCCTTGGCATACCTTAAAAGCGAAGTCATAATTATATATGCAGAATCACGTGCTGACTAATTGTCTCACAGAAGCAACGCGTCTAAAACACCCTTTTCAGAACAGGCCTCATTGTTAAACCTCTCATCATTCCCAATAATCTGGTTTTAATGTGACCAAGTGCCGCACTCTTTCCTGGAAGGAGGCACCATCAGAATCATTACGTTTTATGGAATATGTCCCGACCACGATCCCCGCGTGTTTGGTACTACGTTCGAAATATAATCCAAGGCCCAAAGCAATACTGCCGATCAATCTCAAAAGCTTCACACATGCGCTCTTCCAAGTTAGGTAAGCATGTCTAGCTGAGCGTGCTCTAACATCTCACTCCTTCGTTTTAGACTGGAACTTCAGCGATGAATTCTTCAAATTCACACGTGGTCGGTTTATCGTAGATGAAGTGGGGAATCTTCGAAGGTGAGAGATCAAATTCTACTTGAACAGGCTTGCAAAAGTGGCAGCAGACTCGATTGGCGCTGCTCAATGCATTTCCATCAGAAAGTACCCTGACGGCATGTTTAACAAAACATTCATCATGACCATGGAAGATGATCAAGAAGTCGTAGCCAAGGTGCCTAACCCTAATGCTGGCGTTCCGCACTTTACCACAGCCATATCGACGCCGGATCTTGCTAATGCAACTGGGTTGAAAGGCTAGTAGAATTATTGACACTCTAGTACCTCATGTACACACATGGAATTCGCAAGCAAACTCGCATCCTGTTGGGGCTGAGTCTATTATCTGGATAAAGTTGAGGGTGTGCCGCTGTCTCAAATCTGGAGCACGATGCAACTACAACAGAGGCTCAAAATGATTATTGCTATGACAAGTCTGCAGAAGAAATGGCTAAGCGTTTCATTCTCGCATAATGGCAGCCTATACTACGCGGGAGATGTACAGCCGCTCGCAGGGAAACACTATATTAAGGATGGTATAGCCGCCAAAAGGTTCGGAGTCTGCTATTGGCCCGGTCACTGGTAGAGACTGGTTTAATGCCGGCCGAACAAATTTGGATATTGACAGGGGCCCATGTATGTCAGGGCTTGTATCTTTTTTTCGCAGCCGCTGATCAGGCTATAGAGGCTTCTCTAACGTAATACCTACAAGCAGTCGGAATGCGAGAAATGAAAGCAATCCGGTCTCTACAACCGCCAAAACAGATTGCTTTGTTTTGTGGTCTAAAATTCTACTGACTTGACGCTGAAAAGAAGCTTATTGCCTTATCATCCTACCAAAAGACCGGCAATTTCCTTGCCCCAAAGGACACCCTCGTCACCAACCAATACCCATGCCTCTGGCATAATAACTTGCATGACGACAACATCTTTACAGATCTATACAACCCCGAAAGGATTACGGGTATTATAGACAGGCAGTCTTGCCACATCTCACCCCTCTTCAACCACAATCCCGATCCAGCTTTTCTCGGCTTGGATAGCCTTGACCCTGAGACGCTTGATCTAACGCCAAGGCTGATACTGGCTGGGCTTTCCCCCGAAGAACAGTCTGATGCTATGCGCGAGTATAGTATTCGAAACGTGTTCATTGAAAGGCGAAAGCTTATGCAAGCCAAAAGTCCAGACTTATATGGGGCAGTCGAAGTTCGAAAGACGGCAGCATACGGATTAATATTTCTTTCACACAGCATGTTTAAATACGGCGAAGCGCACTTCCTCTCACTTCTAGTCGATCTGGAAGACACATGGGCGGATTTACCTGGCGTCACTGGCGAGATTCCAGACCCGTTTGACTTTGCCGAAACAGATCTTGAGCGCATCAAGGCTAGATATCGATTACACGGTAGCAGGAACTGAGCCTGTGTCTAAGGTCAAGGAGTAAATGGGTGATTTTTGGCCAGACAAAGGCTTTATCGAAAACGAGCGATACAATGATAGCAAAGGTCAAATACTGGAGCAATTGGCTGAGAGCGACGAGGGAAAAGCCGAGTGCAAACGTTATTGGCCATTTGAATGATCTCGTGCTTTGGAGGTCAAATCTGGTTCTCACAACTCCCATGGAATGATGTTAGGCCAGCATGACCTGTGTATGACGCTCTTGTAGATCTGAATTTGTATTTTGTTTCATCTATGCGCAATGTTAATCTAGATCCTTCCAGAGCCGAAGCAATTTTAGCTCATACAAAATCAAACCGATACATTGATGCATTTTGTAAGTTCCATTATCTGCCTATCAGAAATTACACTAATGTCCCTAGATCCTGATTCTGTTTAAACGCTCTCTGCCAATTCAGCTTCGATAATTCCCAACCCGTCGCCCTCACGCACCCAGAACTTTATGGCTCGCAAGCCAACAGATGTCAGTAGATCACTCCAGCGCTGACGAGTTCTCTCCAGTCCCGAGCAGAAAACCATCACAGCCATATCCATCATACAAGGAAGCAAGCGAGCATTCTGATCAGGAAGAATATACTCCTCTATAATAATCTTGGAGAAACCCCGCCTCATAGCTGGCTTTAGGTTGTTAAATATGATGGTGGCTTTCTCGTCAGACCAGTCATGCAAGACGTGTTTAAAATAGTACGCGCGTGCCCCTGCAGTAAATTCATATTTGTCAGTCCCGTCTAAGTGTATATAAAAAGTAGCCTTACCTCGAACCGGTTGAACCTCAGCAAAGAAATCATGCGCAACAGTGTCAATAGAAGACGCTTCTAGATCCTGTGCACCACGCAGTTCCTCAATGACAGGTAAAAGATCCTCGACTACCAATTTACCTGGGGCATCCGGAAATCTCTTCCTAAATCCAATCAAGTCGTGACCACCACCAGCGCCAATGTCTACCAAAAGTGGTATCTCGGCAGTCATATCTGGGTGATCTAGAAGCCGTTCGTGAACAGGGAACCAGTCACCCCAGTGTGGACGGTCAGCCCTCTGTCCTTCCATGCAGTAATTGAATCGATTCAACGCTTCGGGGTTCCGACAGAGCCATGTAAATCCATCTATATTCATATCATGCGTGTATTGAAGAGCGGCAGACAGGGGATCATCTGGGTTGCGATGGTTGATAGATTGGAGATGTTCGGGAGCTTTATTGATTGAGGGCAAAAACTCATAGAAGCTGGTTGGATTAGTATGTTTTATATTATTTCTATAAATCTAGAGCAACTTACAGTGCTTCCACGACTCCAATCAATGGGCGTTGCGTCATTTGTCGGGATACCGCAGTTGGTAGGTATTCGCTGGGAGCTGGCTCTTCTACGAAGCCATTGGCGACTAAAACTCGCATGATGCGCTCTAACGGTAAGTCAGATCTAACACCTTTCTCCGATTCTCGAGTATTTGCGTACCGACTAGAAGGGGATCCGCGGGCTTTGCTGCTGCCAACTCGGCCAGAGGGACTGGGCCCGTGGCCTGAGCTAGCACGGGGAATACATTCATATCATGCGCTATCTTGACTGCCATGAGGATGGTGGGCTTTCCAGTTGGTCCATTAGCAGTATACTCCAATGCTTCTCGGGGATTCTGTATGGCTTACAGAAAAGGCCAGCTTGACGATTGTATCTTTGGGTCGTTCCAGAGCACGTGCCAGCTGGGCAGCCTTTTCCTGTGCTTCAACTCGAAAGGTATCGGTTTGAGTTGCCTCATACGAGTCGAGCAAAGCCTTGGCTTCCGCCAGAAGACATTGGAGATGTTTGATATTCATTATATTCAAGTATTGGGGGGTAAGGGGAATGAGGATGAAACAACAAGGGGCTGGAGGAGAGACTTTGGCTCAAGTATGTACCTACAATAACCCACCCTGAAACGGTCATTCTAGGCAACGCATATAGTAGACGGAAACGCGACGGATTCGATCATCACGCACCACAAGAGATATACGCGGCATTCACATCGAAAGAATCCATCAGGTCTCCACTAGGTATTAAATAACGGGGAGATGGCGCTCAGCAGAAGGCAACCCAGTCCAATCCACGCGTTCGTCCCCATTTCATAGTCGAGGACCCGAGTGCCGGATTGCTAAGTCCCCGGGAGTCAACTCTACTAGGTAGTTATATACTTACACTACCTACGTTAGCAATCGACCTACAATGGTAATGTAGGATACGCTGAAAGCTAGATAGTATTACAGATTCAAAGAACATTGTCAAAGTCTATTGCTAATATTCCTACAACCTAGCATTCCCGCTAGTACCCAAGTATGTTATAATTGCTTCTCTCGCTTCTCGATCCATCTGCCATGAGCATACGCCTTCATGCGTCCTTCAAAATGTAAGATGCAGCATAGAAGGGATAAACTAGCGATTCCAAGAAATCACAGAAAACTATTAAAAGAAAAAAGAGATATTCGTGACTCGTGTCGTTCGTATATGATAGAACAAAAAATGAAAAGGCAAAAGGACTCCAGAGGCAAGACTAAAAGTGTTCCTTCCAGAATTTGAACCGGACATCCTTGGTTGATGAGGATTTGGCCGCATCGCTAATCTGCATGGCAGCAGTGTTAGGACCACAGAAATAGACTCCGATCTCGGTGGTAGCAGCACTTTGGAGGCCCGTCATGTAGGACTGGTCCAGCAAGCCATGTCGCATAGCTGTGAAAAGTCGCTTGAAGTCCGGACGACCGAAGTTCGTCCGACTCTTTAACTCAGTGAGAGGATCAAGGGCCTGACCGACAGAGTTGAGGTAAATATTTGCAGCGGTGTCAGCGTCGAGGCGCTGTGTGAGGTAGGTGTGGATGCGCAAGAACTCGGTGCTTCCCTCGCTAGCGGCTGTGTTGGCGGACTGGGCTTCGAGGGAAGATAGTAGAGCTTGGAACCATTCAAATGATGAGGTATCCTTACAGACCCAAATAAACTCGACACGTCGTAGTCGACGAGGGGGATTTGGGCTCGAGCGAAGATGCCAAATGTTCTTGAGGATAGATGCCCAGGGTGTGACGCCGATACCAGTGCCGATGAGCACGGCGATTTCGTTGTCAAACACGTCCTCTGCGGGTGCTCCATATGGTCCATCCACGCGGATTGCGGGCATGGTTTGTCCGTTTTGCAAGGCAACTTCGTACATGCCGTTGGGGTCAAGTCCTTCAAGATCTTTTGCTTGGGCGGGACCGCAACCGAGTGCATCTCCAAGTGCTCGGGTGAAATCTCCAACTTGACGGACGTGGATGCTGAGGTAAGGATCAAAGGGGCAGGAGGTAATGGTGAATGGATGCCATTGCGTACTGGAGACATCAGGCACTTGGAGGAATACCCATTGTCCAGCCTTATACTTCATGCTTGGTTTGTGGAACTGGATCTCCATGGCGGCTAGGGTTATTTTGTTAGCTGTGGTCAATTCAACGATTATGAAAGAATATCATACCATAAGGATGACGGATAACTTTTGTGATGACCGTCACGCGCCGGGATCTGAACTCCCTGTAAAGTCTCTCAAAGAGATACAAAGCTCCGATGACTAACTCCCATCTCCACCCTTCATAGCCAAGGCAATGATCCCAGAACTGTTTTCCTGCGAAAGGAGACATGGGGCTGGCGGTATCTCGAACAAAGCACCCGGTGGCGTGGGTGTATAGTGCCAGCATAAAAGGAATAAACAGGTGATGCGCATACCAAAATGTTTCATATGCTTGCTGACGAATGCGGTGGTGTGCGGTGGTGTACATGAGCATCATGCACAGGAGCATGACATGTCCAGTGATACCACCTGCGCGAGCAAAATGGATCTCAACTGCAAGTTCTGGGCGGATATGGTCTTTTTCGATATTGTAGAAACTGGGTGGTGTTAACAAAGTAGTCACGACAAGCTGGATGAGAGAGTAGCTTACTTGACGTAGTGGGCAGCGGTGTGAATGGCTGTGAATACTAGTATAGAATAGGCTATTTGCCGATGGAACCACGCCGACTCATCTAATGGTAACCATTTGATCTGTGGTCTCAGCCACCGGAGGATATTTCGGCACATAGGAAATAAGATCAAAGTGCAATCGACTGAGAGGACCAGACCTGCGCCTCGCGATATCCAGACCGAGTAGCCAAGGACATTCAGCGACGCCAACTTTGGATTTGATGCCTGGATGTACCTATCAGGATATCAACAACGCAATCCAGGAGCTGGCAGACATTAGAATACATACCATCCTACAGCAAAAATACCAATATGTAGACCCCAAAAGAATAAATGGAACAAGACCTTGGAGACGGTCAAGTCTGCCCTCTTCCACCATGGCTCTTGAGCTGCGGCCATTCTTTTCTGGGTTTTTAAGAATGTCGGCCAGCGACAAGTAATTTAGGTGATAAGCGATAATTCAATCAAAGGAGTGACAAGTCCAGACGGTTGACCAGCAACCCGGTAATATACACTGAAGATTTGTTGAAAGCGAAATCTCCCGATCTCCTTTCGTGGCAAGACTCCAGTGTCAATATTGACAGGTCAGTGGCTTCGGCGTTTGTCAACGTCGTTGTTTCTCCATAGACTTGGTGTAAGTCAGGATCTCCGGGATGAGCTTTTGCTTCGAGACTGAAGATCGGAGTCTCGGTGGGTTTGAAAATGTTCCAAATAATGTTGAACGCCTCGCACTGGGAAAGGACGCTGGCAGCTTGCGATAGTGCTCAGCCAAAGTGTATAGAGACGGAATGTGAGTTGCGTGCTTTGTCGCAAGCGATGATGGCGTTTCGCCAGGGGACTCCCCTGCACGTGTCCTCTCGAATATAAGAGGTTACTGGCACACTTGAGATAAAATATGAAAAATTTTCGGTTGATTCAAGTTGTCCTAGACGTAGTTGACGTCAATACATGAATAAGGACAGGACCGGAGGAGAGTTGGAGGTTCAGAGAATCCCAGTGTTGTGGTTTTAGCTGCAGGGGTGGGGGCGGCCGATCTATAATTACATCGCTTCTGGCGGGCACTACTCCGTATAACCGACAGACTACGGTATATTTTAGTCCAATGGATTAGGGAGTATTCAAGCCTACAATGTCTGTGCTTTTAAAATTCTCCTAGGAATGGATAGTGGAGAGACCAAGAGAGTAAGTCTAGAGGCTAGAATCCTTCGTCGCTTAAAATAATCATCGGATTTTGCCTGGTCTCTTTCATCTGTTATCTTGGCTAATTCTTTCCAATACTTTCAAAGGTCCTATGTATGGTCCTGGACCCCAGTTTTAATTAATACTCTCAGGAGTTTGCTATTTTTAATGACCGTTCGTAGCAGGCACACCAATCACGACACGAAATTTGTACGCCCTCGGAGTCTGACCACCATGCCACGTTCCCCGCGAAGCGAGTCTAGTGGGAAAAAGGAAGTACATACACCCTGTTCAATCAACCTTCTCCGATTCGGCTCTTTGCTCTAATAATAATAACGGGCTTGAACTGGTGGAAACTAAACGGTTCGAGGCCAAAGTTCAAAAGAGATTAATGCCCCGAGGGTGGTCATGAAGGACCGTGAGTGGACAGCGTTAAACGAGGCCAGGAAAAAGAAGGTTACTGGGGGATTGGCCTATTAAAATCGTCCTGCAAGCGCTGTCTTTTCGTCACACGGGAGCCCCGAGGGTCACCTAACGTCGGTGAAAATACCGGTTCAGGATCATTAGCGAGTACAAGGCTCGCCCAAATATAGAATAGTGAATGGCTCGAGCTATGTTTCCCCATTAACGATATTTTCCCCCGATAAAAGTCTCCACTTAACATTATCTGTTAAACCAGGCACGGGCTGCATCTGCAGAAGATGCAGAAAGACGGTGTGTTGCACTGAATTGGAATCAGGGCTACCGTGGTCATCTGACCTGGAAAGTTCCAAACTTGTCTCTGGTACAAAGCTGACACAGCCTAGACAACCCCAGACAGCCCAAAAAAAACATAGGCCTCAGTTGAAATCCTCAATGAAAAAAAGTACAATTTGAATGTCGATGAGACTTGGGAATGAAGGGCTCTGTGCGTGCCATGCGTGCCACCTGCAGTTCATCACGCCAAGCCCAAGCGCCGAGGCCTCTGATTTGCCGACATCCACTTTGCGATCCGCTCCGTCACATCCCCCACTCTCCAATCACACGGGTTATGCCGGTTCTTCAGAAGCTCAGGAAGAGGGGGTTGTCAAGGATTTGAGGACCTTGCCGCCGATAATTGGTCTACAACACTTGTATCTGTGTGGATCACGGCTTAGCCTTATCCTTCTTGCATGTGTACCAACCCCGTGCAGCGATTCACCTTTTTGACGCTCGACAATCACATCCTGGCAAATTGTTTCGAGTTCTGGTTGAGCGGAGGGGTCGCTTGTCTAAGTATAGATTCTTATACCTGGTCCAGCCTGCAAGCATGCCACTCGAAATATGCTGCTTTTTTTCCCCATATGAGATCATGTTACTACGATAAACCCTTGCAATCCTATTCACTTTCCATGTGCTCTGGATTATCCAACTCAATACACATATCTATGTCTTGCTGGATTATACTATGAAGTGAATCTCTCGCAGAATCTGTCGCAGCAATTCGGGGTTTGCGTCATTTGTCGCCGAAGATTAGCTCTGCACTTTATCACCCACACCCAAGCGACTTTATTTCCTCCGAGACCTTCGCTGGCCGAAGCTCTATAGCACACATCAGCAAGTTTTCACATAGCCGAGTACCCATACATCAACACAATGGGCAGGCTCATTAAGAACCACTGGGGGAGGTTAATCATTCTCACCGCGGCAGCTTGTACGTTCCCCACTCAACCCTCCCAACTTGAAGCCGGAACTGACAAAATGCAAACAGACCAGGTTGTCAGTGCTATTGAGGGCTTTATCTGGCCCAAAGTATTCTGGGACTTTATCTCCAGGAATCTCGATGCGGCCGTCGCCCCGGTACCGGTTCTACAAATCCTAAACCTCATCATGGGCCTCGTGGGCATAGCCTGGGAATGGCCTCTTAAGCCACTTGCTGGCTCAATACCGCACCGCAGCATTGAAATCCGTCTCATCATATACCCCCTCAGTGCCCTTCTCGCGGCGCTTCTTTATCAAGGAACCGACCCTGCAATATATTATTTGATTGGCATTGGTGTATATTTCTGGGCCTACAGTGAAGGCGAGGTATGTTCTTGTGCATATTCTAACTGAGGCTATTCTTGTGCTAACAAGAGGATGTATATAGGTCGTCTGCCCGGAGCCTTGGACCTTGCCGAAACGGCATGGACTATTCAAAGCATAACAACAGTTCAGTCTGGTGCGTCGATTGCAGCAGACGTAGATCATGTAAATATAATAATGCATAACGAACTTGACGACGTGAAAGAATGAAATTGCTTGTATCATTACTCTGGCTGGTATGGTCATATGGTCTATAGCATGCGTGGGAAATACCCGAACATTCCTCCTGCTTTTATTCTCAACTTGGGTAGATCTAGTGTCATGTTCTTCAATTTATAATCATGAGACTGTCCTTATCTGATAGTTAGTCAACTAACTAATATTTAGAACCTTAGAATAGCTGATGCCTTGTCAGCAAGGCACCAACAACGACACCTAGCCTAGCACGTGATGGTCTATCCAGATCCAATAAACACGTCATCTTGACAATCATTCCCACATTAAAAGACCCAGAAGATCCAATATAAATGCCTTGCACATTGTTTATATGTCGTGGAAGACCTCAGAGCATCTTGGGAGCGAGAACTAACCAATATAACTGACACCAAAACAAAATGCCTCCGTCTTCAGGAACAAAACCCAAAGTCGAGGAAGACGAGATAGTCCTTGAAACAGTGGAGGATGTCCCAGTCAACAAAATCACCAGCTTCAATGGCAAACTGCAGCAATACCTGCATAGCGGGACCACAGCACGAGAACCCCCAACCGCCTCTCGAGCTACTATATCGCGAGGCTGCAGAAACACCTCCGAGGCCGAATATAAACCACACATTACCGAACGTCAAGCAGAGGGCATCATCTCCAGTCCAAGGCGAAAGAGAACAGTACCACAGACAACAGCATCAGAAACTACAACTACCGACCCACGCACCACTCGCTCACAGTCAATCCTAACGACAACGTCCCCGTCCCCATCACCAAACAAACGCAAGCGCAGAACAGCAACCCCAAAAACCCCAACCACACCTCCAATCGCCGGCCCATCTGCCACAGAATCCCTCCTCCGCGACACAATTCCCCCAAACCTGATCCTCCTACTCGTAGGCGTGAATCCGGGAATAATGACAGGAATAACGGGGTACGCCTACGCACACCCATCAAACCTATTCTGGAAACTGCTCTTTTCATCGGGGATAACAAGTATGCGCCACATACCAGCCGACACATACAAGCTTCCCGCGCTGTACAGCGTAGGCAACACGAACATTGTTGAGCGGCCGACGCGCGACGCGAGCATGCTCAGTCGCGCGGAGATGGATGCCGGTGTTCCTGTGCTCGAGGCTAAGGTTGCGGCTCAGAGGCCCGAGGTTGTCTGTCTTGTTGGGAAAGGTATCTGGGAGGCTGTTTGGCGGGTTAGACATGGGAGGGGGATTCGGAAGGAGGAGTTTCGGTATGGGTGGCAGGCGGAGGCGGAGAACATGGGTCGTTGTGAAGGTTGGGATGGTGCGTTAGTTTTTGTCGCTACAACGACTAGTGGGCTTGCTGCCGGGATGAAGCCTGCGGAGAAGGAGGCTGTTTGGGCGGAGTTGGGGAGTTGGGTTGTAAGGAGGAGAGGGGAGAGGGGGTTGGATTCGGTGGTTGTAAAGGATGAGGTTTGATCTGGAGTTTGGGATTTATTATTGCTTTCATTTGTATAGATGATGTCGCTGTACCATATACTATCATGAGCTATGATCATTGCTACCTAATGTAATGAACAGATTTACAAATAGAAATGTTCAAGATGAAGTTGGAAAAAAATTGTTTGTATTTATTTGTAGACGAGTGAAGTCGCTCATCATTCATTATCTCATGATATCAGGTGCAGAAGCCTGTGAGTACCAAGATGCGAACCCAGAACCGGCAAACACTCCCTCCAAGCCCATTCCAGAGCTGAAGATAGAGGGTGTTACATGACGTTTCCGAAAGGACCATGCGCCGAAGTGCCATACAAGGGACGATCGAGGAATGTGGATATCTCAAATAGAGGTCAAGGTGAGGGGTAAAGGAGGGGAGTTAGGTGGCCAGGGTGTGCTCCAATGAGACATTGACGGCTGCCTGGTCTCCCCATTGACCCCGCAAGAAGTAAAGGACAAATTTAGCGGCTGCCGTTGGAGTCGTTCTTGCTTCCCTCACGCTCGCGTGCCTGTTGAAGTAAAGTTAGTATATAGAACTCCACAATTGATCCACTTGTCATGAAACTGAAACACTTACCGTAGAGGCCTGGTATTCGCCGCCTTCCAGGATCTTGACCATGCACTCATCATCTTTAGTTGTGCCGAATTCATTCTGGAGAGCGGCCTGACTAGCGGTATCAAGGACGCCCTGAGCTCCGTGGCTGCATCCAGATGTTAATGATATGATGTGGTGGTAAAGAAGCTGAAAACACTTACGAGTGAGTCACGAAGATCTTCCAACCGTTCAGAACTTCGGTCAGGGGAACGCTGCGGTCACTCTTCCACTTCTGGAGAATCTCAAGGTCCTCGACGAAGACAATGAAGTCATCGGAGCTACCCTTGTAGAAGATCTTGGAGGCGGTTTCATTTCCACGAGCCATTTTGAAAGGATGTAGAGGTTGAGATTTGAAGAGATTGAAGAGATTGAAAAGATTGAAGAGATTTGAAGATATCAAGGGAAAATGTTGAATGAGAATGAAGATGAATGGGTAAAAGCTGGTGGTTTAATAGCTGCTCGGGTGGGAGCTCAGGTGATGATGACTGGTGACGTCACACTATGAGCTGATGCAAATAAAAAAAGAAGCTGCCCGCATATTTTGCTCACATACAAAGTACAAAGTACATAGGTGTACTTAATTACACTCATCTACAACATTAAATCACAGTGGATATTATTATATGTCATTGGTGGTTCTAGTCTCTCGCTTTACTACACTTTCGCACACGGTGAGTTGCCAACTATTGCAGCAGTCGACGTCATAAGTAGCTCCCCTGCTCATTGTGGGATCCGCTGTGACGCCAAACGTGGGGATAATTCTCAATATGCCAAGTGGAGGATCTTCTTGCATTCCAATTAATAATTAGTGATAATAGTCCAAGCCACAATTACGTTTTCGGGTTAATTATAATGCCTCCTTGACTCCCAATGCTCCGATTCTCCCAGAACCATCTCAAAAGACAACACTTGCCTATCTAACAATAGGGAATTCACTCAGCATGAGAGCGGGTCTTTTTCACCTTCTTGGGTGTGAAGGCACTTAACAGATTCTTTGGAGACGACCACTTCTTGGAAGATGGGGATGACTCGGCACTTCCATCCTGGCTCCGTCGCTTATCGCTGCGAGGCGAGGAAACAGATGACGTGGGGTTTTTGGGTGAGCCTCTGAAAAGGAATGTCTTGGACCGCCGAGGTGTGGTGGGTGTTTGAGGCAACTCACACTCAACTTCCTTATCCTCCCCTTTATCCTCCCCTATCTCGCTGCTGTCTACTGCCTCCTTGTCGATTCTCTCGTTCTCTTCGTCAGAGCGCATCTCAGTCGATCCTCTTCTTGAATGGAAGGTGCCGACGGATCTCGACCGCTTAGTGAACCCTGGGCGAAGGCTGAGCCGTCTCATAAGCGGACCACGTCGAAAGAGGTCACCCCTTCCAAGGACCATTCCTGGCGATGGAAGGAGGTCTCCAGTGTAGACACCCGAGATCAGTCGCTCCAGCCGAATTCGGTCAATGCGGCGAGCTGTTAATGTCAATGTGGAGCGGTCAGCGGGTGTCTTGGGCCGTTCAATCTCGCCTTCAGGCTGTGCGACTGGTTCTTCGGTGTGGCGCGGGTAATGTGTTTTCTTGATGACTACATGTTGAGCGCGGGACTTGCGGGAGATTGCCATTGAATCCATCGATGACCTCCGCGCCAAGGAAGACACTGTGTATTGAACATGGTCCAGAGGCAACAGTTGGAGGGCCAAGAAAGAATGTTTTCTTGGCTCCCACGTCCTGGGCTGACCCATTTCGACCAAAGCGGTGGACACTTTAAGAATCTCGGTATTCCATTGCTTTTCTTCCGCTGCCGATGATGCACTGAGAACGAATTCGTAATTCTCCCCTTGGTTTTCAAACAAAAGCTTCCATGAAAATATACATCCGTAGGAATACAGCCCTGATGGGTTAGATATACTAAAAGTATAAATCTCAGGAGAAAGCTACTCACCTTGTCCATTCTGGAGCGTATCAATCTTGAGACTATCCAGGTAGACACAGGCCACTGCTTCCAGTCGATGCTGATCATCAATTCCCTTGGCGAAGAGAATGTAGCGTTGGAAAAGCACACAAACCATGAACTCCCCGTTGGTGGTTTCCGCCGTTTGATATGTGACATGAAGCACACCACACATGGCCAACGGGCCCAGGTCTTTATATATACTCTGGAGTGCCTGCTACCCAAAATATTCAGTAAGGTTCAACTCATCAATGAAGATATTGTGCTGCCTACCGATTTCGAAATATCCACCTTACCCTGCAGAGTGATTGTCTTGTCGATGCGATCTTTGTTGATCGGGTTTCCAGCTGCCAGATTGATACGGGTTACCAGCACCCGTATACTGTCCAAAGCTTGTTGGATTCCGTCATGGGAAGATGGACAATCACTAACAGGGGTAGACCTGAGCAGGTCTTGTAGCACAAGGGGATATTTGCACAGACGTTGGATAGGCTATTTCTTGTCAACGGTCAAACCATCCACCATATTTAACTTACACACCTTTATTAACATATCATTTAATGTCATTGATTTGTTGTCCTCTTGTCTGCGTCGCTCTGTGGATGCAACCGATTTTGAAAGTGCTTCGATTCCCTGATCATAGATTGTCCAGTTTGCAATTGACCGGCGTAAGAGAGCAACATCCTGTGTCAATAGTTCATAGTTGCTGCAAAATCTGTCATATGCAGGAAATGAGAATGACTATCAAATGCCCAGTCAGTAGATGTAATCCTAATTGGTATACCGATACTTACCAATTTTCCAAGTTCACGGGCAACTTCTAGTCCCTCGGTTGGTTCTGCAGTGAGTGCCATGAGGCGCCGATTCACCGATGCTTTGAGTGATCGAGTCCTCAAAGATCGTTGTTGCAGACCCTTTAAACTACCCAGATCAATGCTCCCTATACGCTTAGTGATCCCCCGAGATGTAAGCTCAGAGGCACCTGCCTGTTGAGCCTGAGGTGCTGACATGGGAGATGCCGTTTGAAGCTGGGTCAAAAAGCGTTCATGTATTTCGAGGATCTCCTGGATGTTGTCATAGATCTCGCGTCTCGTCTCAAATATTGTAAGGATCTGTGCGTTTACAGAGCACATCAGCACCAAACTAAGGGATGGGAGGTAGTTCAATAGCTTACCCCGATAAGAGCCTTCAGACCAAGTACATAATCAGACTCAGTCTCAACAAGTTCCTGTAGGATATGCCGCCGTCTGGTGGCCCGTGTTTCCGCTGCCTCATCAGCATGTTGACTTGAGGTTGGCTGAGAGCTGTCACCGGAATGACGCACGTCCGATCGTATGCTATGGCTTGTTGCGCTTTGAATGGTTGTCCTCGATCTTATCAAACTCTGGCTTCCAATGCTTGCTGTGGTTGTTTGGACAGTTCCGAGCTGCGATGAGTCGGATGTACTCGATTGGTGACCTTGCGAGCCATGAGAAGATGAATCTGACCAGCCCTCCACAAACCGCTGTTGGATTGTGGGAGATTCGTGTTTCCGTCCTCGAAAGCTGTCCATCCATTTCTTGAATGGACGAGAAGTTGACTTATCGGTCGGACTCACTCCACCGCTACTCTCGAACTTTTCTTCGTATTCATCATCCAGCTGGGCTTTTTTTTCAAACTTTTTCTCATCTTGGTCCGCCATGGTCCCAAACAGCGACCCCGCCCAATAGAATATAGGACTCAGGTTCCGATGGCATGGAGAAAGAAGAGGCGGACCTAACCGACTGCTCAAAACAACGGGATCGAACTTCATGGCGAGGGAAGAGCAACGGGGAGTACCTGACTCCGTTTACATATTCGACATTGGAAAGTACATTTATAGAAAACAGGGGAAACTGCTATCCAGGTAGTACGCAGAGTACACAGAGTAGAGAGATTGCGAATTTTAATCCCACCCATATACGTCATGAGGTGAGGCAGCGGGATAGCTGGAATTGAAATAACACATTTAATGAGCTTTTTTCTTTTCAGATAAGGTATTGACGTGTGATGTTCTTGAAAGTGAAGCTTTCAATTTGAAAGACGTCAAAGTCGTATACTTCGAACGCCAAGCATCGCCGCTTATATAAAATAGTGGGAGCTCCAGGGCGACCCACTTGACCTTGTCCTCCTCTCACTTTCTTTGCTCAACAATCATCATGAACGATAACATTCACGCTCCAACTGTTGCCTCTGGACCGGTGTCCGGTGGTACTCCCCGAGATCTGTCCAAATTGTCGATGCCAGATCTGATGCAGGAGAAAGAACGCATCGAGGCGGAACTCTCAGCTCTTAGCAGCGTCCTCCAGTCGGTGAGATTTTAGACCTGGAAGTTCTTATCGCATTTTCTAACAAGCCTTTTCATTTCAGCATGGAGTCCGCATGACCTCATCTCTCACCACCTTCGACGGTTTCCCCCGTGATGATATCGAC